TCGATCGTAGATAGGACAGATGGGGAAAGGGAGACCCAGAGAAGCGAAGGGACTTGCCCAAGGTCACCCAGCAAGTTACTTGCAAAGCTGGGACTACAGCTCACAATGCTTGACCCCCACTCCCCCACCTGCACCCCTAGAGTGCCATCCTTGCCTTTCAGTTCTCTGAAACGATTGAGCCATGAACATTTCATAGAAAGAAAACTATTACAACCCCCCCCTTGTAAGCACACCCACACGCTAACGTCCAACATTTTACTATGGGCAAGGGCTAGAAGCACTCTAGAGGTCAGTGCAAATACTTGCAAGCCCAGTAAACGTTTCCAAGCAGGGGTCCTGGCCTGATGATCAGGCAGCTCTTTATTATTAGTTTATGTTGTAGCAGAACCAAGGAGCCCCAGGCATGGCTCAAGACCCTCCTGTGTTAGGTCCAGTACTAAAAACAACAACAGAGGCAATCCCCTGGTCTCCACTGAGCTTTCTGGCATCCATGGCCTCTTGCTAGATGAGTGAAACCTTCAGTTCACCTGAATCCATCTGACAAAACACACCACCTTTTTGATGCTCGCTGTGTCCTGTGATCGTTATTGAATCTTAGTTTCTAGTAAACTCCCAGTGAAATTCCAGCTGGTTTTCAAGCCAGTCCTAGGAATGAAAGTTTTACAGTCTGCTGCCCCCTGCTGGACATCTTGCTCACTGCGTGCTGTGAACTGCCTTTCGTTGGCTGGAAGTGGATGTAAGGTTAGCAGGTTGCTTGCTTTCTCCTTTTTCTGTAATAGTTTATTTAAGATGTTGTAAAGGGTGGAAATTGAGATGCTCCTTTCATTTGTATTACATGAATTTGCCCACTGGAGCACAGGGGCATGAGTCACAATTGCACAGCGTCACGATGATGGCGCATGCAAATGACCATGTACTTGTGCAGCTACCTAATTTGCATGTGCAATCACTGCAGTTGTGCATGCTAATTAGACATTTTTATACACGTTTTCAGAAAGCCAGCCCCCCAAAGTAAAGATCATTGGTTATAAACTCCAAAGACAGACACATCCTGCAATGTCCTCTAACCCCACCACAGATCTCCTATTCATCAGCCCTCACTGCACCCAGCTGCTGGGAATACTGAACGGGCCAGGCTCTCCGTTCAGCCAAGGTGACCATTTAATCGTGTTCTCAAATGTGGGTTGCTATCTTGCCCGACAGTGGGTCTCCCAAAGTTCCCAGATGGCAGGAGTTTTGTGCCAGAGCCATTGTGGGTGGCACACGGGATCTAGATATTGCTGTGGCACTATGGAACACAGTCACGGTCTCTGCAGCGGGGATTGAGGAGGGGAGATGGGCTCACTGTGCCCTTGACCCTTGCCACATTGCCAAGCGCCACAAGGCAGCAGAACTTGGAGTAACACCTTCCCCGTGACATATTGACAGCTGGGATCCTGCCAGCAACAGGAGCTAAGCGAGTCCAACTGGAACCTTCAGGGTTCACAGTGAGTTCAGCCCAAAGGATGGGCAGAGATTTGGCCGATTCCTGGCCAAACCCTCTGAACGTGCACGCGCATACACACACCGGTTAACACTGGATCCTGTCCAGACACCTAAGCATTTAGTGTCCCCACTGTAAGGCCAGGTTCATGCCCTCTGCATTTCCAGAGTGGGCTGCACGCCCAGGCAGGGTTCAGTGGGAGGAGCCTGCTGGGCGGAGGGCGAAATCCAGCTCCGTAACCCGAGGCCTGTAGGAATTCCCTGCCCTACCCAGCCCCGCTCTGTTACCATCAGGTCAGGGCTTGGCGGCTGGGAGGCAGGAGCCGAGGGAGGGGATGGGGAGCACCGGCCCAGAAGTCTCAGCCAGACCAGCGCCCCAGCCAGACCAGCGAGCAGGAGCAGGGGGAAAAGCAGCATCCAGATGAAACTCGACAGACAGCTCGTGAGGCGGTGATCTCCCTGCACAGACCCTCATTACACTCCCCACACACGGCTCAAGGGCAGCCTCGAGACAGATGCTCTTCGCAAGAGAAATGGCGATATACACCCACGCGAATCCCCGCCGCCTCACGCGGACCTGGCCTCTGCTTCCTTGGGCTCCTCATCTGCTGCTTTATCCAACCCTGCCAAGCTCGGAGTCTCCCGCTAAAGTAGACCGGGTGGCCTGGTGTTACACAGACATTGGAGGGTTTTCCTCCCCCAGCCACGCTGCTTCTGAGCGATGGGAGTAAAGTGCCAGGTTGAAGCCCCCTCTGTGCATCCACAGAGCCAGTGCAAGTGTCTCCCGCCACACCCCAGCCCAGCAATTCACCCCCAGCCTGAAAAAGCAGGGGGATGGGTACCCTTTTGGGGCAGGCTATTTCCATTTGCAGGCCCAATCAATCCTCAGCCTCTCAGATGAAACAGCCACCAAGGAGCCAATGTGCTGGGGGACCCCTGGTCATTAGGTACTGGACTGGAATGACGGCACCACCACGTCGGTCACACAGGCCACCAAACCACCGGTCAGCCTCGCCCATCCTTGGCCTGCAGCTGGATGGGAGGAGATCCCCTAGCAGTGAAAGGCTCTGCCTTCCATTCCCCACCCCAGCATGAGCCACCCACTCTCCTTACAGGACCAGTCAGTTGTAATTTAAAAATAAATCACTCGTTTATTTCCTTACTAGCCTTGTGACTGCTGGGGCACACAGCCGACCCCATGTGTCAGCCACGACTTGAACTGTGCCAACATCTCGCTCAACTCTACTGTGTTACTCCATACATCACTCGTTACAAGACTCGAACAGACTTCCCTCCTGCATAAGCCTATAGCCCCATCGGGCTCCCCCTGAACTCAACAGCAAGACACCCACTGGCTGCCACAGTTGTCCTGGTCTCTTTGTTTGAGCCACAGGGTCCAGAATGGAAATGCATCCGCATCAGAGCGACTTAGTGAAAACGTTCTCTGCATCCAGCAGGAGGCACCTGCCTCGTTTCCAGTCGCTGGCTCTGTCAGGCTGTGTCATTTCAGTGCTGGCAGGTAGAGAGCGGAGCTCCTTGGGCAGGGAGAACCTCTCCTGGGGCTTGTGGAGAGGGAGGGCAGGGACTGCACAAGTATAAATAGGGAGCGACACATCCTGTCTGCGCCAACCCTCCTTCACTTGTATTATGTACACGGGGATAATGGAGAAAACAGAACACTGCCCTGCTGACAACCACTGGGCTGCAGTCATTAACAGAGGCAGCTGCCTCCTTCTCCTGAAGTTCAATCATTTCACCTCCATCCCAACTGGCCAGCCCCTTCCTAGTTCAGTTGTGGTCTCTTCACAGATCCAGCAATGCACTACAGTCCTCATCCACAGCACCCCCTGCTATCCCAGTGCTGGGCCTACGCCAAGACACTACCATGATAAAAGCCAGCTAGCACAAGGGAGGTGGGGGACTTGTTTCCTTTTCATCAACAGCCATGTCCTATTTCACCCAAACACCATCTAGAGACTAAATCCAGGAAGGTGGGTCTGGTTCACGGCCAAATGGCTTCCGTGAAGGCCTATTATAGTATAATTGGTCTCCACCACATGGCACAGATCCTCTCCTGGAGCCCCACCCACACCTCCTCTCCTAACAGCCAGAAGGGGTCCCCAATGAGCAACAAAGAGCTTCCTCTTCGGGGTGGGGAGAGTATGGCCCACGGCTTCTGTAGCATTCCCAGCCCATACTAGTCAAGGACCTGGTCCCGAAAGGTGCTGAGTGCCTTCCACGCCTACGGAAGCTGGGGTCATCCACCATCTTGCAAGATCAGGTGCCAATGGAGCTAGAGGCGGAGACCAAGATGTGACCTCTAGCCTCCTGCAGGGCAGCAGCCAGTGCCCTGGTCTCTCTGCACCTGTACTTGAAGCAGGTTGCATTTTCTTGTGCCAATCAGATCACTCCCAGGGCACGTTCCCCTCGCTCCCCACAGAGGAAGCTACACATGCCCTTGACCTAGCACAGTGCTGCAGCCTCTGGCTTTCCCAAGAGGGAGACCGGGCCAGACAGGAGCCTGGGAAGAGACCGTACACAGCAACTTATGGCTGTTGCAAGTGTGACTGACCAAAGGGGCCACCAGCCAAAAATCACGCAGACGTAATACCGTCCCGTGTGCCTGCGCGTGGATACCTCCTCTAATGGAGACGATAGGATCCAAGTGTGTTGTTCCAACACACACAGATATAGAGGGGATCCTCTAACGGAGCCAACCCAGAGCTCGAGAAGGGGCCTGCGACAGATACAATGTCAGGGCAGTGCACTGCAGCGCATTCGCCCGGGGGTGTGTAAATTCCCGTGGAACCAAGACCCAGGCAAGCTCGGGGACCTGCACGCTTCTTCATTCAAAGCCACAGGCACTTTTCACAAGTCTACCCCCGCTCCTAAGTCTCTGGCATTGCAGCCCCCATTGACCACTTCAGGCCTGGTGTTGGCCCAGTACTCAGGGACAGGGCTCCGCGGCAGCTCCTCAAGGGAGCAGGGCCAGTTTGCCCCCCTGCCCGGACCGCCATGGGGTGCTGGAAAGCGGAGCCGTGCTCTCACACCCTCACGGGTTGCAGAGGGATTTTTTAGTCAGTGGGCAGAGTGAAAGCAACAGGCAGGTTCGAAGCAGAAGTGCAGGCAAATCACCCCGAGCCCGGGGAGACAAGCGTGCCTTTATTAAAGCACGGTTCCAGGCGAAGCAAGGGAAGATCCTACTCAGGCTGGGTGCCCAAAGGGCAGGTCTCACGGGGCCCCGGCCCCCCTAGCACTCGCATGGAGAAGCGAGGCTGGGCAGCTGCTGGGCTGTTTTCGCTGGTGAACAATTTCTAGCCATCGATCAGGGAAGAGGCAAAGCCAAGCCACGAGGCCACGGCGAGCTCCCCTCGAGCCTCAAGTGCGCAGCCTGGCAAATCCAGGGTGGCTCCCCCAGCCCGGCCCGAGGCCGGGGAGGTCCTTGGCTGGGCACGGCTGGGCTGCCCCCCGGCAGGCCCCCACGCTCACCCAGGCAAGCGAGACCCACGGGCCCCTACCTCCGCGCTGACTGCTCCATCCTCCGCCGCCTCGCTGCGCCCCACGGAAGCCAGCAGCAGCAGCAGGCTCCAGCCGAGCATCTCGCCACAGCCCGTCGGGTGCAGAGTCCAGCCCCGCAGGCCGGTGGGGCTGGCGGGCTGCAGACGAGCCCACCCGCCCATGGCGCGGCCGCTTGTCCTGCGCCCCCCGGGGGGCCAAGGTCAGCCTCTCCCGGCCCCGGCTCGGGGCTGGGCCGCCCCCGACGCTTCTGCCGAGCCCCCGGCCGCCACTGAGCCGGCGGGGGAGCCCGAGACGCCGCAGGGACCCTGCAGCCCGCGGGGCTCGCTCCACCCCGCGCTAGGCTCCCGGGGCCCCGCTGCCTTCCGAGCCTGCCGCCGGGGCTCGCCGGGCGCCCATGGCTCGCGCCGGGCCCGCAGGAAAGTTGCCCGGGGGCCGCCGCCCGCCTGCCGCCTTTGTCTGCTGCGCTCACGCCCCCCGCGCCCGCTCCATGGGGCCGGGCTCCGCCCTGCTGGGCTCCCGGGGCTCGCCGGGTTCGCCGAGGCGCCCCGGGGTGCAGCGCCTGGCGCAGCTCGCTCCTCGCGGCGGCCTTGGCTGGGTGTGCGGCGCGAGCTGCCGGGGAGCGGGGCGAGCCCCGCCTCTGCCCGCCCTGCGGGGCCTGGGCGGGCCCTTAAAGGGGCAGCCGGGAGCGGGCGGGCTGCCCGCCCCCAGCCAGCCAGCCCCCCCCCCCCGCCTCCCCTCCCGCGAGCCCTGGGCAGCCCCCACCCCGCGGAGAGCCACGGTCACCCCCCGTCCGCCCCCTCCACCCCCCTCCCGCAGAGACACCCCCCAACATCCCCCATACCCCCCTCCTGCAGAGACACCCCCTTACACACACCCACCCCTCACAGACACACCCCTCCACACATCCCTCAGAACCCTATCCCCCACCCGCACAAACACACCCCTACACACACCCCCTCCTGCACACACACCTCTCAGACCCCCTCCACACACACCCCCTGCAGAGACAGACCCCTACACACCTCTCAGACCCCTACACACACACCTTAGACGCCTACACACACCCCCTCCCGCACAGACACATCCCTACACACACCCCTCCCGCACAGACACACCCCTATACACACCCCTCCCGCACAGACACAGCCCTACACACACACCCTCCTGCACAGACTCCCCCCTACACACACACACCTCAGACCCCTACACACACACCTCTTCCCACACAAATGCACCCCTACACACACACCCCTTCCCACAGATACACCCCTACACACACACACCCCTCAGATCCCTGGCTCCCTAAACACAGACACACCCATGCACACACAAACACACCCTCACACACAGACACACCCCTACACAAACAGGCACCCTCAGATCCCTTCACTTCCCCCCCACAGACACACCCCTACACACACCCCCCTCAGATCCCCCCGCTCCCTACACACACATACAGGCACACTCTAGACCCCCTACACACACACAGAGAGGCACCCACACCTCTACATACACAAGTACACGCACCCTCAGATCACTACACACTGACACACCCCTACACACACAGAGAGGCAATCTCAGACTCCCCCATATCCCTAACCCCCCCCCCCCACACCATGAGACCCCAACATGCACAAAGAGACACAGTCCCAGCAACACACACACACAGGCACCCACAGACCCTAGTGACACACAGCCAGACTCACAGACACAGAGCCATAATCATACACACTCTCCCTATCATGTGCCTACACCCAGACCCCCAGCTCATATGCAGACCCATGAATACACATTAGCATCCCCTCCAGACACACAGTCAGTTCAATTCAATGAGGATTTATTAGCCAGCACTTACACTATCCATATTCTTATGTGGATCCCTCTCAACACGGTATGAAAATGAAATAGAAATACCACCGCCCAGAGCTAGGTTGGAAGAATGAGCTTGGAATTTCATTCATTCTGACTGCAGAGAGATTCCTGATTGTCCTTATCAGTAGCAGCTCCAGTCCACACACAACCACACTGCCTCAGACCACTAGTCACTCTCACACACACAGCTACAAATTTTGTACAGAGCTTCACACATATGTACACAGCCAAAGCTTCGTGCAAACACACAGGCACAATTAGGCTTCAGAGATACTGGACAGGAGCCGGTCTACACTCAAAACCGAGGACGACACAGCTATGCCAAAAGGTGCTGGACCTAGGGTTGCTGCCACAGCCCCTGGCTTGAAAGGGTTTCCATTATATCCAGAGTGTACAGTTGGGTTCAATGGTTCTCAGCACCCCCACTATACACATTGTTCCAGCACCCCAGAGCTATGCCGACTTAATCCACCCCCCCTCCCCAGAAAACGGCTTCCTTTGACCTAGTTACCATCGCTCAAGGAGGTGGAGTTCCTAGAGTGAAGGAAAAGCTCCTTCCTTCACCGCAGTCCACAGCTACACTACGAGGTTATAGTGGCATAACTATAGCTGTGAGCATAAAGGATTGAGTAGACTGCTAAGATCCTGGGTAACACATGAAAAGGAACCAATGAGACCATAAACGCTGGCTGAAACAATCAAAAGTGGCCACTGATTCTGGAAAAAGAAAAGGAGTACTTGTGGCACCTTAGAGACTAACCAATTTATTTGAGCATGAGCTTTCGTGAGCTACAGCTCACTTCAGCTGTAGCTCACGAAAGCTCATGCTCAAATAAATTGGTTAGTCTCTAAGGTGCCACAAGTACTCCTTTTCTTTTTGCGAATACAGACTAACACGGCTGTTCCTCTGAACACTGATTCTGGGGGTCTCAAATATTTGGGGCTAACTTGGGCCTGATTTTCAGCGGTGCTGAGCACCCAAAATGCCAGTTGAAGTCAGTGGGACCTGCCAGTGCTCAGCACCTCTGAAAGTATCTCCAGTTGGGCAGCGAAAAATTGAGGCCTTCCGAAATCAGTGGTCACTTTTGAAAATGGCTGCCAGGTGTCTGCGGAACAATACAGGTGCTATTGCCTAGGTACTATGGTGCAGTGGTCGTGACCCAACAGTTGTGGAGGAGGCTTTTCCGTTGCAAGCTCTTGTCATGTACATCGAACAGCGTAGGCTACGACGTGCCAACTTTGGTGTCCTCTCGAAGGTGAACGCTCTTGAAAATGTTAAAATTCCACTGAGGTGGGTGCAAAGTTATCCCCATGTGTGCGTGGGAGGGTGGAGAGGTGGGAAAGGGGCTTTCTGGCTGTAGAGACTGTTTCTTTGTTTGTATAACCTCTGCTTTGTTTTTTAAATGCCTGGACTTTGTCCTCCATGCTGGCAAAAACCTCTGGTGTGTCACGCACAAGGGGGAGGCCATGTGCGCAGAATTAAACCTTGCACATTTCTCTTTCTCTCTCTCAGGATTTTTGCCTTGCTGTCCATCACTGTTGTATCTGGGCACCTTCCATGTAAATAGATTACCAACAACAAAGTATCAATATCTTCAAAGTGTTCAATATCTTCATAAATGATCTGGAGGATGGTGTGGATTGCACTCTCAGCAAATTTGCGGATGATACTAAACTGGGAGGAGTGGTAGATACACTGGAGGGGAGAGATAGGATACAGAAGGACCTAGACAAATTGGAGGATTGGGCCAAAAGAAATCTGATGAGGTTCAATAAGGATAAGTGCAGGGTCCTGCACTTAGGACGGAAGAACCCAATGCACAGCTACAGACTAGGGACCGAATGGCTAGGCAGCAGTTCTGCGGAAAAGGACCTAGGGGTGACAGTGGACGAGAAGCTGGATATGAGTCAGCAGTGTGCCCTTGTTGCCAAGAAGGCCAATGGCATTTTGGGATGTATAAGTAGGGGCATAGCGAGCAGATCGAGGGACGTGATCGTCCCCCTCTATTCGACATTGGTGAGGCCTCATCTGGAGTACTGTGTCCAGTTTTGGGCCCCACACTACAAGAAGGATGTGGATAAATTGGAGAGAGTCCAGCGAAGGGCAACAAAAATGATTAGGGGTCTAGAACACATGACTTATGAGGAGAGGCTGAGGGAGCTGGGATTGTTTAGCCTGCAGAAGAGAAGAATGAGGGGGGATTTGATAGCTGCTTTCAACTACCTGAAAGGGGGTTCCAAAGAGGATGGCTCTAGACTGTTCTCAATGGTAGCAGATGACAGAACAAGGAGTAATGGTCTCAAGTTGCAGTGGGGGAGGTTTAGATTGGATATTAGGAAAAACTTTTTCACTAAGAGGGTGGTGAAACACTGGAATGCGTTACCTAGGGAGGTGGTAGAATCTCCTTCCTTAGAGGTTTTTAAGGTCAGGCTTGACAAAGCCCTGGCTGGGATGATTTAACTGGGAATTGGTCCTGCTTCGAGCAGGGGGTTGGACTAGATGACCTTCAGGGGTCCCTTCCAACCCTGATATTCTATGATTCTATGAAAGTACTGGCTTGTTTTCCCTTTTCTGGTTCTTGGAAACTCTGCTTGGGATACGGTCTTCTGTTGGCAGGGAACAAGGTAGCAGTTGATGCTCTGCTTGCCTCTCTGGTTATAATGGTAAAGTTAAGGTTTGTTTCACTTTAATGTACATGTCTCTAGTGTCTTTTCTCAGAGGATCTCAAAGCATTTTACAACCGATAATGAATTAAATCCAAGGTAGAACCCCTGCAGCAAGCTTGAGCTTGACCTAAATTTAGTGCACAGACCCCTTGCATTTCTCTGGCCTGGAAATTCTGGGGCAGATTCAGACAAAATAAAAATGATTTTTTTATATATATTTAAAATGGGATTTATTGAATTAAATACAAGCCTGAATAACACAGTTCCTCTAGCAACAGTTCTGGTTTGGAGTTTGAAATTGGAGTCCACTTAATGTATCTTGCCCCCACAATTCCAGTTTGAACAGGCTGTAGATCTTTGTATTGACCATACAGACCTGGAGTGTAGGAGCTGTCACAGGGAAAGAGAGCCTGATACAATGTGTGTGTGTGTGTGTGTGGGGGGAAATTTGGTACTGTTGCGTGGGCCGTTTCTGCTAAAAAGTTTGGCAGGGAAATAGTCAACACATAAAGAGTCATTAATACGTTCCAGAGTCAACACCCCAGTGAGACAAATGGGAGTAGCTCAAACCTCCCTGGGCTATTGGCTCAGGGTCTCTGCAAATTGACAGGCATCACTGCCTCACTCACACCTGAGTCACAGTTGGAAGGTTTTCTTCTCAACCATTAGGGCTGGAAATGGAGCTTTTAATAAAATGAAAGCTGAGACGCTGGAGCCCAGTTCTGCAGGAAGTTCCCCAGCCAAGGCTGTATGAGGCGCAGAACGTGCCTCGCAACACAGCCGTTCCCTTTGTCGCACGTACCGCTGATGTCCTGCTGAGCCATCTCCCAGCGGGTTTATTTCAGCGTGTGACCCTACAGATGCACAAGGCAATTCACTTCCAGTTATTGCCCTTGTTGGGCCAATTACATCCCTAGCATAACTGCCCTGGAGCATCCCAGGGATGAGTGCTGCCTCGTTCAAGAGGTGATGATGCTCCAGTCCTTGACCTGAAAGCTCTCAGTGCTTGGGTGATGTTGTAACCACTGGGTGTCTTTGGAGGACCCAGCTCCAAGCGACTGGAGCAAGCCACTCCAGTGGCAGGGCTGGACTTTGCTTCGTCACCCTAGCGTAAATCCAGAGCATCTCCATTGCCTTCATGGACATCACTCTATTTACTCTGTGTGACGGAGATCCAGACATGCTTCTGTCTCATCTGCAAGAACCCTGGGCTGTGAGGCAGCTCTGCCCTGCCCTGCCCGGCCCAGCGCGTGCCCACGAAGAGCGGAGCAATCAGACAGGGAGTGGTGTCTTCCCACTGCTGGCTCCAGCACTTGCAATAAACAGCTCTGCTTCTCCAGCTGGAGCAGACAGCAGCAATGAGGCTAGTGCACAGACAAGGAAGCAAGTCAGGGAGCCAGGTTCGTTCTCCCTCCCTTAGATGAGTCCAGGAGTGGCCAGCAGGGAAAGAAAGCATTGTTTGCCAAGGATAAGATGGGAGGGGACGCGCCCCAGCCCTGCCGGGCTAGGAAGGGCTGCGCAAGCAGAGGAGCACTTGCACTGATGGTGGCAAGGGAAGCCAACCCCGATTTTGCCGCCTGCTCCTGTGAGGTGTCAAGGGCTTCCTGCGAAGAAGGTCGTGGAGTTGAAGGCCAGAGGGGACCAGAGATCATCTAGTCTGACCTCCGGCATTTCACAGGCTACCAGCCTGCACACTGAGCAAGACAGGGCCTTGCTGAGATCCTGATCACTACCAAGCCAGCCTCTCCTCACCCTACAGGGGTCGCTTAGCTGTCCCACCCTGCAAGCTCTCCCCATTCATAGAATCATAGAATCATAGAATCATAGAATATCAGGGTTGGAAGGGACCTCAGGAGGTCATCTAGTCCAACCCCCTGCTCAAAGCAGGACCAATCCCCAATTTTTGCCCCAGATCCCTAAATGGCCCCCTCAAGGATTGAACTCACAACCCTGGGTTTAGCAGGCCAATGCTCAAACCACTGAGCTATCCCTCCCCCCCACCTCGCAATACAACTCCCCTCATGGCCTCCAGCAACTGAGGAGCCCATCGTTGTCACGCCTCAGGCCCCGTCTACACTGCAAGCGCAACTGGGCCTTGGCAGCCCTCTGCTGACCGGGTGACAATGAACACCCCGGAGTTCAGCATGGACAACAGCAGCTTTGTTCACCCGGTGACCTTGTGATAACTGTGTGCGCGCCTCCGGGCCAAGCACCCTGCCGCCTCACCAGGTTCGTATCGGTGAAGCCTGGCCAGCCATCCCTTAGTGCCTCACTGCGGGAGACCTGCACAGACAGGCACTAGTAAGACACCTCTGGGACGTCCTACCACACAGGGAGCTGGGAGAACAGAGGAGTGGCCGTGGCCGATCCATTTACAGAGGCACAGTTAGGGAATCCTGCCTACACTGCAACATGAAGGCACTATGTGCTGGCTTTGGACTCTGACCGGGGGCTTTCATGGTTACCCACCGAACATTAACCCATTGCTAGTGGGGACAAACCATGAGTAAAGCGGATGGGGTACATTGTTCAGAAGTGGCTGCCGAGCCGTCATCTCCCTGAAAGTCACTGGGTCTTGGGCTGCTAAGTGTCTGAGACACTTTGCAAATGAGACAGAGAATTTTACCCCCTGTGGCTAACGGGTTACAAAGAGGGCCAAATGGACGAGGGGGGAAAAAGGCCATGAAGTTAAAACTCAGGAGAGGGGGACATGATTTGGACAGAATTCCCAGCTCTCCAACTGACTCACTGGGAGACACTGGGCAAGTGACTCCATCCAGCCTCAGTCCCCATGTGTAGGATTGTGGCTAGGGATACTCACCCGTGAGAGTGGAGAGGGGGGTTTGTTTTAGACTATTGTTGTTTGTAAAGCACATTGAGATCCTCCAACGGCAGGCCACAGAGATGTACAAAGTATCTCCCCCACAACGGTAGGGTGCTGCCCTCCTCAGGGGAGCCTGTTAACAACAGCAATCGTGCAGCACCCTGGGCAAGCCACATTCGCATGGGCAGAAAGCCACACTGTGAGCATGGGTCGATGCCACCACATCCCATCCGGCATGGCCACACAAACACACCATCATAAGGGTGGAACAAAGACCTCACTTCACCAAGGCTTTTAAAAATTATTACTACATTGTGTACGGGGGGAGTGGTGGGGCAGTGTTCCTAATAATGACAAACAGTGACAGAGCGTGATTTCTCAAGACATCACTGTTTGGGAACAGCTGGTGGATCCTGATACCTGGATTATTTTTCAGGGAGGAAAGAGAGTTGAAGTGTTTTCTGCTAAAGGCTGCTGGTATAACTGCGCACTTGGGGTGAAATCCTGGCCCCACTAGAATCAAAATTTCCATTGATCTCAAGATCTCACCCTTGAACTCCATGGACCATACAGAATTAACTCAGTGCAAGGCTGCATAGCCTGAAGTAACCTTTGACAGAACTGAGCTCTCAAGACAGTCAGATTACCGGCTGCGAAGAAAATGAATACATGCTAGAACAGTTAGACTTCAGTCTGTATGAAAACACAGACACAGGGACCAGAGGCAGAAATAGAAGGTTTTATTTATGTATATATTTAATACAAAATTTTAAACAGTGAATTTCATCTCCTGGCCTCTACAAACCCATCCAGGGAAACCATTAAGAATGTTTTAAAGCAAATATTGCAGATAAGAAGCTGATAAACATAAAGGACTTCTTAACACGATTTTAAATGGCAATGAATCCCCTGTGACATTGGTCTCTTTCGAAGCCACGTTGGCCTGTGACACCCCCCCCCTACTATCTCACTGGAGGGAAGGGCCACGGAGGGGCTGATTCTCAGAAGCACTCAATACCCACAATTTCCTTTGAAGTCAAGGGGAGCACTTCTGAGAATCAGGCCCTACAGGTCCAGAATATACCAGGAAAACAACTTTGTGGCAACTAGAATCCAGGGTTTGAAACGAAACAAAAGCCTCAGGTTCTTCTGGAAGACAACTATGGAACGATGGATACCGGGCAGCACTTGCCTGCCCTCTCCAGAATGCCTGAGAGGCCAAAGCACCTGTCAAGGGCAGGAAAGTAAGTCTGCACAGGATCTCTTCAGGGGCTGAAGTTCAGTTCACAGTCCAGGGCTGTCATTACAGGACCCAGTTGGCTTGATTCATTTGAAAGTGGAGTTAGTCGTGGTGCAAGGTGCGCCCCGCCCTGGAGACTGATGTTCTTGGCTTGCCCAAATTAAGCTAAACAACAGCAGGTAATTCTGAACTTGGGTATGATCAGAGGGCTGCCAAATACCCTTATTGCTAGCCAGTTCACTTGGGAAAACCAACACTGCCCTCTTTTGGGCCTGTGGCAGTATGACAAGCCTCCTATTTAAGATAAAAACCTGCCCTGTGCCTTTTAAAATTCTCTTAAAAATCAGGGCCCTGCTGCTCTTCTCCTCCACAAAGTCTCTCTGTGGATCCGTTTAAACTGAACACTTTCCACTAGTCCCAAACTAGAGTTAGGCTGCTTAGCCCTGAAAGTCAAGGGCCTTCCTCCGCTTTGCCAGATTTAATCCCACCTGGACTTGCAAGGACTGAGGATTTGATGCTCAATTTCTCCAGCGTGGCAATAAAGGCATCGGGGAGGAGGAGCCTCATAAGGGGACTTGTCCCCAGGCAGCTGTAAGCAGAGAGAAGGACCTAACTCTGCACACCTGGATCTTGCAGTTAATAGCTAAGGACTCAGAGCTCAGGACAGTAACTATGCTCTAGATCCCCTTAGCAATGCAGTGCAATTTCCAGCTGTGTAACACTCCCCCCTTAGCAACCTCCCTCACCTCTGCACTAGAAGGCAACTACAGCTTAAAACATCAGCACATCTGGCAACCACAGGTAGCCTAGAACTGCCTATGTTGATGGCAGTCTACAAAGCACAATAACCTAACAGCCTCACATATACACACATCTAGGGCCAGCGGCTTCAAACAAAAGCAGCCTGGCTTGAGGCTACAAACCTCCCTAGGCTGATGAGCTGAGAACAGCAACTCGGCATACATGTGAAACTCCAAACTGTCCAACAGTTAGCGGAGGCGTTGGAGCTGCTGGAGTGCGTGGCTTTCCGTCTCCTACCTCAAAGGGAAGGAGAAGAACTTGTTCCCAGATCTGCAGCGGATCTGATCCCACTGGAATCGCAGCAGGAACGTGGAGTCCTCAAACCCATCCACAATCTCCTGGAAAACATACCCAGGGCCCATAAGGGAAGCGTCACTGTGTGTGAGCTCAGGGGGCTGCCGCGGATCAAGTCAGTCACTCACAGCACACAGACCATGGCTCTCCTTATGAAGAGGTAGCAGCTGGAGGTCTTCAGGCTTCCCAGGCAGCTCATAAGGAAACCACCTTAGAGAAGCGGAATCAAACTCAAACTCCCACCTAAAAAGTTTTCTTCCCTCATCTCTCTACGGTTTACAATTCAGTCACCTGAAGGCTCCCAGCTGAAGATATGTGGCTGGGAAGTTACCTGAATCCCTCCTCATCTCCGGAGACACCTGGCTGGTGTGTTACTTTTTCCCCCCTCCCCCCCCAATCTCAGTAGACAGCTGGATGGGGCGTTACCTGAAGCTCCTGGAGGCACTGCCCTTCCAGCTTGTCAGTCAGGTCCCCGACACACCAGGCCAGGCTGATATGGAATGATGGGTTCTGTACAGAGAGATACAGAAGCTCAGACAGAGCGATGGAACAGCAGCTCAGGGCAAGGTGGCTGCAAAGTCAGAGAGCGGGTGTAACTCAGCCCTGCTGGGTCCCACCACCCAGGATCTCAGAGCGCTTTACATGTGTGAAGCCCCACAATCCACCGTGAGATAGGTAAGCATCATCATCTCTACTTTACAGATAGGGACCCAATGCGAGTCAGTGTCAGGGAGGGGATTAGATACCATGAATCCTGGCTCCCAGTCCGCCTACCTCTGGTATCAATAGCAAAGGCTGGCTTTCCCTGCCTAGCGTCTCTCAGCTTTGCAAGATGTATTCATAATGTGTGGAAAAACACCTCCTACACAGATACAGATCTGAGAAGTTGCTTGATACCTCTGAGCCAGAAGCAAGCACACAACTCAGCCCATAGACTCAGAGATCAGAGTTTATTTAATAAAACCCCCAAACCCTGTAAGTGAATTTAGGCACAGAGAAAGATGCTGGATTGGCAGCTCAGGAGACTGTCCACAGAACGGGCAGCATCAGCGCCAGCTTCCTGCATAGTGACCTGCCAGTGTGGCTCAAAGATGACCGGGGCAGGACCCTCCATGGCCCATACAACCCTAGGCCATTCTCCTGCCAACAAGGTGCCAGTTTTGGTGGTGGTTTCTGTGACATGTCCCCCTGTCCCCTGGGAATGGGGCTCGGACCCGGGAAACGCATTTCACAGAAGGGCCATTGGACGGTAATGAATAAAAATCACTACAGTCCCGGGTGGGATGTGATCTTGAAGTGAAAGGCTTGTGCTAGCCCCATTCTCATTTGGCAATACCGACCTCCACGCATTACTGTCAGTGAGTGACCTCAGGCCCTTGATCCAGTCAGCCACTGACTGCCAGGAAATGCCCTGCACAGAGCCTGAGCGCTTGGTGCTATTGCAGGCAGTAATTAATGACCAGCATGGCCACCAGTGGGAAAGCAGGATAAATGAGTGACATGGGAGCAGACAAACCAGGATCCCCCTTGGAAGGGGCAGAAGTGGAGAGAGGACAGAAGCAGGAGGCGAGTTCACGCTGTGATATGTTTTCCCACTCCCTTTTATTTGCTGCATCTGAAGTTCAAGCCCCTTATGACCTTGTTCCCACCGCCTCTATATTAAAGCCAGGGAGGCAGCTAAGAGCTCTGGCCTCCCTTTGAGGTTTTGGACTGGCAGAGAAGAGGGAGAAGACAAGAGACAAACCATTACCTTGTAGAACGTTGGGAGATCAAACTCCTCCATAACTTTATCCACCTCCGAGACCAGCTCCAGCAACTGAGAATGCCCACACGAGACCTCCAAGCCCACAAAGGTCCTGAGCACCGACAGGGAGAAAGATGGAGTGCAGGAAGATCCTCCGAGCAAACTTTTGTCGCACTGGAAGAGCCGTGTTACTACCCTACCTTGGAGTCCCCTATGAATTTGGGCAGGTTGCTAAGGGCAACCAAGTCCCCATCCTTTCCTGGGGTCATATGTCAGACTGAGGGGAAAAAAGTAGCGGAGCTCTCCTAAACTCCACCGGCTATCCAAGATCCACCCGTTCATGACACCAACACAAGCCAGCACTCACAGTGGAGTCAGCAACTTTTCCTAGTTTGATGGTCCTCCTTTTTCATGTGTTTTGTTCAGCAATGAAACAGTTAACAATCTCAACATTTTAAATCACCGTAGTTAGGCTTCAGAGTTAATACACAACTGAGATGACTGGGACAGCTCTTTCTTCTGTCAGGGCTATTGTTTCAGGCTGTCTGCAGACTCAGGCAGATGTCACTGGACTGGTTGCACTGAAGTCACCTTTGCAGCTGAAAGGGCTAGAGACTTGCATTATTTTTTTGAATGAGAGCTGTGGTTCTGCTGTGCAAGGTGAAACCACCAGGCAAAGGTACCAGCTCAATGAGCTGCCATGAACTGACCCAGTCAGATAACTGTATTTATCAATATATTTTGGGCTGCCAGCCTGGAAGTGATGGGGGGAACTGGGAGGACGGCTATGAAAACCGACAGCAGCAGGGTTTTGGGACAAATGGATAGGATCCCACACAGCTACCAAGCTGCTTAGCGCTGATCAAGGGGTCTGCACACAGCATGAACCACGCCCCATCCACCCCTCCTAGTGCCAGCTTTCCCCTACTCCCCAGTGCTCTCGAAAAGGACAGCGTGCTCTGCTACTCACGCACCTGGTTTTGCGCTGGTTGGTATACACCTTAACCTGGCTGGCCGTACAGAAGAACCTGAAATAGGGGAAAGCAGCAATTCAACTAGGAAAAGAAACAAAGGAGGAGATGCAAAGTGCCCCGCCATTAAGCTGCTGCAGCCGGGCTTCCCTCTTGCTGGCCAAGCACATGGGCAAAGGCCTGTTTCTAGCAAGGGTGAATCCATCCAAACTGAAGCTCCCTGGGGGTTGGATCAGGCATTACCCCCCCTTCGGTTCCACTCTGCTGTGCACTTCTCAAGCCTAGCCATCAAAACAGCATGAGGCTGTGTCCGGGGGGGTCTCCAAGCCAGCTGTAAGCACTGAACTCAGGAGAGACCTTTGGTAAGAAATTTACAAGACAATGCAACCCTGTCACTGCTCCTCACCCCAGAGCCCCCTGGGCCACTGGCCTGCTCGCCAGACTAATCTGGTGCCAGATTCTGCACCCATTCAAGTCCAAGCAAAAACTCCCGTTGATTTCAATGGGGCAGGGGTCTCGAGAGCAGACACTGGATTAACCGGGATCCACAGCCCATCAGGGGGAATCGCTAGGAGTCCCAGAGTCAGAGCAGGCTGAGAGGTTAGGAATGGCTGGAGTGACTCGAGGAGAGAGGGACGCACGGGGAGTGCGCCTCCAGGGTTCTGCTGCTCCTACCTGTAGAAGGAGGCTACGTGTTCCTTGAGGGACTGGACCAAGGGGTTTATCCAGTGGTACCGCAGCACCACGCTCTGGGAGAGGCTGACGTGGAATTCCTCCATGGCAGTGAGCGACACCGTGTACCTGCGGGCGTGGGAAACGAGGAGCTCCCGCAGCTCCAGCAATTCCTCCTGGATTTCACCTGCCATGGAAAAGAATAGCGGGATTAGAGCCTGACCCTCCCCCATAGCTCCGGCTAGGTTGTATTTCCCTAGTTTGTTTATGAGAAGGTCATGGGAGACAGTATCAGAAGCCTTACTAAAGTCAAGATATACCACATCTATTGCTTCCCCCCATCAAAGAAAGCTATCAGGGTGGATTGACATGATTTGTTCTTGACAAATCCATGCTGACTGTTATTTATCACCTTATTATCTTCTAGGTATTTTCAAATTGATTGCTTAATTAATTATTTGCTCCATTATCTTTCCAGGTATAGAAGTTAAGCTGACTGGTCTGTAATTCCCCGGGTTGTCCTTATTTCCTTTTTTATAGGTGGGCACTATATTTGACCTTTTCCAGTCTTCTGGAATGTCTTCTGTCTTCCATGACTTTGCAAAGATAATTGCTAATGGTTCAGATATCTCCTCAGTCAGCTCCTTGGGTACTCTAGGATGCATTTCATCAGGGCCTGGTGATTTGAAGACATCTAACTTGTCTAAGTAATTTTTGACTTGTTCTTTCCTTATTTTAGACTCTGATCCTACCTCATTTTCACTGGCATTCACTATGTTAGACGTCCAATCGCCACCAACCGTCTTGGTGAAAACCGAAACAAAGAAGTCAGTAACCACCTCTGCCATTTCAACATTTTCTATTATTGTCTTTCCCCCCTCATTGAGTAACGGCCCTACTCTGTCCTTGGTCTTCCTCTTGCTTCTAATGTATTTGCAGAATGTTTTCTTGTTTCTTTTTATGTCCCTAGCTAGTTTGATCTCGTTTTGTGCCTTGCATTTTCTAATTTTGTCCGTACATACTTGTGTTATTTGTTTATATTCATCCTTTGTAATTTGACCGAGTTTCCACTTTTTGTAGGGCTCTTTTTTGAGTTTTGGATCATTGACGATCTCCTGGTTAAGCCAGGGAGGTCTCTGGCCAGACTTCCCGTCTTTCCTATGTAGTGGGATAGTTTGCTCTTGTGCCCTTAATAATGTCTCTTTGAAAAACTGCCAAGTGTCTTCAATTGTTTTTCTCCTTAGACTTGCTTCCCAGAGGATCTTACCTACCAATTCCCTGAGTTTGCTAAAGTCTGCCTTCTTGAAATCCATTGTCTTTATTGTGTTGTTTTCCCTCCTACCATTCCTTAGAATCAGGAACTCTACCATTTCATGATCACTTTCACTCAAGCTGCCTTCCACTTTCAAATTCTCAACCAGTTCCTCCCTATTTGTCAAAATCAAATCTAGAACAGCCTCCCCCCAGTAGCTGTCTCCACCTTCTGAAATAAAAAATTGTCTCCAATACGTTCCAAGAACTTGTTGGATAATCTGTGCCCTGCTGGGTTATTTTCCTAACAGATGTCTGAGTAGTTGAACTACTGAGTAGTTGATACTGAGTAGTTGAACCACCACGTTCTGTGATTTGGATGATTTTGTGAGTTGTTTAAAAAAAGCCTCACCCATCTCTTCTTCCTGGTTAGGTGGTCTGTAGTAGACCCCTACCATGACATCACCCTTGTTTTTTACCCCTTTTATCCTTACCCAGAGACTTTCAACAAGTCTGTGTCTTATTTCTATCTCAACCTCAGTCCAAGTGTGTACATTTTTAATACATAATGCAACACCTCCTCCCTTTTTTCCCTGCCTGTCCTTCCTGAGCAAGCTGTATCCTTCTATACCAATATTCCAGTCATGCGTATTATCCCACCAAGTCTCTGTGATGCCAACTAGGTCATAGTTGTGTTTATTTCCTAGCATTTCGAGTTCTTCCTGCTTATTCCACATGGAGGACTCCACTGCCAGGCATAGGTGCCCACTTTTACTGCCACCGGTGCGTGCTTGACCCCCCCCTGCCCCCACCCCGACTCCACCTTTGCCCCGCCCCCTCCCACCCCCATTCCAACCCCTTCCCCAAAGTCCCTGCCCCAACTCCGCCCCCTCCCTGCCTCTATTCCGACTCCTTCCCCAAATGCCCGCCCTGGCCCCACCTCCTCTCCGAGCGCGCCACGTTCCCGCTCCTTCCCCTCCCTCCCAGAGCTTGCTACAGCTGTTTGGTGGCGGCAAGCGCTAGGAGGTAGGCAGAGGAGCGGTGACGTGGCGTGCTCAGGGGAGGAGGCGGAGGTGAGGTGAGGTGGGGCAGGGTGGGGCGTGGAGCTTGGCTGCCGGTGTGTGCAGAGCACCCACTAATTTTTCCCAGTAAGTGCTCCAGCCCTGGAGCACCCATGAAGTCGGCGCCTATGCTCCCAGGGGTCTCTGTCCCTCATCTGTTCCTGCCAACACCAGCCCCACACTGGAACAGAGTGCTCCTCTCCCCAGCACTCCCACTTCTTCCCCTGCTCCAGCATTCACTGTCCCCATACCGGGAAACAGAGGGAACAGGGCTGAAGTTACCTACAGGGCAGGTAGACATAAGTTGCCCAGTTGCCCCGCTCATGGGGGAAGTTGCGCACTCGTCCGTCGTGCTTGGAGCTGTCATCCGTGACCTCCTCTTCCTGGTCTCTGAACATGTTTAAGACACTGTCCGGCAGAGGGAGGCGAGGAATCGGCATGCTGCAGGAGAGTTGAGGGGAGGAGAGAGGAGAAGAGGAAATTAACATGCATGGCCCACTCCCAGAGAGAGGCAAGTGTCCTCGGCTAGTTGTGCCATGGACAACGGCTTATCCTTCCTCATTTGCACAGACGTGTTCTAGACTCCTCCAAAGTCAGCCAGCAAGGAGAGCTTCTATACAGTTCTGGAGCCAGGAAGGGTTCCCCCTCTCAACACAAGGGCCTCCATCTGTTAGCCCTAGGTTCCTGTGGCTGGCCCGGTCCTGTGCAATCAGTGCTACCAGTTTTAACCCTCTTCCCATCCTCCCCTTATGAAACCTAAAGCCCAACTGCATTCAGAAGCCCAATAGGTCACCTCCTGCTCTACCCATTGCCAATATTATTTGTGGTTTTGCAGAGGACAGATAATCCCAGACAGCCCAGTTGCAGGCCTGGAAAAGGGAAGGGAAGAGGCAATATACCCCCCAATCAATTCTTATTTCCTCCCCAAACCGGCTTTGCACTCACGCTTTTCCCGAAGACACTTTCATGATGCTGTATTTCAAACACTTAAATTCGGGAGAACACTTCAGTTATCAAATGCAACACCACGCACCAGCGACCAAGCTTTGGCTGCCACTGACAAACTGGAAAGTGACAACTCCCGGCCCTGCGATCAGGCCTACATCTTGTAGTCCCTGAACACTCTGCTGCCCTGAACATCGGCCTGTCAAACCGACTCACCGACAGTGAAAAGCCACTACACAATTCAGCACAACCAGAGCAGGCCACCGAGCAGAGATCCAGCAATAAAATAGCAAAGGGCATTCATTACAGGTCTGGGTGAGGGTGTGTTTGCGTTAAGGGGGAGTCCAGGCCTAGATTAGGAGGTACTGCAGGCCAGGACTGAGGGGAGCGAGCAGATCTTCCAAAGTGGGTTAAACTAAACGGGCCAAAGGTGCTCTTAGTGCAGAATAATTGTGTCTGCAGGGGGAGATAATAGCTATTGCACTTTAAAATTCAAACTCTAGTTTATTTCACAATAATTCCCCATGTAGACAAGCCCCTAGATCTGCCAGTGCTCTGTCCAGACCTGCAGCACTTCCTGATTTCAGGGGGCCTGGACTGGGCTATTAAGCATCAGCCTAATTCGGGCTATGACCCCGTGTAGACAAGCCTGAGCGGGGGCTCCAGGAGTAACACCAGGAGGTCTGGGCTGAGGGCCACGGGCAGAGCTGTGTCGGGCCCAGAGGACGCAGCGGGCCAGGCCAGGGCCGAGCCCCATCCGATCCCTCTTTTCCTCCCACTCCAAACTTCCGTGCGAAGCAACAGGCCGAGCGGGGGGGGGGGGACGCGAGCAGCTGCGGCCGGCCCCCCCCGGGGCCCCCCTCCGCCAGGCGGCCCCCCCGGCCCCAAACCCACCTGGTCTGGGCGGGGCCGGCTCCGTGGGTCGCCGCCCCCCGCGCCGAGCCGCCCCCCGCCCCCTCCTCTCGCCCCGCCGCAGCTCGCGGGGAGCCGCCGGACTCATCCTCCGAGCCGCCGCTGCTGCTGCTGTAGCCCACCAGCGCCGCCCCGCTCATGGGGGCCGGATCGCCGCCGCCTCCCTCCCTCCCGCGGCGCCTCCGTGCGGCAGCGTGTCGCGTCCCCCGGCGCCCCGCCTGGCTGGGGCGAGCGAGCCCCTCCCGGGGCCGCAGGGAGGCCGCAGCGGGGGCGCCCGGCCGCCGGGGGGAGGCTCTCGCGTGGAGCCGGGGAGGTGGAGCAGGAAGCCGGAGCGAGTCCACGGAGGGGGCGAGAAGCCAGCGGGGGGGGGGGCCCGACCTGGCGAGAGGCTGGAGGGGCCAGGGAGCCGGCGGGGTGGCTGGAGGACCGGGGCTGCGCTTCCTAGGGGCAGCGGAGGGGCGGCTCCCAGGCCGCAGCGTGTAGAGAAGGACTCTGCATCCCCGGTGGGTGGACCCGGGCTTTCCCCTGACCCAGCGGAGCATGCGGGGGGCAAGAGGCTTGGGCCTGGGCGCGGAAGCCGTCACGGGGCTGGGAGCAGGAACCGGGTCCTCTCTGCCGCCTTGTTCAGCGAGCGAAGGAATTAACTTCCATTCCCCCCCGCCCTGGTCTCGTCCGCCCGCCCGCTCACCCCGGGCTGCTGCTGTCTGATGCGCCCGGGGCGGGGTGCTGCGCACGGGCAGCTCCCGGGATGGAGGCTCTTTCCCGGGTACCCCGAGGGCAGCTCGCCCGTGGCACCCCCCCCCCTCCCGCGGGAGCCCCGCACTGGTGCCGGGAGCAAGGAATCCCGGCTGACCCCGCAGCCGGACGCGTGCAGCAGCGAGCGGGCACCGGCGTGGGGAGGATCATGAGTGACCTGCGAGCTTTACGGGACAGCGGGGGCCAGCCTCCGGCGCCCCGTTTACAGGGGGTGCGGGGAGGGGCCGTCTCAGACCGATGGCCTGGGGCTCGGATCACCGCACCCCCCTCTGGGCCCCTGCAGTCAGGGTCGGGGGGTCTTTGTCGCGGCCAAGACCTCCCCAGAATGTCCCCTGCCCCGTCCATGTCGGGCAGCCCCCCCCCAGCCTGCCCGGGGGCATCAGTCCCCCCCCCCCGCCCCTCGGTGCCCGGGGTAAGCGGCCCCCAGAAGTTCTCGTCGCGGCCCGGCAGGGGGCAGTGTGGGCGCGCAGTTCCCCCCGCGGTCCGGCAGGGCGCACCTCCCCGGTCCCTCCCTCGGCCCCGCCTCCTCCGACTCCCTCCATCCCGGGGCTCGCAGCCGCCGCCCAGAGTCGAGCGGGCCCCACCCGGCAGCGGGACCCCCCCCCCCAGCGCCGAGCCGCCGGCTGCCCGCCTGGCCTCCGCCTCCTCCTCCGCCGCGGCCCCGCCTCGGCCCCCGTTCTCCGGGTTGCGCCGCCGGCCGCGGCCGCTACGCCAGCTCGGGGATCGGGAGGAGCCCGCAGGCCGCGGCCCCCGGGACCGAGCCGGGCTGACACAGGCCGCCCCACCCCCGCCGGGCCCGGCCTGCAGGTGAGCGGGGAGCCGGGAGCGCCGGGGCCGGCGGCTCCCGCCCCCACTGCCGGGGGCTCCCCCCCCCCGGACCTGGGGCTTCCGCGCCTCGAGTGCTGGAGGGTCCCCGGCACGGTGGGGCTGCCCGTAGCCCGGTGGGTCCCCCTCTTCCCCGGCGGGGCTTCCCCTGCCCCGCTCCCTGCGCTGTCGCTGGGGGATCCCCGCCGCTCCCCTCTCCAGGGGGCCGTGTCCCAAATCCTGGGGGTGTCCCCGGCCCTCCCGACCCCAGCCAGCGTTGGGGGCTGTGGGGTTCCGCGACCCGCTTCTTCGGGGCCAGCCTGTCCCCGGGGGCGCCCTACCGCTCCTCCTCCTCCCACCCCGGGAGCGGTTCCTCCTTGAGACAGAGTCTAGTTATTTAATTAGGTCTGTTTTTGTTTATTTCCTCCCTCCTCCCCAGCTCTACTCCCAGATTTGTCTCATGTCTCTCCCTTCCTCTTCCCCTGCATTTTTTGTTCCTCCCAGCTGGAAATGTCCCCAGCTTCACACGTAGGACACGGTCTGGAAAGAGGAGGGTTTTTACTTCCAAGTAAAGGAAACACGTTCTTTTTTTGATCTGTAAGTTAAACTTTCGTGGTTTGGATGTCTCACCTTAAGGTCTGGTTGGACAGGGGGTGTAATATGAATGGCACGGAGAGGGAGGCTTTATTTTCTGTCATGTCTCTACGCTCATTACAAAGAGGACTTTCAGTGGGGTATTTGTAGCGTTTCCTGCTTCTCTTTACATATTTTAACTATCTTGTGAGTTCTCCGTAACATAACGGTGTAGTTTGTTCTAGTCAGCACTGGGTTTCCCTTGATCCCACCAGGGTGAAAGCTGAATAGAGGGCTGAGTGTGGGGTAGCTTACCAGACTGTAGGGTAAAAAGGTAAAGATGTCTTTGAGGAACAAGTAGCAGCTGAGGGTGCTTGGTTTCGTCTGAAGATCTAGCTGTATCTTCTCCTGGGGAATTGTTAAACATATTTATTAAGCATATTAACATTAAGGGTAGGCTGCAGATGACAAACGCCAGGAAACTCAGAGGAACACTTGTGCTGGAGTAAACCTGCGGGAACAGACCATTTAATTAAGGCACAGGCCTGTGCTGTGATTTCCTCTATGCCCCTTGCTGCTGTGAATCTATGTGGGTTGGATTCTGAGCCCTACTCTCTTGCATGTAGCCTCCGCTGCTGGCCTGCACTCTGGAGTTACTCTTCTCTTTGTGATGTATTAGTTAGTTGGACTTGGTGCTGTGATTGTGACCTGGAGGCTGATCGGGAAGTGAAGCTGGGCCTGAAATGGAGAGGTGGGGATCAGAACACAAATAGGTTCATAACAAAAAGGCAAGAGAAATGATGCGCAGAAGGTGCAAATTATTGTGCAGAAGGGCCAGATTGTGTTTGAGATGGCTACATTGCCAGCCTCTTCTCCAACTTGAGAGTACCTCTTTCATTCTGATGCTCTTATTAAAGCAGGGGTGGCCAACCTGAGCCTGAGAGGGAGCCAGAATTTACCAATGGACGTTGCCAAAGAGCCACAGTAATATGTCAGCAAACCCATATCAGTTGTGTCCCCCCCCTCGTCCCGCCACCCAGCTTTCAGCACCTTCCACCCATCGGCAGCCCCGCTGATCAATGGTTTCATGGCATGCAGGAGGCTCTGGGGGGTGGGAGAGCAAGGGCATGGCAGGCTCAGGGGAGGGGGCAGGAAGGGGTGGAGTGGGGGCAGAGCCTGGGGTTGAGCAGTGAGCACGCCCCGGCGCATTGGGAAGTTGGCGCCTGTAGCTCCAGCCAGAGAGTCGGTGCCTATACAAGGAGCCGCATATTAACTTCTGAAGAGCCGCATCTGGCTCCGGAGCCGCAAGTTGGCCACCCCTGTATTAAAGTGTCGTCATTTTCTGTGTCCCACCAAGGGATGAGCCAGACTGAACATCTGCATTAACTTGTTTGTTTATATCAATATACCCAGGTTGGTATTTCCTAAGGGCTTTGTTTGTTTGGGTATTACCTAGCCGTTTCCATACTGCATCAGGCCATAGTCCAGAGTGCGGTCTCTGCTTATCTATCGGACTGCATAACAACTAACTATAGATTAAACCTGCCCACAAGGGAAGTTTTTCTTCTTCTTCCTGGACAGTTAGTGGTTGGCTTATGCCCTGAAACATGAGATTATCTATTCTTAAAGTCTTATTCCAGCTAGTGTAACTGCAGATATTCTTTTAGTTCAAATAGTTCTAAATTAAAGCTGGGGATAGGGTGGAATGTGCGGGATTGGAAAGGGAGATCCCAGTGAAGCTGCCAGCCCTAAGGAGTTTGGTGGCTTCTCTGAATAGTGCACCATTAAATATAATGTTGTAAAGGCAAATTGGTTAGTGCAGCATCCTATTGAGTACCAAAATAGTGCCGCTCAATCTGAGCTGAATGCCATGGGCTAGCTGAAGTTTTGGGTTGGTTTTTTTGCCATTTGCCACTGATGTTTGAGACAGTTGCAGCAATGAGTGGGAGACTAAGCCATCAGTTTCTGCTGAATCCAAAGTCGCCTGTTAATGGGAAACTAATATGAAAGATGGAGCTTTTGAGCAGGGCCTGGGATAGTGGTCCAGTAGGAATATCGGTACCCTCCTTCTTCCCAAGAGGTGGTGTTGGAATTCTTGCCAGGGGATTGGCCTGCTCCTGGGTCTCGCTGTTACCTCACTATCTTTCTCTTGTATCTGTAATAGATTTAGTCTTCTTACTAGCAGGTAAATTTTCTTAGTCCCATGTTATGCGTCGGGAAGGGTTACAATTCTGGTTGAGTCGTCTTTGTGAGGCAGAAAATGTAATACCTTTCATTGGGGGCAATGAGTAAATTATGCACAAGTTTGTAGGCTCCAGTGATCCTCCCTTCAGCAGTTTGGCAGTCTCTGTAACCAACCAATCACATTATGTACTCTGGCCACGTTCACTAAAAGACCTATATGGCTACAAACACTTTTTTGGGTACTGTGATCTGTCTGTAAGTAGGCCTTTGCTCTAGTCTCACGGGTTAATGTTGTGTGGGGGTAGTAAGCATCGTAAGCAGGGTAGTTGTTTCTCTGGAGCCCTCTTGTTCTTCCGAGTCTCAAAATAAGAAGATATCTTATTCACTTGAATCCCCTCTTTAGTGAGGCTGTTTCATTTCTACAGCTGTGGTGTCAGGTACACTAACAAAGTTGGGGATTGGAAGTAAATCCTGAAATATCAGAGACTGTTTCCCCCAGTGAGCCTTTGGTACTCAACCAGTCCTAACTGGATCAGAGTGGACTCTGCTTATGATGTTATATCTCAGCGTAAAACTTGATTGGCTCTTAGCATACAGCAGTGTATATCTACCCCCTTGGACTGCACAACAGTGAGACAACATTTTGGTTTTAGTAGGTGTGTTGAACCCCAGCGGATCCTGTCACGCTCCTATGCAGTGATTTTTTCATATGGGTTTGTGGAGGGCAGTATTTTTAGTCAGAGTAGGGTCTGTATGTCTTCTTGAGTGAGGTTTACATGAAATAATTAGAAAGGTTGGGCTTGTCTTTTGGCGAGCAATCCACTTTTGCTATCTCTAGCCAATGGTTTCATAACAAGTGAATGCATGGGGATTTGAAATTGAAATGTTGATTAAATTAATCCAGTTGACTACATAGTTTTCTCTGCTGAGAATTTAGGAAAGAGATGGTGACAGGTCATTAGATAGTCTCAATCTGAGCCCCAAATGGGGACAAAAGAATCCCCAGACTCTCTGTAAACTGAAACAGCCACATGTACACATGCCTCCCTTTCTGGGCCATCACACTTGATTGAAAATGCAGGGAGCCAAAAAACAAGGCTGCTAGTCCTTAGGACAAAGTCTGTCTAATGGGAGCGTGGCTGTCAGGGCAGGACTTGGTCCCTTCTGGTCCTAGGTAAACTTGGCCTAGACTGTATGTGTTCCTCCTGGTTCAGTTAGTTTTCCCCCTTTTCTGCGTAAGTGTGGCTTGGATAGAATAGGTATAACAGATTATTTTTAGTCTGATCCGTGGGTTAAAGGGTTGAACACACAGTTGTCTTGCTTACCTGTGGGAACTGATGTGAGCTGTCTTCTTTCCTTGCAGAATTGTTCCTTGGAGCGTGTTCCTCACCTTTGCCAACGTGAGTGCATTGGGTCAACACGGACAAAGGCCTCCTGTTGTCTTCAAGACGCTTTTTTTTTGCTTCTGGTTTCCATTTGGTTTACCCAAAAAACTTGCGAAAGGGAGTGCTTTTCATTTGATGCTGAGATCTAGAGCGTGGGCTGGATTCCCCACCCCCAGTTGAGGACCAGCTGCTGGGAATCAGAATCTTCTGAATTGCTCCCCTCGACCGAAAAGCTGAAGCTGTGTCTGCTAAAACCCCATTTTTTCCCCCCAAGCATGTCAGAAAGCTGGCGCAGCAGCAGCAGCCACAACATCACGCCGGGACAGCAGCACTCCCAGAGCACTCGATCCCTTCCAGCACTGCTGAGAACCCTCTGGGTTGCGCTGTCTACGGCATCCTGCTCCAACCAGACCCCAATCCGCAGCATCACCAGCACCCTCCGATCCAGGCTGGGGAGCCATCCCACAAATGCGGTGTGTGCGGCCACGACCTTACTCACCTGTCCAACCCCCATGAACACCAGTGCCTGCCAGGGCACGACCGCTCCTTCCAGTGCACTCAGTGTCTGAAGATCTTCCACCAGGCCACTGATCTGCTTGAGCACCAGTGCATCCAGGTGGAGCAGAAGCCCTTCGTGTGTGGGGTCTGCAAGATGGGCTTCTCCCTGCTGACCTCCCTGGCGCAGCACCACAACGTCCACAACGGCAGCGCCGTGAAGTGCTCCATCTGTGAGAAGACCTACAAGCCGCCCGAGGCGGAGCCCTCCCAGGCCCTCGACTCGCTGGAGAAGCCCTACAGCTGCTCCATTTGCCAGAAGACCTTCAAACACCTGTCCGAGCTCTCGCGGCACGAGCGCATCCACACCGGAGAGAAACCTTACAAGTGCACCCTGTGCGACAAGAGCTTCAGTCAGTCCTCGCACCTGGTGCACCACAAGCGGACCCACAGCTCGGAGCGGCCGTACAAGTGCACGGTGTGCGAGAAGACCTTCAAGCACCGCTCGCACCTGGTGCGCCACATGTACGCTCACTCGGGCGAGCACCTCTTCAAGTGCAGCGTCTGCGAGCTGCACTTCAAGGAGTCCTCGGAGCTGCTGCACCACCCGTGCACGCCCAGCGGGGAGCGCCCCTTCCGCTGCGGCGAGTGCCACAAGGCGTTCAAGCGCCCCTCCGACCTGCGGCAGCACGAGCGGACGCACAGCGAGGAGCGCCCCTTCAAGTGCGACCTCTGCCAGATGAGCTTCAAGCAGCAGTACGCCCTCATGCGCCACCGCCGCACCCACAAGGCGGAGGAGCCCTTCCGGTGCAGCCTGTGCGAGAAGGGCTTCGTGCAGCCCTCGCACCTGCTCTATCACCAGCGCGTGCACGGCATAGAGAACCTGTTCAAGTGCAACGTGTGCCAGAAGGGCTTCAGCCAGTCCGCGGAGCTGCTGCGGCACAAATGCGTGCAGAACGCCGAGCGGCCTTTCAAGTGCGCCGTGTGCAGCAAGTCCTACAAGAGGGCCTCTGCCCTCCAGAAGCACCAGCTGTCGCACTGCGCCGAGAAGCCGCTCAAGTGCACGCTGTGCGAGAGACGCTGCTTCTCCTCCTCGGAGTTCGTGCAGCACCGCTGCGACCCGGTGCGCGAGAAGCCCCTCAAGTGCCCCGACTGCGAGAAGCGGTTCAGGTACGCCTCGGACCTGCAGCGGCACCGGCGAGTGCACACGGGCGAGAAGCCGTACAAGTGCCCGTCGTGCGAGAAGGCCTTCAAGCAGCGCGAGCACCTCAACAAGCACCACGGCGTGCACGCCCGGGAGCAGCAGTACAAGTGCATGTGGTGCGGGGAGCGGTTCCTGGACTTGGGCTCGCTGCAGGAGCACAGCGTCCAGCACACTGCGGAGGGGGCCTACCAGGTGGCGGCCTGCTTGCCGTGAGCCTCCTCGGCAGGCTCCGGGGGGGGCATGCAGACCTCCTCGCCCGCCCGCGCCCCTTCCCTGAGCATACAGGATCGATACCCGTACCCAGGTGGGGCAGTGGGGGATGGGCTGCTGGCCTGGCTGACGGTGCTCTGGCCTCTTTGTTCTCTCCCACCTGTATTAGTGTCTTACTGATCTGCTGGACAGTATGTGAAGAACCCAGAGGAGTGGAGGAGAAGGGGAGGAAATAGTGAAAGCAAATCCCGTACCCGCTTGTCCTTTTCTGGATTGTAGTTCACACTGCACCTGCGGTTCAAAGGGACGTGAGTTTGCAGGTCTCCGCTCAGCCGCCCCCGGGGACTGTAGCCCTTTACACACACCACCTAGTAACGAGTTTCCCTGAGAGAGCCGGCTGACTGTCCCTGGTCTTCATAGAGGCTCAGGAACAAGCCAGACCCAGGCACGACTTTCTCCCCCAGGCAGTGAAACAGCAGGCTTCCGCTGTGGGAGCCTTCGTGCTTGTTAGTCCAAATACAGTTAAGTTGCTTAAAGGCAGTTTTGAGCCAGTAGCACTGGTTGACCAAATGGCCCTTGGAGCTCCCCAGACATTCCTCTCACTAGAGTGAGCAGGAGGGAACAGCAACAGGACTGCTGTGCTCCTAATGTACTAAGTCCATTGCTGCTTTTCCAGTCTTTGCTGGCTGTAGAAGTCTGCAAAGGTTCCTTTCCCTCTCACCTGACCCCCAGTAACTCTGATGCAGTCTAAGGGTTACATGAGTGCTGGACGGTATTTGGAGAAGTTGGCTAGGTCAATCCTCTAGATCTCCAGTACTCCTGGTTCTATAATTGGCTGAGAACCTTAAGTTTGCAGGCTGAGAACCTTAAGTTTGCAAGCTGCTCACCTGGAGAGAGTCTCTGAATTTCCTAAGAGTTCAGCTGTCTTGAGGCATAGCTCTGCTATTAAGACTTAAAACTGCTGCCAAAGCAAGCCCTTCTCTCATAGTGCTACTCAGTGATGCACTTGGAGGGGCATACAATCCCAGCCTCGGGGGCCTCTGTGCTGAAAGCAAGAGGTCTCTGAGTGGGATCAGCAGTAAAACACTACGGGATAGGGAAAACACTACTCTTAAAATACAACTTGAAAAAAAATCAGCAAAAGAGAAGTTTGTTTAGAAATGAGTTTGAGAATTTGGGATTGTAATTGAACCTCCCAAATTCTGTGGCATTAAATTGTGATCTTTTGGGGCATGACCTTTTTATTCCGATCAGACAGTGAGTAGGGGAGAATTCATTCTCTCCTGTGTAATTGGCTTCTTGGGAAGGGCAGGTTAGCAGAGGGTCAGGGATGAACGTTTTCCTTTCTGGGAGTGCCTGTGGGCCCCTCTTGTTGGCCCCTTATCCCACCTGTATCCTTCATGGGAATTGCATCTTTATATTGCAGCCAGGAACCATTTTAAAAAAAAAAAGTCACCATCCTCTGTTTTCCCATTGACTGGGCTGATCCAGCCCCAAAAGCTGTCATTTACAGAATATTGTTGGCTTCTCACGACCAAGGGTTCTTCAACTAAAGTTTGGCACTTCCTAGGCCAGAGTGCCTGCTGCATTACCCAAAATCCTTTCCTTGCCACCAGCTTGGCTGGCTAGTGTTTGAATTTGGGGCACACTGGTTGTAACTAGTGAGAGCAGTGGTGGTCAGACTACCTGCATGCTGCCCAAATGGATAGGGCCACAAAAGCAGTTCCATTGTGGGTGACAGAAACCCACATTAACCCTGTAAAAGGTTAAGTCATACCTGTTTTCTCTCAAAGGATCCCCCACTCCGTGTCCACTTCCAGCACCGTAAAGAGGACCAGAGCTTATTTCCACAGGGGGCTGGAACAATTGAAGGAACAGGTCCCGAGTTTTCCTCACAAGCAGCTTTAAGGCGTTTAAATGAACCTCTGGCACCTCAGGAGGAGTGACTCAGTGCTCTTCGTATTTCACACTGCCTCAGAGATGTAGAACCGACTTCTACCAAGTTTTCTGTCTGCGTTTATTTTCCATTTTGCTTTTTTTTTTTAAAGCAGTTTGTTAATATTCATTAAAAGAAATCCTGTATAGTTTAATTCGATGTCATTTTGGATCTTTAAAAAGAGAGATTCAGTTCTAGGTAGCTGGTTTTTGATGTTAATATATAGAGTTCAGTGTATCCTTAACTACAGGAGTAAAACTGAAACACAAACAAGAAAAGCTAATCTTGTTCAGGTTGTCTTTATAAGTGGGTCAGATTGGGGGAGTCAGGGAAAGGTGGCATTGGAGGGGACATTGCTAATGGAAATGGAAATTCAGGATGTGGGGAGAGAACTAAAGAACCAAATTGTTCGACATGCAATACACTTGGCTATAGAGACTATTTTTGTTCCAGCTGCAGAGCGTTTTGCACTAATGCCTTTGGGACATCCATTGGGAACCACCAACGCTGGTGGATTGGCTCATAAGATGATAAACCCACTTAAAATTAAAAATCAAGAATGGCTCCCAGTGTCCTCCCTCGTTTTGTTTTGACAGCCAGAAGCATTGATAGTTCAGAACCTACAGGTAAATGTTCTGCAGTAAACTGCACCACCGAGATAGGGGAGCAGACCTTGCTCTTATGGGGAGGGAGAGCTCAGGGGTTTGAGCATTGGCTTGCTAAACACAGGGTTGTGAGTTCAGTCCTTGAGGGGGCCATTTAGGGATCTGAGGCAAAAATTGGGGATTGGCCCTGCTTTGAGCAGGGGGTGGGACTAGATGACCTGAGGTCCCTTCCAACCCTGAGATTCTATGATTCTTAGTGCTCTGCCAGCTACTGTATTAAACTTGGCTGTGGAGAGACCAAAAGTGGATGAATGAGGTTCTACTGTAGTTAAACAGCAAACAATAGATTTATTGTGGGTGGCAAATACCACACCCTCCACAAGAGATACGAGTGGTGCTGTAGAGGCGGATATGAATGTATAGGTGGCATCTACAGTCTCCTAACCCCTTTCAAGTAGGGAGATAAATTATTTTCTGATATAAAGGCTCCACTCCTGTTGCATCTCGGCAGTATTACTTTTATTAACGAGATAGTTTCCCCTCTTCCTCTCCGCCCACTCTGGTCTCTGTCCCATGTGCTTCAGAGCACCAGCTAGCTCTGGATGCGAAGGATCTGTTCTCAGCTCAGTACCTCTCCCTGGTTTTTGTAGCCAATTTAGAAGTATGTGAACCCAGGCTAACCCTCGTTGCATTCCCCGCTGGCTCTGGTGCTCTGTCATGCTGTGTTTAGCTGTCTTGCTCCAGCCAGGAAATCTATGAGCTGCTGAACTGTTCAGGGCGGGAGCAGGGAGCTAGGCAGCCCAGCGTGTAGCTGGTACCCTGGCTGCTCAGTGCTGGAGTGGGCAGCTGAACTCAGCAGTGGCAGAAGACAGCAGTTCTGTCTTTCCTGCTGTGTGAGTTATTTCTAAGCTAGTCCCCAAAGCAGGGATGATTGGTGATGAACTGGAAGGGGATGGAGAGGATGGCTTGTATTGCGTAGTTGCGAGATCTGGCCCTTTTCTGAGAAGGGAATGCTTATTTACACATTTAAGGGATGGAGGATGCTGATGTATGACTGTAGTTGCCAGAGACTCTTCGTTTGTGAAGTAAATAGCTGATAATACGCATCAGAGGCCTGCCCCTGATGCCAGTGTTACAGGAATGTTAGACTTGTTCAGTAGTGGCTGGGGAGGCCCTTTGCAAGGGGGCTACTCATTTCCACCCACTTTAAGGCACCTTCATGCTGCCAGAGCACCATAAAAGGGTCTTAGTGTAATAGAACCAGGCCCAAGATCTCTTGAATCTATGTCCAATCTGTCTGTGGAAATGCAGTTCATAGCTGCAACCTTGCAAGCTAGAGGCATGCATTTCTCAGGTCTAGTCACACCCAGGGCTATTACTCAGCTCTCCGAGATAGGGCAGATGCATCCCAGGAGCCCTAATAGTTGGTAAATGGGAGAGGTGACAGTACTGTAGGAAAGGATCTGGGGGTTATAGCACATCACGCATTGAATGAGTCAACAGTGTGATGCAGCTGCAAAAAAGGCTGATTTCATTCTGGGGTACACTAACAGGAGTCTCATGTGTAAGACACAGGAGGTAACTATCCCCGTTCTACTCGGCAACGGTTAGGCCCCAGCTGGAGCACTCTGTCCAGGTCTGGGCACCACACTTTAGGAAAGACGTGGACAAATTGGAGAGAGTCCCGGGGGAGAGCAACAAAAATGATAAACTGTTCAGAAAACCTGACGTATGAAGAAAGGTTAAACAAACTGAGCATGTTTAGTCTTGAAGGACTGAGGAGGGATTTGAGTCTTCAAATATGTTAAGGGCTGCTATAAAGAGGATGGTGACCAGTTGTTCTCTGTGTCCGCTGCAGGTAGGACAAGAAGTAATGGGCTTGATCTGCAGCAAGGGAGATTTAGGTTAGCTATTAGGAAAAACTTCCTAACTACAAGGGAAATTAAGCTCTGGAATAGGCTTCCAAGGGAGGTTGTAGGAGTTTTTAAGAACAGGTTGGACAAATACCTCTCCGGTATGGCCTAGGTTTACTTGCTCCTGCCTCTGCCCGGGGGGCTGGATAAGATGACCTCTTGAGGTCCCTTCCAGCCCTACACTTCTGTGATTCTGTGTGTGGCTTCAGGACTACCGTTGGCGTGTTCTGTTTGGTAACAGTGCAGTCCAGTTCCACTTAAAGCTGGTTGTCCTAACAGCTGATGACAGCATGTGTTGCAGGAGCAGATTACTAGTCAGGTGTATGTGGCCGTACCTTGATCTCCTGGGACGAGGGCAGGGTGGGGACAAGTTACGTGGTAGAACTGATGCTATAGCCCTGGATTTTTATTAGGTAAAGAAAATTGTTTAACTACAAACGGTTCCCCTAAAGATGTTTAGGTTGGGGAGAAGAGGGTTGGTTTACATTGCTGTGCCTTTCAGAGTCAGGTTGTTTGTTTGTTTGTTTTTTAAACTGGAGTAAGTGGTAGAAATAGTGGAACATAATCTTGTAAGAGAACCCCCCTGGTTCTGCTTCTGGGGGGCTCAGGAAGCCGATACAATGGCTGCCTTTCCAAAGTGGGTTATGATGACACCATCCTACAGGGCGGAAGGGCTCATCAGCTATTGACTGTTTTCAGTTGACATTTTACTTTCAAACCAAAGAGCAAATGTGGCCAAAGCCTCTATGGGGTAAAACGTGTTAAACTCTGTATCTGTGTTGCACTTCCTTTCTCTTCCGTTCTGACGTTTATAGAGAGACACGGCTGGGGTATCTGTAGCCCCACACCCTGGTTGCAAAACAGACTCCTGCGTCTGCTCATAGTACCTAACAGTCCCGGCCAGCTGTAACTCAGCCTTGATAAAATATTGTTCACCAACGAGTTTAGCTTCCCTGAGCGCGGGAAGCCAGGCGCAATAGCTCAATAGCTGTAAGATGTTGTTGGCTAGATGGGGGTATGTCTTGCGTGTGGCTGTTTCTCTAGAAGATCAGAAGAATAGGAATGAAAAGACGGAACTTTTGGAAACTCATAGAAAGGTGGGATGGTGGGGGGTGCCTACATTATACCTCTGCAGCCGGGTGACTGGCTTGCAGACAATGTGTTCAGTTCTTCGTAGCTGTGTATTTGCCTCCAGGAAGGAGAGATTCCTTCTTACCCGTCTCTTTCTGTCCTCCGCCCTTTTCCTGTTTCCCTTCTTTCAGCATAGCCACAGGAGGCCTTGACATCTTTGTTTTCTCCCTCCCCATGTCTCTTGTGTGCTGTTCAGCCGTCTTTGGGGATTATCCTTTTATAACCACCTCGGGGTTGCTTTGCACCTCGTATGTTGGCTTTGCTCCTTGTAAAGGATGGTACCTTTTTCCCTTTTGCCATTTTGATTATTTTTCTACTATGGATTTCTTTAAAATAAATACCTTTCGGAGACCAGTGGTAGTTCTCATTTACTTGAAGACCTCTAATGGTGGGGATTTTAAAGGAACCTGATGGGGAAGGTGCCCAGTTCCATTGAATTCCAGTGGGATTTGAGCAACTAACTCAATTGCGGTCTACAGAGCCATTGCCCTGAGTGGCACAGCCAAAGTTAGGAAAGGATTTACGCAGCACTGTTCCTCATTCTCTTTTAGGGTCAGTTCCATCCTGGTCATGTCAATTCAGCTTTGCATGCGGGGGTGCTGGCAACAAAGTATGGGGAAAGTGTGTCCCAATGCTCCTGTGTAGGAAACTGAGGTGGTGGAGCTAAGAGGAGACTGGTCAGCATAGCTGTAAAACAGGCGCCAGCCTGAGGCTATGTCTACCCTACCGTGGGCTCAATGCTCCGGCGATGGATGCACCGGGGTTGATTTAATGGGTTTAGCGAAGTCCCACTAAATCGACGGCAGAGCGGTCTCCGATCGATCCCGGTACTCCACCAGGAACGAGAGGAGTAAGGTAAGTCAACGGGAGAGTGTCTCCCATTGACCCAGGGCGGTAAGTCAACCTAAGCTACGTCGACACCAGCTACATTATTCACATAGCTGGAGTTGTGCAACTTAGATCAGTTTACCGCGGTAGTGTAGACATAGCCTGAGGAGTTGCAGTTTCTCCAATAAATTATGTCCATTGACACTGTCACGGCAAATCTTGGTAGTAACTTAGTGGAGGGCCCTAAAGGGTTCATGGGGTAGAAATGGTCAGGTAGCGGTGTATCATGATGCGTACTGACACTGTGAAGATGGAATTTAAAAAACTTCAATCTCTCCTTAAATGGTTCTTCCTACTACTGCCGGTGGGGCTGTCATGCTGTAGCTCTCAAGGTGGAAGGATATCCTGGCTTCACCATGATGGGTACAATCTACTTGTACCTGTGCCCTGGGTACAGTTGTCTGATCTTGGTCCCATATTCAGTGATTGCGTAGGGGCATGATGCGGAGCAAGGGTGTCCCTCTTAGAGCTGGGTGCTAAGGTGTGTGCTCAGCGTTGGGTTGCCGTGTGGCTTCTGGAAGAGTTGGTGCTGATGAAAGTGAACAATAAAGGGAAAAACTGGAGGATGGATGAGGACAAAAGCGGCGTATGACAATGGGTTGGCACAGTCTCCTGGCTCTCCGCTGGAATAACTTGCCTGCGAGATGTTTTTGGGGAGGAGAAGAGCACTTTTTTATTCCCTTCGGGCATTGCAGTCAACCCAGGACTGCAGCTGGTAACTGGGTGTTAACTAATGATGCAAAAACCTTAACCTTGAATGTTAACTATTCTTGATCAAGCTGTGACACGCTGAGTTAACTCGCAGGAAGATTTTTGTTCCTGTATATGCAGACATCCCATAGAGATGCAATAAGGACAGGCAAGTATGAATTTTGGGCTACCACTCCGTCTTGGGTTCTGGCAACTTGAGCGTCTCTTGTGATTTGGGATCCGCTTTGTTCTCCTATGGCACGTTCCCTGCTGGCCATCTGAAAGCACATTACAGACATCCAGGAACTGAGCTTCCCAACATCCCTAGACCTCTGAGAGCGAATCCGTTTGCCAGAACCCCAAGGTGGATTTCTAACCCCTAACTCCAGGTGCTTGTCCGTAAAGTTTTATGTGATCCATGGATCTGATTTCTTTTCAGGGGCAGTTCTTCGGTGCAGTGGAGCAGAGGGCTTGTTGGCCCACCCACAGTCTCTGATGGGGTGAGGTTATAGGTGGATCCGCATAACCTATGGTTGTGACTCCGTGCCTGTGAATTGGCAGGGCTGTGTGAGATTGTACTCGTGAGCGATGAGGCTTCGGTGTGGCTTGCAGTGCCTTTAACACTGCTTTCCGTGTGTTAAGACTGTATCCAGTGCGTGTGTGTATATATATTGTATTAACACGTCCAGCTCTCCTGTGTGATTGTCAAATGGTTTTGCTTTACTAATAAATTTATAGTTATTTATACCTTCTTGTGGGTGTGTAAGGTTTCTAGAGGGGGACATCACACATGACCCCCTCTTTCCCATGGTGTTTACCCTTCTTTTGTAAATCTACTCCTGGGGCTGCTCCTGTTTTTGAGCATCTGTGGAGGGAAAAACAAGAGCGTGTGCTGCTGATACCGAAGGTCACGAAATGGGAAAACGTTCAGGATTCAAGCTGCTAAAACTAAAACAAAAGAGGGAAAAGTTCTGATGTGCTCCACTCCTGCTAGAAATGAGTGCTTTGCTTTCCTTTGTCGCATCTGCTGGCTTTCCCTGGATGGAAGGTTATGGCCAAAGGCTTCCACTGCCACCAGCTTAGCAGCGATGGCTCTAGGCGCTCTGTGCCTCCAATACAGTTAGTAACGGTTTAATTGGTGAAATGGATCGATTCCTGCTCCAAGGATTCTGATTCCAGGGAAGGCTCCCACAGCGTCGAAAGGAGCTCTGCTTCTCCCTCAACGCTCATCTAGTCATCGCATTGTAATGACTCTGTGGTTTGGCGGTGAATTGGGCAGAAACCAGGCACAGAAATTCTCAAATGCACAAAGTTATTCTCCCCTCCACCCACTCCGTCATGCGGGTTTTGTTATTTTGGCCAGATAATGGAGATGCAAAGAGGAAAACAGTTTTGCCTGTTTGTGGCCCCGCTTCCTCCCTACCCCCCTTGAGATCTAAACCTGGGAGGGAACATACAGTCCAGCAGCACACGATTAATGTCGGGGGTTGAGATGGCAGGGCTGTGTAACTCTGAAAACGAGAGACCCGGATCAGGAACGAGGGATCTCTTGACATCAAAACTCACGCTGCAACAAACATAGCCGGTTTCCCTCCTCATTTTTAGGTATCTCCCTCGGGATCCTATCCTGTAGCAGTCGCACCTTCAAAACATTTCTCCCTTCTAAATGGTCCTGCTTATAAATATACAGCCCTAGATCTCCAAGCACTGTGACAAAAGAAGGGTAAGTAGTCACTGCATTTTACAGGTTGGGAAAGGAGGCGCACAGAGGGAAAGTGACGTAGTGGCAAAGCTGGGAACAGAACCCAGGTCTGTGTTAAGTAGCACTTGCATCAGTGAATGAAATTCTTGGCTTCCTAGAAACAGCCCATAATGTCACTGCACTATGTGGACAGCATGTTACGTTTTCCTGGTTTTGAGGGGGAGGGGAAATGTTCCAATTCTGTATCCTAGAAGTTGGATCTATTGCGTGCTTAGATCCTTTATTGTGAAGGGAGACTTGCCTGAGACTTTGACCCCCTAACCTGGGCAGGGCAGCATCATATGGCTGGGAAATCTTTAATTAAGGCCTAGATCAGCGTTTCTCAAATGTGGCCACCGTGGGCTTTTCTTGCAGCCACAGCCTCCTGGATGGTGATTCTGGGAGGGGGGAGAACAAAGAAGAGGCCCCTCCCCCAGGGTTGCCAGCAGGGGTTGGTCCCTGCCCTCTTCTGGAGCCACTAACACTAGGAGCAGGCAACCAGTGTGAGTTCTCCACCTTCCTGGGGGCAGTGGGGCTTGGGCTTTGGGCTTCTGCCCTGGGGTGGTGGGCGGCAGGCTCTGGCCATGCGGCAGCAGCAGGCTCTGTCCCCCAGTCCCAGGGCTTCAGGCTCCGGCCCTGGGCTCAACCCGTCCCCCCATGCCCCCACATCGCCCCTGGATCTTGCTGCCTCCTCCAGCCCTCACCCGAGCAGCAGGATTCCAGGCTCCATCCCCAGACTCACCCCATCGCCCTGACCTTCACTTCCACCTCCCCATCCAGTCCTCCATTGCCCTGGCCCTCCAGCCTCCTTACCCACCTCCCCATCCAGGGTTTAATTTGTTCCTCAGCTTGCCAGGGCTGAGTAAGTCTGCTGTGAAAAGTGTTATTAACAAAAATACAAACATCACTTTTCACAATAGCAGACTTACTAGCTAGCAAGTCTTTAAAAAAAAAAAATCAACCCAAAGAAGCAAAACATGCAAAGCACCTTTTGTGTTTCTATTCTCTTTAGGTCCAGTAAAGAATAGGGACAACTGTACATTATTTTTATTATTGAGTCTGCAAAAAACCCAAACCCCTACATAAATAAATTACAATGATTTGGACATGGATATGTGCATATTTATTTGTTTTTCCTAAAGTTAATTAAGTATTTTAGGAAAAAATTGGCAGAGCAGCCACCAGCAAGAGTTGGTGGCCGCACTCTGAGGCCAGCAAAAAATTTGTTGTGAGAACCCCTGGCCTAGATCCTTCAGGAAGGTGGTGCTGGCAATTCAGCTAGGTGGCTGCCTTCCCTTCTGGGTCAGTATTGAGTGAGTGGCTCTGTGCTGCTGGGGTTCCTGGCTTTTTGGAGGGGAGAGAAGCATGGTTCTGACCAGATGCATTAAAACTTCTGTGGCATGTTTTTCAAGCCTTGTGTCTAATTATTGATGTAAATGGGGGGGGGGGGGGTTCCCCTCACCACTGCCTAGCTTCCTTATTCTTTGTAAGGTTATTTCCAAGCCAGACATGGGGCGGGGGGAGTTAAATTGTGTTTTAGGGTTTTAAAATATGGAACTGTTTGAACTTTGTTCTAGAGCATCAGATAATATTGTATGTCTTTGGGGCAGGTTCACCCCCCAAACGCTGGCAGCTTTGCACAGTAAGTGTCTTTTGATTTGGAATTCGCTAAATAACGATAAAACCAAGAAATCTGCATAAATCAAAGGGTTAAGAGCTGGCTAAATTCTAACGAGTAATAAGTAGAGCTGGCCAAACAGTGGGAACACGACTCTGCTCAAAATGTTGAAGTGGTTCCTGTTTCACAGGGTTCAAAGTTGGTGGGGTCCCCCTCTTTTATTTTGCAATAGCTTTTGAAACTGCGATAGACATTTGTCGTTTACCAAAAACACTGTTTTGTTACTGGAAACTGGGGTTTGGTCAACGAGGAGTTTCAGTAATTTAGAAAACGTCTTTGGGAAATGAATGATGTCATGGAAAGGTGTTTAGAAAGAATATCCACAATGGCGACCATTTCTCATCACACTTAGTTTTTTTTTTTTTTTTTTTTGAAAAAAGCTGTTCTGTGATTGGAAAAACCTCTTCTGTGCCTACCCCCACCACCACCTTGAGTAACTCGGTGGTGCTACTCTGGAATTCTCCTACCAGCTTGCGTTGCCTGTGATGGTATTTGCATTGTTCAGTGCTGTTTAAGGGCTACTGCTTTTCCCATTCCACAAATCAGGAGACCAGAGTTCTGTTCTTGGTTCTGACACTGATTAGCTGAGTGACCATGGGCACGTCCCCTCGCGGCCTCACTTTCCACATCTAAAATGTTTGAGAGGATGGGTAGCAGTGTCCAGTCAATACTCCTTGTCCAGACCACTCGATGTTTTGTGTATTGTTAACATGTTTGCTCCGTGTCGTCTCCTCTGTAAGGTAAGCACTCCTAATCTTTTCATTGGCTCTGTTGGCCTTGAAAACCTCTCCCGTTGTCATTCTCAGTCTAACTTTAAACCAGCATGCCACACAGGTGGGAATGTGAGTAGCATCAGAGGCTATTATATTTATAGGCATTATTCCCATCCTACTGTGATGCAGGGCTCCAATGGAAGCAATCAGCTAAGTACCAGTGGGGAAGTGGTTGGAATCCACTCAACTGAAAGGCTTCATGCTGCTTTGAAAGTACTGAAAGGCTGTTTTATTTCTCGGCTTGTTTCTTTCGTTTCCACCTTTCTGTGCAATCCCTTTAATTGGGCCTGTGTCAAAGATCATGGAGGCTTCTCTCCGTTTCAGGGACTGGGGTCACTGTTTACTGACAGGAGCTGGTAGTGTTCTGTGCTGTTACTCCTAGCTCGCTGGAAAGTGAAATACTGTATTTGATTTGACCTCCTAATTGTCGTAGAAACAGATATGTCCTGTTATTTGTAAGTTGCCTTTTGATCATCCACCTTCCCTGGATAGACCGGGAAGAGCACTGTATCTCCCTCTTTTATCCTTCCTCATGGCTCTAAAGCTCTGCTCTCTAGTAACTTAGCCTGTCCACTCTAAACTGACCCTAGGCACAAGACCGCTGTGCTCGTCAAAACACACTGAGGCATGGGCAGCATGAGCTGAAACTTCCTTTGGAATCAAAGCTGTGATAGCCATTATATTGGTGCCCCTATAAAGCTCTCGGGGATGTAGAGTCGGGGTAAGGCTCCTTGCAGGCGATGAACATGGCCTTTACAGCAGTGTGAGTGGACTGAGCAACTCAAAGTTCTGAGGTAGGTTTTAACTGCACAATAGAATTGGTGAACACTGATTTCTGTACCAAAAGCTCCTTCTAACCCTGCTTGGAGGGGCCTGCCACACAGAAATAAGTATTAGTCTCTTAACTCCACTTTTCCATTTTGTTAAATGCCCTTGGCAATGCCTTGTTCAATGGCAGGTAACAGAAGTCTCCCTGCTACTTTTGGGTCTCATCAATGAACAAGAAAGTACTATGAGATCTTCCAAGCAACTAGACAGCTGGGGTGTCTGCCTGCTCTCTTCTGGGCCTGACTCTGCCATCCGGTCTCGCTGAGACGCCCCTACCTCCTACAGGTAAATCCTACTGCTCCGCACATGGGTGACAGAACTGTGCTCTGTATAAACGTGTGATGTGTTTTCCACCTGAAATATACTGAAGCAGAGAAGGGATAACCTTCATTTTACAGACTCCTTTCATCCTGCCTCAAAACCAGTAATTGCACAGGCTTAACGTACATTGAATGGCTTTTTAGTTGTCCCGAAAAAGCATTCGTAGCTTTCAGGTAGGATTTTGGCGCTTGTCCTTGTGTTTAAGAGGGTGAGGCAGAATGTGAACGGCCCGGAATAGAACTACATCGCAGGCACCAACTTGCCCCAACCCTGTTACTTGTCTTGTGACCGAGCAACTGTTGCTGCGGTATGCCCTGTGTGGAGCGGTGTGGCTGTGGTTGCTGGGTTAGGACTGCATCGCTCTAGTACAATTACCCTATTAAAAGCTACTCCAGCATCCTGCTGTTGTGGTTTCTTTCCTGATCTTTTCCCCATGCCTGTCCTTGGCTGTAGGTGCTTCACGCTATTTCATACACCCGTTATTACAGGACCCTCAAGGTTCCCACTGAGAGTGCGGCTAGGTGCTGTGCATGCAGGGTATGAAACGCTCCCTGTCCTGAAGAGTTTTCAGTGTAATGGACAAGACAAAGGGAGGGAGGGGAAGCAGAAGCAGGGAGAGGTGCAGTGACTTGACCAGGTCATTGGCAGAGCTGGGATAAGAAGCCTGGTCTGTAGATTCCCAGGCAGTGCTCCACTCCATTGGACTGTGCTGCCGTCCTGAAACCCTGTACAATGCCCAGTGAGCTGCGCAGCCCGGTTTTAATCAACGGACGTGCCATGAATACCGCGCCAGAAGGAATCAACCAAATTCAATCTAAAGCCCTTTCATAGAGATGAAGATCTAGTTCCCGGGAGTATGGGACATTGCCTAGCACTGGGCTCCCATCTGCCACTATTGGCCTTTCTTACTGAGCCATTTGGTGTGTGGGTGCTTGTCCACCTTTTTAATACTGTTTTTTTCTGGTGTAGGTTTTTAAGAATTAATATATCCCTGGCATTACCTCCCTGTGTCTGCGTCCACTCTTCTCCAAGCCAAACTCCAGGATAAGATGTTAGTCTTTGACTCAAAGCCTTCTGAATTCTTTCCATTTCGGCACCTTCTACCAAGAGGTGATTCTGAAATGGGCTGGCTTAGTTAGTATGTCTTGCACTAGCCACTCAAACAGCTGCAGCTTCGTTCCAAGTTGCCCCGGGGGGGGGGGGGGTAGGGGCTTGTGCTTTTGGCGCTGAAGTTCCGGCGTCCAGTCGCTGCTGATGCCCTTGATCGCTGGATGGTGGCAGCTGCCCTTTGTTACAATTTCAACCGAAGCGGAGGTGCCAGAATGCGTTAGCCACAGAAATTAGGCACTTTGGCGTTGAAGGGATCTATTTTTGCCCCATGGTTAAGCATCAAACATACTGTGGCTATTTCTTGCTGGCATAATGCAGCTCCATGCCTTCCCTTAGCACCCATCTCCGGGTAGCATTATAGCCCGGGAATGTCTCTTAAGCAAGGGGTCAGTGTAAAACTTAATGCAATGGCCCTTTCCTCACCAGCTCCTAACAGGGCCATGCATTTCTGGCTTTGGCATCTGTCCGAAGACTGTCCGCTCAGCAGGGCCCGATTCCAGTGCTGCTTCTCCGTGCTCTCCAGTAACTTGCTTTGTTACGCCCAGCTTGTCTGTCTAACTGGGAGCAAGACACGTACCCCATCACTGTAGCATCTGAGCCCTGCACAATTCAGGTATTTATCCTCACGACAGTCCTGAGAGGCAGAGCAGTGCAAATATCCATCCCCATTTCACAGGCGGGGAACTGAGGCACAGAGGGGCTGACTCACCCAAGTTTAAAGAGCTCCACTGGGCCAGCCTAGGCCTGTGGCCATTTTAAAGGCACCTTCCAACTATTCCTAAATCTGCTCTGCCAGACCGTGCAGAATGCTGCTAGGCATGACGCTATCCAGTAGGCACAGAGAGCTGGGCTGGGAAGTTCTGCGTCATGGTATGGAAATGGCTCTCTCGCAGGGACTCTGGGCAGACAGGGTATTTGCTGGCAGGGGGAGGGCCCTGGCCCTGGGAGGCACAGAGTGCTCTGGAGGTCAGGGCTGGGTGCGGGAGAGTTGAGCCTTATCCCAGTGAATGACAGGAAGTAAATGCTAGCAGGTTTAGATGGATGGGGAGGTTGGGGGGGAAGAGAACCGGGACACTGTGGACATCTCCAACAGACAGGACACAAGGGTTGCCTCAGTGCCCAGCATTCTTTGTTTGAGCTACATGTGCATGGCAGGGAAGGAGAAGAGCCTGTATCTTTGATATATGTACAGCACCTAGCGCAGTGGTGCCTTCATCTTTGACTGGGGCCTTTTGGTGCTTCTGCATATAATTGACTGGTGCATCTCTGAAAATGTCCAGCAAACATCTTTCTTTTCCAGCTCACACCAACTTTCCATTCCTGGTTTCCTCACAGCTCAGGCTGAATGGCAGGGTAGGGGAGAGAAAGGTCTGAAAACCTCCAGGAAGTCCCTCCCTCATCCTCTCTTCGTTTATATTTAGACATTTTAAGCGTGGTTTTTATTTGCTAGGAAGTGGAACCAATGTGTATCTCCTGCCCTTCCCCACGGCTGCCCTTGGATCCTGTGCGCTTTGGCTGTTGGACCTGGCTGTCGGAGGCCAAGTAGATTCACCTCTGGCTCCACACCCTTTCCTGTTTCCTGCCGTCTAGCGCCAGGGCTGGAGGTAGTGAGAGCGGCTAGGAAGGAAAACAGACACAGCATTTGATGAAGCACAACAAATGGCTTCAAATGCCTTCACTAGGTGATCCCCCTTCCCCCTAAGCACTTGTACTGGGCCTTGGCCCATCTTCCCCGCATGGAGCACTTCCTTTCCCCTTGTCTGTTCCTAAGAGAAACCTCTTCTCCCTCTCTTTCCTTCCCAGAGTCCTACCTATTCTCTATTCACTCCAGGGACCCTCCCCTTCTGTCCCTTCCACCTCCGCTCTCTTCCCTACTCTTCTTAGCAGTGCCCTAAGCTGCATCCCTATTCGCTTCCTCTAAAGTGCAGAGTAAACATGCCCCTGCCTCTAATATTTGGAACTAACTTGTCTTGTCCTAGGGTACCAGGCTCGCGCTCTCTCACACCTAGCAGGAGCTTCCACAAACCAGTGTGTTGATTCGAATGGCTTGCATGCACGCTCTGGTAGATGCTCTATGTATACATGTGCAGAGTAATTCATTTTGGCATGGGATCAATGTTTGAGCACGTACACCTAACTGGAGTTAGCTGGAATTGGCATCTGGATTTCTTACACAGCATGTAACCTGAAATGGATTTATTTCAATTTAAAAAAAATCCCTCAGGAAAGCCCATGCTATGTGAAGAGCATGCTGAGGTGGAGAAGTGAAATGCAAGACTCCGCAAATGAAAAAAACGTAACTTGTGACAGCGGCCACAACAAGCTACATTTCCATATGCCATATCCCATGCTGGTTTAGTTACAGCAATCCTGGGTGTTAAAGCAGAATACAAGTGACTGACAAGGAGGAGGAATTGCACTTGGTGTAAGGACCACAGCGTCTAAAGTCTGAGTGTTGTGCTGTAAACGTCTCGACAGTGTGGCATTCATACACGCTGCTGCAGTAGACAATACTGTTTGTAAAGTCTGTACAGCCCTGGTATGCTCTTGTGCTTCTTACAGGCTCAAAGATGTTAAACGGCAAGGAGTCGGGGGCTGAATGATTCACTAACTGCTTTCCCTGCCTATGCTAGCTTTCTGCACAGGCCCATGATGGGGAGAGTTTTTTGCCAGCAGTCCAGTGTGATGGCGGAGTTGCCTAGTAGCATTGTGTTGTCCAAATGTAGGCTAGGCTAAAGGCAGATGGGTTAGGACTGTCCCAGCCAGCAGCAAGCCAAAGTAGGACAGCTAGTCCCTTGACCATGTGTGCGCACGCAGAATCCAATTAGCACTTGCAAATCAAAACTGGGGTGCGTGTGGCATTTGTCTCCTCCCCAGCTGTAAGCCGGGGCCGGTGCTGGTGTGCTTCTGATCCTGACTGTGAACCCCTTCCTTCCATCGGTGAGCAGTTATTCACCTGCATAGTCCCCCAGGGAGCGTATAGAGTTTACTGTCTGGCCCTCAGGGAATATCTGGCAGAGGGAGGATGACAAGGGGCTGTATGCAAATTATTCTCCTCCTTCCCCACAGCCAACTTCCTGAGGGTGAGAGAACACATTACCTCCCTCCATGCACTCCCTCCCCTCAGCCTCAGCCCATCTCCCCCCACCCTGCCTCCCTCACTTGTCCCCCCAGCTCTCGCCCCCTCGCCTTGGCCCACTTGCTGAATTCAGAAGCATCTCTGCTGTTTACCTGTAGGCTGACCCAAAGCTCCTGAAAGTATTGCTGCAAAGGAACAGAAGACTGTGTAAGGCACAGAAAGGCACAAAGGGGTTACAACGGCAGCCTGGGTCAGGGAACCTGGGGCTGCTTACGTGCTGTTGTAAGGGAGGGGCTTCTGTCCATATTTGTCCAGGCTGGGGTTCTGATTGAGGCAGTACTGGAAGGACAGCACAGAGAGTGGTCAGAAATGGTCACTGTAACCAAGTAGCACCCCCCTCCCCTCCAGCTGCACCCTTTTGCTGCCACCTGGCCAGCCTCTACAGCAGTGGTCCCCAAACTGTGGGGTGTGCCCCCCTAAGGGGGCACAGAGGAACATCTGAGGAGCATGGTGGGGCCCAAGCCAGCCCCCGCGGGCGGGTGGGGAGGGAGCCCCACTCTGCCCCAAGCTCTGTTCTGGCCCTAGCTTGGCCCTCGGCTGTGACTCCACTCCCGGCCCAGGGGGTCGTGGACATGTTCCATTACTGGTAAGGGGGGGGGTGCAAGAGGGAAAAGTTTGGGGACCACTGTACTAGAGTCCAGCCTCTCCTGACCACTACGTGTGGAAGTCAAGTTTCCCATTGGTTTCCGTAGCAGCCCCCCTGGGTGACTTGCTGCGTGCCTAATGTTAGAATCTAGGACCTGAGCCTTATTCTCCTCTCCCATCCAGTGTAATTCTATTGATTTCAGTCGAGTTGCACCTGATTTATATTGGCAGGTTGCATTAGTCTCAAGAGAAGGAACTGAAATGGTATTTCCCAAGAATAAAGATACCTAGAAACCTTTTCTGTGACCAGGGAAGACCTCCTTCCAAAACATGGTGAGATCTGGAAACTAGTAAGTGCTAGAACAGGTCACACCTTGGATGGGACATAATCATGGAAAATCCAGATGCTGTAGGCAGTGGTGCACATGTTTCAATAGGTGGCGCTCTTGTCTCAGTCAGGCCTGAGCCAATCATAGGGTTAGAAGGGACTGCAAGGTCTGTCTGCCTCTGGTGCCCAGGGTCACAGTTGCTCAAATGAGATGTAAAACCTAAATTCTTGTGGTCAGTGGTGGGCCCATGGGGCTTCCGGTTCTTGAAACAAGAGCAAAAAACCTTGTGGCAGGTGCAGAAGGGTTCCCATGTTCCACCCCAGATGTGGCTGCGTTTTAGTGCCGAGGGAATGGGAAGTACAACTTGTAGAGCACTCTAGAAGCTTTCAGGAGAGGAGGTCCAGTCTGGAAGTGGTGGGAGTTATTACTGTGAAGGAAATGTAGAACTTTGGAGCTGCTTCCCGTTCAGTTCCTGTGATTTAGGCAGCCCAGGGCTGTGACAGCTGCTGCTACTGGTGAGATGGTGTTGGTACTATAAAGATACTCCTGCCAGTTGGCAGCTGCCTGCTCCTTTCCTTTTCCTGGCCTCCCCTCCCGCAGTATAACTGCCAGACAGCTTTTCCTTATATCTCTGGACCCAAATCTCCCAAGGAACCTGACTTGTATACAGGCAGCCCCCCCCGTGCACATACATTGGGGCATGAGTGTACCTGTAACTACCTGTGGACAGAGTCAGGCTGGAATAGTGGATCCCGGGGGGGCTGTGGGGTGGGGAATGGTGAAATGGAATTCTCTGCAGTGGTAAAGCCCAGCGTGGGATATGAACTCGAGTCGTAGTTGGTAAAAGAGAAATCTGAGAACCCTTGTGGGGGGTCGAGGAGTCTGGTAGGCTATGAAGGAAAGGCCCTTTCCTCCTCTCACGTTTATGAAGCTACAGTAAGAGCCTTCCCCAGCATCAGCCAACCGGCTCTGGAAGTGAATTAGACTCCGACTTTAAGGGCAGAAGGGACCAGCGTGATTATCTAGTCTGACCTCCTGCCTATGACAGTGTTCCACTAACCCAGTGGGTCTCAATTTCTCCATTCTGGCAACTCCTAGAATTCCCCTCCCCTCTAGCCAGGACCTCCATCAGAGTGAGCAATACGGAAAGGACGGGGTGGTCGTGGCTGATATCCCATGTGTTGATGCAAAATGCCTGTCTGGAGGAGGTTAAACGTAAATTCCACTTTTCCCCAGGCAACGTGTGATCCCCAGGGCTCCCAGCAGGAGGCAGCTGCACGGCAATTCAGTGGCACCGAGAACTCCTTACCCTCCATGTCTGAGAGACGTCTGGCTTTAAGTACCTGACGGCGTAACAGCTGAACCCGAGCACTGGGGGGAGAGAGAACGGTGCACACGTTATCACTAGTGACCCCAGCCCTGTTGCACGCTAATATTTTAATTCTGGCTTGAATTGATAGCCCCACACAATACCCAGGCAACAGGGCATGCTGGGAGAACGCCGCATGGCAACCCCTGGGAATGCGGAAAGACTGACTTCCTCATGGTGAATATCCCCCCCTGCGCGCTAGGCTCCTGTCCTCCAAGGTTGGCAGCAAGAGCTTAAAATATTTCTGGCCCCCCTCAGCTGGGTGCGCTGAGGGAGAAAGGCGGAGGGAGCTCCGGCCAGCATGTCCACACTGATGGTCTTTGCGCTGTCAAGAGAGCTGCTTTGCCCTGCTCGCCAGTGTCCATGTAAAATGAAAGAATAAAGCAATGGCCCCTCCTGTCCTTTCCCCTTCACTGCCCCAGCCAGCCCAGGACTGATGTGGTGCCCATCACCAGAACATCTGGGTGCCCTTGGCTAACATATTTAGATATTCATTTCATTTTACACTGCCCTCAACTCTGCGCTGGCCAGTTTGCTGCCAATTTCCGCAGTACATTGGGGGCTTTTGGCACGTAGGAAGGCCTGGGGACGGTTTGGCGGAAGCACGTTCTGCAAAAGTGATCAGCAAACTGGTGTTGACTTGTCATCACTAAGTTCCTGAGTTAACACCCCATGGAGACAAATGGGAGCTTTTGCACCTTTGAGCCAGCTCGGGCACTGCATTGGTTATGTTCATTCCACAACCAGAAAGCTTTCTTCGCCGCCATCAGGATTAGAGACTTAATATTTTTACTATGAAAGGAAAGAATCTAGAATACCACAGCCGTGGCAACTAAAAGTAAAACTCTGCATAATCACATTCTATACGGGGCTCTGGTTATGAGCAAGTCATTCTGGAAAATACAGGGAGAGTGAATGGATTTCGGTATCCGGCTCATCTATGTCTCCGGCTGGCTCTGTAGCCTGATCTGACAGCATGGCTATTCCAAAAAGAGAGGGCAGTTTACTGTGCATATAGGCTGGCTCTGATGCAGCATGTACGTGTGGAAATGCCACACTTACAACCCCCTGGGCAAGCCACAAGGCAGTGGCCCCTACAATCCCTCTTGGGGTGCCGTGATGGTCAATATCACAGCTGTCATTTTATCAGTGAAGTCTTGGACTGGCTTCATCTTGCTCGTTGGAAGAGCCTCCAGTCATTAAACCTCAAAAGGAGTAGGCAGCATGGGAGTCCGTCTCCCAAACGGGCAGGCAGGAGGGTCGTCGAGCTGCCTATCTAAGAGAGGAACTGACGATGGCTTTTCCCTTCCTTCAAAGAGAGGCTTTGCCCCTCCCATATGCCTGGCTGTACCTTTCTTATTCACGCTGGGTAGCTTGAATTCTCCAGCAGAGGAGATGAAGCGTGACCAGTCAGCCATCGCCTGTGTGTAGCTTGGCCATTCCTCGTGGTTAGTGCTGGGAGTGAGCGGAGCCATCTTCCCTGCTCGGTACCTTGCAGTGAGGGACTGGCCCAGCTCGGTCATCCCCTGAGTAGCAAAGCAAAAAAGGGATGTTACGCCAGGCTCCCAGCTGGGAGCTCAGCAGGGAAGGGTGGGGTGCAGGGCAAGCAGCAAAGTTGAACCCTTTGCATCCCACCCATGCTGTTGGCCTGCAGGCCAATTCAATAGACTGCCCTCCCATTTCATGAGTTTAGTCCAGTGGTTTTCAAACTGTGGGTCACGACGCAATGGAAGGCACTGGGCTGGGGCGGCTCTGGTCAGCACCACCGACCAGGCCGTTAAAAGTCCCAGCGGGGGTGCTGCCCGGCTAAGGCAGGCTAGTCCTTACCTGTTCTGACACTGCGCTGTGCCCCGGAAGCAGCCAGCAGCTGGTCCGGCTCCTAGGTAGGGGGGCCACGGGGCTCCACGCACTGCCTCTGCCCCGAGCACTGGCTCCAAAATCCCATTGGCCGGTTCCTGGCCAATGGGGCAGGGGGGCAGTGCCTGCTGGTGAGAACCGCATGGAGCTGCTCGCGTGCCTCCACCTAGGAAGCCTGCCTCTGCACCCCCACTGTGCCGCTGACCAGGAGCCCCCCGAAGTAAGCCCCAATCCCACGCCCCAATCCCCTGCGCCCCAATCCCCTGCGCCCCAAACCCTTCATCCTTGGCCCCACCCCAGAGCCCTGACCCCCTCCCACATCCCGACCCAGAGCCCCCTCCCACACCCTGAACCCCTTATTTCCAGCCCCACCCTGCAGCATTCACCCCTGCACCCCAACCCTCTGCCCCAGCCCTGAGCACCTCCCACACCCCAAGCCCCTCATCCCCAGCTCCGTTGGGTCGCGGGCATCAATAAGTTTCTTCAACTGGGTCGCCAGAAATTTTTTTTGAAAACCACTGGTTTAGTCCCCCTAATTTACTGGTTTAATCCCCCTAATTTTGAAAACCCCTGGTTTAGTCTCCCCTTCCCCCTAATCTGCAGCCAGCAAGTAGAAAATCCAGAGCCATCTTTTCACTCTGGTATCCTTTTACAGTCAGACTGATCCACATCCACCTGGCAGGGGCCTGGCTCCAGATTCTTGGCTAGTTGGCTTATTTTTATGCAGCAAATATGTGTAAATCAGAATGCTATAGACTTGGCAAAGTCTTGTGAACCTTATCTGATTAATGGAGGAAGAACAATCTTGCACTTAAGGGCCTAGATCCTTAAAGGATTTCAATGGGAGTTGGGCAGCTAAACACTTTTGAGGGTCTGGGCCAAGGGAGAGTACAGGGAGCCAGCAGATCTGCTAGTCCTCCTTATTCTAGTCCTCCTTGTTCTTTTTGCTGATACAGACTAACACGGCTGCTACTCTGAGATCTGCTAGTGACTCCCTGCTGACTCCCTATAGCTATGTCTCATTAACCTCTGTGTGCTTCAGTCCCACGATCTGTGATATGGAGTTGCTAATAGATACTTACCTTGTAGGGTTTATGCAGATCAACTCATCAGTGCCTGCAATGTAATTTGGGAGCCTGGGATAGAAAGTGCTACAGAACTGTCAAGTAACATCAATCTCCATAATAACTCTGTGATACAGGGAAAGTATTATTCCCATTTTACAAATAGGAACAATTGAGGAACTGAAGTGATGTGACATGCTTAAAGCCAGACAGTGTCAAAGCCAGGATTAGACATCAGGGGTTCCTGGCTCCTATGCTCGGCCCACTCCATCACACATGGCCTTTATATAGGGAAAATGCTTGTATTTGCATTGGTTACTAAAAGTACACAACATAGTGCCTTTGAATAGGCCAACAAATATGCAAAGAGAAGCCCCTTTGTCCCAACGACTGTCAGCTGGGGTATTGCAAAGCGTATGTTGGTCTAATAACTGGCATCCTATCACCCGCCCTGAAAATGATCCCACTGCTTAGGCTAAGCTGGGGTTTGAGCATCTGAAATGAGGGCCTGCATTCTCTGTGAATTCACTCACTGCAAACAAGCTTTTTATGGTGCAATCCAGGATCCTTACCTTCTTCTACTGCAAAACCACCATCGCTTACCTCTCTAAAGTTTTTTATGAATAGCTGCTCTCTGGGCTTACATTGGCTTCTAAAATCCTCAGATAACAGTACCTGTAGAAACTGTCCTGCTGCCTTAATCTCCAGGCCCCACAGTTATGGCACATGGTAACAAAAAACACAGAGGCAACGGAATTAACTAGTCAGAGCGTGAGCTGATGAAAGTGATTGCAAGCTACTCGCTCCTGTTCTGAAACAGGAAAGACGGATGTTTAACAGAAGTTTAACAGAACTTGGAGTAAAAGCCCGATGGATCCAACTTTGACAGGAAGTGGGGCATAGGGAAATCCTGCTTAGAGGATGAGCTTAGAAAGGAGTTCCTCTTTATCTCTGTTTGCTCCTTGCAGGTAACTAGCTTCTGAGAAAGCTAAGCCTTGGGAGAGCGCCATGGAGCAAAACTGAGCTCAAACTGCCCCCCCAGTGCCCGAAGAGAGAACAAGATCCACACACCCCACATTCAGGAGAAATCTGGGCCAAATATATCAAAGAAACAAGTGTATTTACAATTTCAATTACACCTTTTCATCTCCTACCACTTCCAATCCCCCTGTTCCTTCTCCCCCTCCTCTCCCTTATCAACACAGTTCTTCCCCAAAGCCTTTCAGCAATGAGTCATGCCCCTCCTGGCAGCTGATGTCCTTATCACAAAGGGATATTTACCACCAGTTGTCCAAGAATGTGTCTACATTAGAGCCCTGAATCTCATTTATGCTAAGATGGTGTAAAGGGTTTTAAAGCAAGCAGAAAAACCCTTTAAGCTGCTGGAGAGCTAAAAGTGGCCTTAGTACAAATGAGAATTAGGGCTTAGATATTTTTTCCCCCTTAAAAATCCCAACTTCTGCCACCAGCAGTTCATCCTAGTGGAGAACATCTACTGTTTGGGGGGTTTGTGTGTGAGATTTTTTTGGTTGAAATCTCTGATTACACACATTTAACAGACCAGGTATGTCTGTCAAATGTTACTATTCAAAAAAAAATTGAACAGATGTGCTGTTTTTGGGGGCAAGTGAGCGTACTCTGAGTATTGAATAAATGGTAACAAAATATCTAAGCATCTTCTATTTTGCTGGGTATGTGTCACAGGACATGCTGCTGGGTGGCGCCTCCTGGCGATGCTGGGGATTAGCTCCACCTGGTTCTGCACCCCCTTTCTCTTCCTCTACCTTTGCAGCTCTTCTTTTGCTCACAGAGTTGCAATGTGGCTTTGTGACTCAGCTCTCCAGCCAGCTCACACTGTGATCCCCCTTCCAGAGGAGTCTTTCAAAGTGTCTCTCCACAAGCAGCATCAGGCAGCCTCACACCCGCTGCCCGCTGTGTCACTCCCGCGTTCTTCCTATTCACTGCCCCAAGCATGGCCATTCTGCAGTGGAGGTCAGGGAACCCAGGCCCACCCTCTACTCAGAGTTCCAGTCCAGAGCCCTACAGCGAGTAGTTAAGGGCTATGGCTATACCTACCGTAGTGCTCTCTTCCCTGGACTTTGTCCTACTATGCTTCCCCAAGCTTTTCATTCTCCAGTGAAGTCTTCCTAGTCAGACCCCCTCTCTTAAGGCTGCTAGGTAACCTCTTTCTCAGGTGTGCCCCCCTCTGGGGGGCAGACTTCAGGCCTCTTCTTTGCAGCCTTCACTGTTACCAGACTCTTGGCTTTACAGAAGCCTTGATTGTCCCCTCACAGGTGAGCTTCCCGCTAATTAGCACTCTCCACACAGCCGAAATCTCCCCCCTTTGCAGCTTAATTGGCTGATTAGACCCACCTGGCCTAATTCAGCTCTCTCAGGGCCAGTGTGGGCAGCTGTGAACAGGTTCAGGTCCATGGTCCACCACCCAGTGACTGCTGTAGGAGGGGTAGGGGAACTCAGGCCTTCCTGCTCGACTGGGTTCCAACTCAGAGCCCATCCAGCATCTTCCACCCTGGGGCACCTCAAGTCAGCCTCCTTGGGTCACTTCCTATCCCCCCCTTTCCTACAGCAAGAAGAACAGGAGTACTTGTGGCACCTTAGAGACTAACATATTTATTTGAGCTTAAGCTTTCGTGAGCTACAGCTCACTTCATCGGATGTGTGCAGTGGAAAATACAGTGGGGAGATTTTATATCAGAGAACATTAAACAATGGGTGTTACCATACCCACTGTAACCAGAGTGATCAGGTAAGGTGAGCTATTACCAGTAGGAGAGAAAAAAAAACAAACACAAAAACAAACTCCAAACCTTTTGTAGTGATAATCAAGGTGGGCCATTTCCAGTAGTTGACAAGAACGTGTGAGGAACAGTAGTGGGGGGGGGGGGGGGGGGGGGAATAAGGCTTGAATAAAGACTGGGAATAGATGGGTCATTGCACAAACATGGGGAAATAGTTTTACTTTGTGTTATGACACATCCACTCCCAGTCTTTATTCAAGCCTCATTTTGGTCCCCCCACACTCTTCCTCACACGTTCTTGTCAACTGCTGGAAATGGCCCACCTTGACTATCACTACAAAAGGTTTGGGGTGTTTTGTTTTTTTCTCTCCTGCTGGTAATAGCTCACCTTACCTGATCACTCTCGTTACAGTGTGTATGGTAACACCCATTGTTTCATGTTCTCTGTGTATATAAATCTCCCCCCTGTATTTTCCACTGAATGTATCCAATGAAGTGAGCTGTAGCTCACGGAAGCTTATGCTCAAATACATTGGTTAGTCTCTAAGGTGCCCCAAGTCCTCCTGTTCTTTTTGTGGATACAGACTAACCCGGCTGCTTAACCCTGAAACCTTTCCTACAGCATGCTGCTGTTTGTCCCCATAAGAGCTATCTCGTGGGCTGCCCATCCAGCTCCAGCTCTATCCTCCTGCGGCACCCTCAGAGCAACTCCTCCCTACCCCAGCTGAGCCAGCCGCCGGCTCCCTTTTAAGCCCTGCCTCCAATTGGCGCATGCTCTGCAAGGGCACAGGGGCGGGATCTGCTCTTTAACCCTTTGCTGTCCAGTGAGGGGTTTAGATATCCCACCACAGGATGTATGTATGCGCAGTATGTAACTGGTGCATTATTTTTCCCGTCATAACCACCTCCCAGATTTTTGTGAACCATTCTTCTTGAGTTGGACTGTTTTTTTTTTTCAGGAGCCTCTGCTGGTGTTTTACCGACCAGTCATCTAACCCTGCCCAGGTCTGGTCCAACATGGTGATTAAGATGCCACAGGATGCAGGTGCCCTGTCTACACTCAGGCTCCTGCTGCTAGAACTGTGTTGATGGTAGCAATGGTGGGAGAATTGAATAGTCCAGTGTAGGCAAGGGCAACGGATGTCAGCCATAGGTCCCCTCCCCACATCTTCCATCAACCAGGGCTGAAAACAAATGGACCAATTGGTTTGACACCCACGCCAGAAGGGATACTCTGCCCTGGTTGGAAGGAGGTGTTTGGCATGTTTCTGTAGCTGGTATTGAAACTGATTTGCCTCTGTCTACTAGCAGCCATGTTCTTTTCAACCCCAGTTGGGGAACAAGCTGGGAACCAGTGGTGGAAACTGATTGCCAAATTCAAGAACATTATCCTAGTGTAGACATGAGCTGGTTTGTCTGTACCTGTTCTGGATTGTAAGTGCCTTGGAACAGGGACTGTAGTTCCTTATTTGTTTGCACAGGGCCAAGCAAACAGCTGATGCTGGCTAATGTCTGAAGGTCCCTCAGTGCTTAAGCAAAGGTGGATCTGGGTGATATTCAGGATTGAGCTTATAGGGAGGGGAAGGCACAAGTGGGTTACATGAAGGCCAGGACCTAGACAGAAAGTCACCAGATGTGTAAGTGTCCCTCATAATGCTGCTTCATTTGGCTGAAGTGACTCACCAGCGATGAGAGGCGCTTGTTGGGGACTCCTCCCAGAGTGAAGGATGCGTTGGCAAAATCCTCTGCAGGAAACAGAAGGGAGAGAAATGAGAACCGCGGCCTTCTTGGTCATTTCCAAAGAGTGGAGAGCAGGTTTGGCCTCGCCCACCTGTTTGGCCCAGGAGTGTGTCCAAGACAAAGCACTGGGCTTTGGAGCCTGTTCGAAAACTGCGTTTGAACTGGCTCCAGACACAGCTTGGCCAGCCAGTGAGGGCAAAAGGCCAAACTATTTTAGAACATATTTTGGAATCTAGGAGTGATCCTATTTCCCAAGGGTGACCCCTGGAGTCCTGCAATGGAACACTCTGAATGGGGCTTTAGAAAATGGCTTTAAAACAGTTTAGCCCCACCTCTGCTGATTAAAACCATGCTGGGGTAGTGTTGTCTAGTGGGTATGACACCAGGCTAGACGTCAGGAGACCTTGGTTCCTGCCTGGCCTGGCCATTGACCTGCTGGGTCATCTTGGGCAAGTCATGTCCCCTTTCCTTGCCTCTGTTTCCCCTCCCATGCTGCATCTGTCTTTGTTTAGGACATACACTCCCTGGTTCAAGGAGCTTATCTCACTATGTGTTTGTACAGCACCTAGCACAATTGGGTCCTGATGTTTATTGGGGCTTCTAGACTCTTCTGAAATACTACAAATAAATAATAGTGTTAAAAACCAGCTTAGCAGGAACTGTGTTGAGATTTCAGCACAGACAGGGCTGCAGAGGCCCTCTATGTGCTAGACTGCCTCAGAAGCCTGCCATCCGGGTGCTCCTCCAGCGGTGGTAACAAGAGTGGCTATGTTCGCATGGATGGGTGCGATGAAGTCGAAGTTCTGTCGGCACTGATTCTGAATTGGGGCTGATCTGATGAAGTTGGATCAGGAAGTTACAGTCAAGGAAAGCCTCTAGTGTGGATCCACCCAGAGTTAGCAGAGTTGTGACGTGTCTCTGCCAAGCCAGGGACCCTGGTGAGTGATCAGCAGCACTGGACAAGCTGGTGGAAGTAAAACAACTTGGGACAATGGGTTTGTTCTAGACATCATCTGGGGGGTACTTGAGAGAAGTGGAAAATTACCAAAAAGCAGAACAAAAGTGGCAGGTGACCCCAGCAGGAGTCTATAAAGGGACTCACTGGGGGAAACTGAACTGGGGGGAGAGAGTCATTTTGTACCAGATTAAGATGAAGGAGGCTGTTGCAAGGGGCAGGGCAGGCAAGGGGGCGGAGGACTGACCCTGCCTTGTGGAGCATGGATGATTCGCCAAAGGGAGGGTAAGCGGGGAGGGACATACTGCCTTTAGGATGTTTGATCGCTTTGTACGGTCTCCTGTGCTTTATTTGGTACAGAAAGGAGTTCGACTGGACCGTGTATGCATATTGACTGCTTATATTGACTACTGTGTGTCCCAGAGAGAGTTAGACTGTAAGCAGAAGCTTCACGAATTGCCCCTTTGGGGTGGAGTTCTGGAAGAGGGGTGTGTTTAAGGACAGGGAGTCCGAAGGGTCAGCGCTGTTCCCTGGGGGGCGTGGACGGCAGGTCCCAGCACTCGGAGGGGGCTGCCTGATAGAACGTTTGTGCCCTAAGCATGTGCATAGTGACTCCTGGATTGGGGCAGTGGCTCGACTTTGTTGGTCTACAGGGGCTTGACCCCACCAGGGGATCCAGAGCATAGACGGTTGGATCCCCCTCACAACAGTCCTAGTGAGAGGCCAAGTGGGAGGCTCACTAGGATCTGTGGCAACGGGGTGCAGGCAGCTGCCTGAGGTCTCAGCTCTGTGTCACTAGGCCTCAGGATTAGAGAGCATGACACCCTTCCCCAGGATACACAGGCAGCCCCCGCCCTTTGGTACCACAAATGGAAGTGGACCCCAAAACGGCTGGTGTAGAGAGGAAGGCTTGGCCCCCTGAAATCGCACTGTGCACCCTCTTCTTAGCCGCATTCTCGGCTCACATCTGCAACCACTAGGAGGCAGTACGACTGTCCTCACCTGACTGTGAGGATCACTTGACAGTGACCTAGGATGATGTCATCTGTGACAAGATGAGCCTTTCTTGTTCCAAACATATTGCCACTATTCAAGAAGGACAGTGCATTTCAGATGGCGTGTCAGGCCTGGCCTGCACATAAAGTAGTGGATTCTCCAGCTCTTGCTGTCTTCAAATCCAGACTGGACGCCTTTCTGGGAGCTGCTGTAGTCCAAAACGAGTCACTGGGCTCAACATGCCGGGGGGGGGGGGGTCACTGGATGAGATTTAATGGCCTGTGACCTACAGATCAGACTAGATGGTCCCTTCTGGCCCTAAACTCTATGAATCTGTGAGAATCTCACTGGGGCCGTGTGACGGGGTGTTCCAGGTGTTTGCTACCAGCCAGCTTGGGGCACCCCCCATGCAGAGAAGAGCCACAAATTCAGACCTCCAGTGCTTGCCTGGAGTGGCCTCCCATGATCAGCCCGGCAGGAGGCGTGGACCAATCAGGACCCAGCAGGCCAGATAAAAAGTCTGTCACTCGTCAGGGCGAAGCCAGTGCAGGGAAAGGAAGCTCTCCGTCCTGGCCCTAACCCGTAGAGCATGGTCAGGGCCTAACCTTGACGACACTGGCCTCGGGGCTCTGTGCAGGACGAGTGTGCATGGTATGGACTTTAACGCCCTGGCAGCTAGTTTGAATGCAGCGTTAATTTGTTTTCTGTAAATTAAAACCTGAGGTGAGCTTGTCCTGTGGGCAGGGATGGTCTTTTTTGGGGGTAAATTGGTACAACTTCCTCAAGCAGACAAGGCCTGGCAGGCACAATGCTACACCAACAGAGCTAGTTGTAACTTGATATGTGTGTCCACACAGAGGTTTGCGCCTGTTAAATGATGGGCTTGTGTACATGGGGAAAGTCACTAGTACAACTATGCCAAGTATAATTATATCACTATAGTTAGAGGAGTATCACTCCCTGTGGGGACACTCTTCGGGATGTCTTTGAAGCACTTGGCTCTTCACTGGGTGTTGCCCCCTCTCACACAAAACCCGCTCACTCAATTCTAGTGCCTCTTTCCACCCAGGCTAGCTGCCTCAGCCTGGACTACACCTTAAAACCTGGGTGCCACTTTCATGTGGTCTGGTAAGGCCCACTTTGCAGCGAGGATGCAGGCTAAACCCCTCGGGTGCCGAGCATTGTCCATTGCCTTCCCACAAGCCCCTCCTGTGCCCAGTAAGACAAACAAGTTGTCTGGCTGGGATGATTTAGTTGGGGTTGGCCCTGCTTTGAGCAGGGGGTTGGACTAGATGACCTCCTGAGGTCCCTTCCAACCCTGATATTCTATGATTCTAAGTTCATCCACAAATTCACTGGGAAAGACTCACAGAGCAGTTCAAATTTATTTGAGCATAAGCTTTCGTGAGCTACAGCTCACTTCATCAATGAAGTGAGCTGTAGCTCACGAAAGCTTATGCTCAAATAAATGCTCAAAGGTGCCACAAACCCTCCTTTTCTTTTTGCGGATACAGACTAATACGGCTGCTACTCTGAGAGCAGTTCAGTGCTCTGCAGCACAAAGACCCATGGGATGTGCCTTGAGGAGTCTTTGACACACACAGGTGAGTTCAGCCCCAGTGAGGACGCAGTAAGGCTTTGTAACGTGACTGTTCGCACCCAGACTAGGCTAAACCAGGTGCTGATTATCTGAGTGAAGCCGCACCCTTATTCCAGAAGGTGTCTTTTTCCAGTTTCGCTTAACCCCTTTATAGAGCTTTGTATAATTATGCTGGTAAATTTCCCCATGTAGACAAGCCCTAAATCAGTTATTAAACTGATTTCGGTTCAGCTGATTCAAATCAACTTCTGTGTATAGACAAGGTAAAGGAAATATGCTACCCCACTCATTCAGGCAGGAAAACAAAGGCACTGTCTAAGAGATGGTGATACTCTTTGATATGCTAACTACACCGCAGCTGCTAACTGGGGAGGAACTGCTCTCAGTTTAGGGGAGCAGGGATCACAAACTTAATGAGCAATGTCTCCGTGCTAATTGAGCAGGGAGGCTTGGCTGGAAGTTTGACATTGCAACCAGGGATTTTGACACCCTAAAACAAAGGAGCTGGAATCTATAAATAGAGAGGGGACAAGCCTTAGCCCTGGGGAGACATGCATTGGAACTGACTGAACCCAGCCTGCTGCTGGCAAGAACAATCTAGGCCGTTGCCGAGATGAAAGGAACTGATCAATAGACACTAGCTATGGGATTTGGCCTGGCTAGGTAGACTTTATGAAGTCTAGACAGTCATGTCTTATTCTGCTTAACTTTTACTTGCTTTGGTTCCCCCCCTGTCATTTTTCTAAGACAAACACATCTGGTTTTATCGTAGCTAATCTGAACCGCAGATAGTGAATGGGGGCTGTTCCTGTGGGACGGAAATCCACGTCTGTCCTGCGAGGCGTGGGCATGGGGTCTCATCTTCCAAAAAGAACTGAAAAGCTGCTGGCTTTGGGTTCAGGGATAAGCCTAAAGACACCAAGGTGTGCCCAGCTCTGCAAACCTCAGGTGAGCCCATAGAATTGTAGGACTGGAAGGGACCTCGAGAGGTCATCTAGTCCAGTCCCCTGCCCTCATGGCAGGCCTAAGTATTATCTAGATTCAGATCATCTTTCTATAGAGCCAGGGCAAAGATTACAGTAGAACCCCTGGGCTATGCTGTGCTTGCTAGCGCATGCGTACAAGTGAGAAGTTACCCTGGGATGGGAGGGCTGTATTGTTGAAACCAGCCTGATCTTAATTTGAAGACAGGTTGGTAGAATGGTCTGTCTGGGGACCAGTAGCATGCTTCATACAAGCATCAGTAAAGTAGTCAAGGGCAGGCTGTGTATTTAGCTGAGTCCCTTGGGTTATGCCGGACTCACCTAGTGCCCAGATACTGCATGACATTACCGAAGAAAGTCACATTCGTGCCTCGCTGCAGTGACCTAGGCTACGAGAGTGCTCTGGGTTACCAGTGGCTGCAGGTAGACGGAGACCTTGCGGCCTGCCTTTCTGACGTGTGGAGCATCCACAGCTCCCGGTAACTTCCCTAGGAGTCGTAGGGCTCAGCACCTTTGAAAGCCAGGCTGCTGTTTTATAGGATAATGTCAGCGCTTGAGAAAGGGTGGTGTTACCTGCCCGCAGGCCACAGTGCTGCCTAGCCCCTTATATATAGCGCGTCTCTGCCCAGGATCTCAAAGCGCTTTACAAAGGGGGTGAGGATCATTTTCTCCATTTTACAGATGGTCCAACTGAAGCACTACCAATAAAACCCATTCTCCTAAGGCGCCATCCAGCGCACTATCCACAGGCCCACATTGCCTCCCCAGAGAGTATATCAAAGCCCAGTGCTGGCATTACCTTTGGTGCAGGCCGTGATTGTCCTGGAATGTTCATCTGGGAGTTTGTTCCCTGCTGAGTCCATGTCCATTCGCCGTAAGGTTGGCAGGTCTGGGTGGAAAAGCCTGTCCTTTACTCCAGCCAGCATGACTTTCCTAGGGTCCAGGGGCAGGAGCACAGCTGGGGCCGTGTAGACACGATGGCCATCTTCAGGCCATGGTACCAAATCAATTACTTGGGCCATTGCTGTAAACGGCCAACGAGAGAGCAAAATGAAAGAGACACGTGCAAAACCATGGCACTTACTTGCTAACGGCTATACATCTATCCTGACCGACAGACTGTGTGTCCTGATAACGTGATGTGTACAGGATGTCCAGTTTATCCCCTAGAGGTGAGGCATGGTTTGTTTCCCTGTTTTGTTGCCGGTATGATAGCAAAGGGAACAATACACAAACCTATCAAATGGAGATGGCCCAATGAATGTTTGCTGGGTTTTCCATGCAATACTTCAAAACACAAATGGTCTTGGGCGGGCTGCAGGCATACCAGGTAGGTGATTAAATAGGGCCTGTTAGAACATTCCACGCTCTGAGCTCAGATACCCCTTTGCAGTCCTGATGAAGGCACAGGGCCGGGTGTACATGCAGTCTCAGGACAGCAGTGACCTTAGTCACTCAGGATCAAATTCTCAGAAGCAGCTCCTACTTTGAGGTGCTTTCATAGAATCATAGAATATCAGGGTTGGAAGGGACCCCAGAAGGTCATCTAGTCCAACCCCCTGCTCGAAGCAGGACCAATTCCCAGTTAAATCATCTCAGCCAGGGCTTTGTCAAGCCTGACCTTAAAAACCTCTAAGGAAGGAGATTCTACCACCTCCCTAGGTAACGCATTCCAGTGTTTCACCACCCTCTTAGTGAAAAAGTTTTTCCTAATATCCAATCTAAACCTCCCCCACTGCAACTTGAGACCATTACTCCTCGTTCTGTCATCTGCTACCATTGAGAACAGTCTAGAGCCATCCTCTTTGGAACCCCCTTTCAGGTAGTTGAAAGCAGCTATCAAATCCCCCCTCATTCTTCTCTTCTGCAGGCTAAACAATCCCAGCTCCTCAGCCTCTCCTCATAACTCATGTGTTCCAGACCCCTAATCATTTTTGTTGCCCTTTTCAGTGCCCATCTTCAGACACAGACACCTTAACACCTGCCTTGTGCCCATGCTTCCCTCCTGACTACGTCCTCTGTGCCCTATGCCCACTCCTCACTTCATGCCTGCTTATGGTGCCCTGGATGCTGGGATCAGCTTCCTAGCTAATGTGACTCCATAGCTCCAGCTGCACTGTCCAGGAGCCACCCTGGCTTTGTTCTGTTTGTATTGGTCTATACTGGATCCACTCTTGACTTTTTAGGGCCTGATCCGATTCCCACTGAAGTCAATTGTAAGATGCTCACTACAATGGCAGTGGAATCAGAAAAACACTGGAGGGCAGATTTCGGTCTTGTTTGGCACCTGATCTGGTCAGCTGTAAAGAGCCATGGCCCTCACAGCACTTTAGAAATAACAACGTGCTCAGATCTGCAGAGGGTACGTGACTGCAAATGAGGCAAAAAGGGACTGTAGATTACTTCCCCGAGTTTCTGAAGCAGGAGGGGTAGAAGAAGAGACAGAGAACAATGGCAGCTTGGAAGCCTGTTTTCATCTGCAAAGCTGGGGAAGAACTTGGTTAAAGTCAATGGAAAACCTCTTACTCCGAGATCAGTAAAACCAATGGTGAAAATCGCCTAGAAAAACATGGACACCATTAAATGTACTATTTTGGTTCAGGATTCATAGTCTCTCTTGTAAGCTGATCTCACTCTCAAACGACTCAGTCACCCACATACCACACCCACAGAGGTCCACCGGAATCAACACTCTGGTTTGGATCACTCCCAAACTTTGGGAAAGTTCATATCCACCTCCCAGCGGACCCCTAGCTCCAAAACCAGCTGAACTCAAATCCTGGCTTCTAACCCCTCTGAACTTGGAGGAGCGAAGCTCTGACATGTGCATCTTGCTGCATTCAGGAAGCACCTGGCAGGGAGTTCATTGTGAGTTTTCCCTGCACTGCCACATTTGACTCCCAGGAGAAATGCTCCCTGCAGATCTAAAGAGAGAGACATCAGCCCCAGGACGTGCAAGTTTTTCTGGACACCTTAGATTCTTCCCTTGTGAGCAGGGTTGGTCGAAAGACACGACAAAGACAGTGCAAAGGAAAAGCAACCACCCGGGCTTTAGGATCGACTAGAAATGTCTGTACAGAGCCTCGCACATTTTGGGGTGCTGCCATAGCATAAATAGTAAATAATTATAAATACCTAAACCGAAGGGATACCTATTTTCTCAGCTTTCTTCGCGTTGTCTCAGGCCTGAGGTGGACTCCAGTCATTCTGTTTACTGATCCCTTATTCCCCATAGCAACAGGCAGCCAATATCACAAGTAGTTGTTAAGTGATGAGGGCAGGGTTGCTAAGTAACCAGAGCAGTGTCCCTGCAGTTACCTGGTAACTGGTGACCCCCATGCAGCCTGGCTGAAAGGAAAGTTCCAAGCCCGGCAAGCCTCCAGCCAGCTGCTGTAGCTTCCTGATAAAGAGCTGGTTTGTTTGCAGAGGGAGAAAAGTCACAGGGCTGGGTAGCTGCAACCTATTAGAAAGCATCCCTAGTGGAGAGCGCTGACTGGGGAAAGAGCATTGCCCCACAGCCAAAGCTATCCCCAAGCACAGAGGTCCCATAGGACACCACAGATCCACCCATAGTGGTGCCAGGTGTAATAACCCATGTTCAGTGCAGGAAGCTAAAAGGGAATGATGCTCCTTAGAAGACAGAGGACACCGCACCTGATGTGTCACTCCGGGGACAGGAAAATACTCGGGCTGTCAATTAATTGCAGTTAACTCACGCGAGTCACTCCAAAAAATTAATTGTGATTAATCGCACTGTTAAACAATCGAATACCAATTGAAATTTATTAAATAGTTTTGGCTGTTTTTCTACATTTTCAACTATATTGATTTCTGTTACAACACAGAATACAAAGTGCACAGAGCTCACTTTATATTATCAATTTTTATTACAAATATTTGCACTGTAAAAATAATAAACAAAAGAAACAGTATTTTTCAATACACCTCATACAAGTACTGTATGCAATCTCTTTATCCTGAAAGTGTAATTTACAAATGCAGGGGTTTTTTTGTTACATAACTGCTCTCAAAAACAAAACAATGTAAAACTTTACAGCCTACAAGTCCACTCAGTCCTACATCTTGTTCAGCCAATTGCTCAGACAAACAAGTTTGTTTACATTTACAAGAGATAATGCTGCCCTCTTCTTATTTACAGTGTCACCTGAAAGTGAGAATAGGCCTTTGCCTGGCACTTTTGTAGCCGGCATTGCTAGGTATTTATGTGCTAGATATGCTACATTTGTATGCCCTTCATGCTTCAGCCACCATTCCAGAGGACATGCTTGCATGCTGATGATGCTCATTAAAAAATAATGCATTAATTAAATTTGTGACTGAACTCCTTGGGGGAGAATTGTATGTCTCCTGCTCTGTTTTATCCGCATTCTGCATATATTTCATGTTATAGCAGTCTCAGATGATGGCCCAGCACACGTTTGTTTTAAGAACACTTTCAGTGCAGATCTGACAAAACGCAAAGAAGGTACCAATTTGAAATTTCTAAAAATAGCTACAGCACTCAACCCAAGGTTTATGAATCTGAAGTGCCTTCCAAAATCTGAGAGGGATGAGGCGTGGAGCATGCTTTCAGAAGTCTTAAAAGAGCAACACTCAGATGCGGAAACTATAGAACCCAAACTACCAAGAAAGAAAATCAACCTTCTGCTGGTGGCATCTGACTCAGATGATAAAAATGAACATGCATCGGTCTGCTCTGCTTTGGATCGTTATCGAGCAGAACCCGTCATCGGCATGGATGCACGTCCTCTGCAATGGTGGTTGAGGCATGAGAAGGGACATATGAATCTTTAGCCCATCTGGCACGTAATATCTTGCGATGTTGGCTACAACAGTGCCATGCAAACGCCTGTTCTCACTTTCAGATGACATTGTAAACAAGAAGCAGGCAGTATTATCTCCTGTAAATTGTACACAAATTTGGTGGTCTGAGCTATTGGCTGAAGTAGGACTGAGTGGACTTGTAGGCTCTAAAGTTTTACATTGTTTTATTTTTCAATGCAGTAATTTTTTGTACATCATTCTACATTTGTAAGTTCAACTTTCATGATAAAGAGATTGCACTACAGTACTTGTATGAGGTGAATTGAAAAATACCATTTCTTTTGGTTTTTACAGTGCAAATATTTGTAATAAAAATAAATATAAAGTGAGCACTTTGTATTCTGTGTTGTAATTGAAATCGATATATTTGAAAATGTAGAAAACACCCAAAATATTTAAATAAATGGTATTCCATGATTGTTTAACAACGCGATTAATCACACAATTAATCGAGATTAATTTTTTTAATCACTTGACAACCCTAGAAAGTATGTCAGTGTGCCAGATCCCGAAATGATGTAAGTTGGTGCCACCCCACTGAATTGAAGGATCTGACACCCCTACCTTCTATGATGAGACAACTGGCTCTGTGGATGAGGGGAAAGCAGTGGACGTGTTGTTCCTTGACTTTAGCAAAGCTTTTGACATGGTCTCCCACAGTATTCTTGCCAGCAAGTTAAAGTAGTATGGGCTGGATGAATGGACTATAAGGTGGATAGAAAGTTGGCTAGATTGCTGGGCTCAACGGGTAGTGATCAATGGCTCCATGTCTAGTTGGCAGCCGGTATCAAGTGGAGTGCCCCAAGGTTCGGTCCTGGGGCTGGTTTTGTTCAATATCTTCCTAAATGATCTGGAGGATGGTGTGGATTGCACCCTCAGCAAGTTTGCAGATGATACTAAACTGGGAGGAGAGGTAGATACGCTGGAGGGTAGAGATAGGATACAGAGGGCCCTAGAGAAATTAGAGGATTGGACCAAAAGAAATCTGATGAGGTTCAACATGGACAAGTGCAGAGTCCTGCACTTAGGACGGAAGAATCCCATGCACCGCTACAGACTAGGGACCGAATGGCTAGGCAGCAGTTCTGCAGAAAAGGACCTAGGGGTGACAGTGGACGAGAAGCTGGATATGAGTCAACAGTGTGCCCTTGTTGCCAAGAAGGCCAATGGCATTTTGGGATGTATAAGGAGGGGCATTGCCAGCAGATCGAGGGACGTGATCGTTCCCTTCTATTGGACATTGGTGAGGCCTCATCTGCAGTACTGTGTCCAGTTTTGGGCCCCACACTGCAAGAAGGATGTGGAAAAATTGGAAAGCGTCCAGCGGAGGGCAACAAAAATGATTAGGGGACTGGAACACATGGCTTATGAGGAGAGGCTGAGGGAACTGGGGATGTTTAGTCTGCGGAAGAGAAGAATGAGGGGGGATTTGATAGCTGCTTTCAACTACCTGAAAGGGGGTTCCAAAGAGGATGGATCTAGACTGTTCTCAATGGTAGCAGATGACAGAACAAGGAGTAATGGTCTCAAGTTGCAGTGGGGAAGGTTTAGGTTGGATATTAGGAAAAACTTTTTCACTAGGTGGGTGGTGAAACACTGGAATGCGTTACCTAGGGAGGTGGTGGAATCTCCTTCCTTAGAAGTTTTTAAGGTCAGGCTTGACAAAGCCCTGGCTGGGATGATTTGGTTGGGGATTGGTCCTGCTTTGAGCAGGGGGTGGGACTAGATGACCTCCTGAGGTCCCTTCCAACCCTGAGATTCTAGGATTCTATGAAGGTAAATGCTCACTTTTAGGAGTAGCTAATTTTGAAAGGGGCCTCTGTGCGCTCAGCTAGGTGGGTGTCTAAAGGGCGTCCGTTGTGCTCAGAACAGCCAGGCCCGCAGTGCGAACAGCACCCAGCCACGCAGCAGAAGGCCGTGGCCAGCACTTTCGAACTCTGCAGCCTGAAGTTAGCCCCTCACATCCAAACTCAGGCACCCGAAGCTGATCAGCTTTGTGCAGCTCCATGTGAGGCATTTCCCCTGATGAAAATCGGTCACTAACTCCGTCCCCTCAAGGGGTGGGTGCAGGTGGGAGGGGAGTGTGTGTGGGGAGAACCAGGGATAAACAAGGAATCTGTAGGCGTCTGGGGAAGGGAGCAGATTTTGGGAAGGGACACCCTGGAGCCTAGGGAGCAGCTGTACACAGGATACAATAGGGAAGCTCTCCCCCAACTTTCTCACCTACCCCAGCCACCCCTCTGCTCTAGGATCCTTCATCTGAACAATGCCCCGATGGTCCCGACCCTTGTGGCATTGCATTCCAACCTCTGCCCACCCTGTTCCCAGTGGGCACCGAGGGGGCTCTGGTGCCTCCTTCTCACTCCATGCTGGCTGCTAGCTGGCAAGGGGAGCAGAGAGAGGGGAAGAGCTGGGTCAGCCTGGTTGCCTTCTGCCCTAGTGCCAGAGAAGAAAATGGCAGATGATATTCAATGCTGATAAATGCAAAGTAGCACACATTGCAAAACATAAACCCAACTCTACATACAAAATGATCTGTTACCACTCAAGAAAGAGATCTTGGAGTCATCGTGGATAGTTCTCTGAAAACATCCACTCACTGTGCAGTGGCAGTCAAAAAACTAACAGAATCAGGAACCATTAGGAAAGGGATAGATGATAAGACTAAAAATATCGTAATGCCGCTATATAAATCCATGGTACGCCCACACCTTGAATACTGGGTGCAAGTTTGGTCGCCCCGTCTCAAAAAAGATAGATTAGAATTGGGAAAGGTCCAGGGAAGGGCGACCAAAATGACTAAGGGGATGGAGCAGCTTCTAGATGAGGAGAGATTAATAAGACTTGGATTGTTCAGTCTGGAAATTAGATGACGAAGGGGGGAGATGACAGAGGTCTATAAAATCATGACTGGGGTGGAGACAGTGAACAGGGACGTGTTATTTACCTCTTTGCATAACACAAGAAGCAGGGGTCATGCAATGAAATTAGCAGGCAACAGGTTTAAAACAGACAAACAAACAAAAAAGGACTTCTAAACACAGTGCAACCTGTGGAACTCATTGCCAGGGGATGTTCTGAAGGCCAAAAGTATAACTGGGTTCAAAAAAGAGTTAGCTACGTTCATGGAGGACGGGTCCAGCAATGGCTACTAGCCAAGATGGTCAGGGATGCAAACCCATGATCTGGGTGTCCCTAAACATCTGACTGCTAGAAGCTGGAACTGACAACAGGGGATGGACCACTCAATACTTTCCCTCTTCTGTTCATTCCCTCTGAAGCACCTGGCCACTGTCAGAGACACGATGCTGGGCTAGATGGACCATTGCTCTGACCCAGCATAGCCAATCTTATGTTCATGGCAGCCTCTGATGAGAAGGGAGTGTAATTGCAGCTTTGTTGGGTGCTTGAGGTTCCAGCAGTGTGGTGGGACATGTTTGTAGGTGTTGGAGAAGGGTGTGTCAAAGACACATTGGCAGGTCCAGCCTCCTAAGGAAAAGTGACCTGAGGCTACACTTGCATGTTATACCGCAATAAAGCCGCCCAGAGCGGTCTACCTTACTCCCCGTCCACACTGGCAAGGCACGTAGAGCGCTCGGACTCCCTGGCTGGAGAGCTCCTGGTACTCCACCTCCCCAAGGGGATTAACAGCTGTGGTGCATTGGCGGAGACGCTCCAGCGTAAACAGGGAGTAACGTTATTACGCACGGATTGGCCTCCGGAAACTCCCCATAAGCCTTTCAGCTGAAGCGTCCTCTCTTGTTTGGTTGTGAACTCCAGATGCTGCAGTGCTGTTTCAAAGCTCTGTTTCGGGGGGCTGCTTATCAAAAAAACAAACACAGCTTGTCAAGGTTCCTTCCCCACTCTGACCTCTAGGGTACAGATGTGGGGACCTGCATGAAAAACCCCCTAAACTTATTTTTACCAGCTTAGGTTAAAACTTCCCCAAGGTACAAACTATTTCACCTTTTGCCCTTGGACTTTATTCCTGCTACCACCAAGCGTCTAACAAAAATATAACAGGGAAAGAGCCCGCTTGAAAACGTCTTTCCCCCCAAAATCCTCCCAAACCCTACGCCCCCTTTCCTGGGGAAGGCTTGATAAAAATCCTCACCAATTTGCATAGGTGAATACAGACCCAAACCCTTGGATCTTAAGAACAATGAAAAAGCAATCAGGTTCTTAAAAGAAGAATTTTAACTGAAGAAAAAGTAAAAGAATCACCTCTGTAAAATCAGGAGGGTGAATATCTTACAGGGTAATCAGATTCAAAACATAGAGAATCCCTCTTGGCAAAACCTTAAGTTACAAAAAGACACAAAAACAGGAATATACATTCCCTCCTGCACAGCTTATTTTACCAGCCATTAAACAAAAGAAAATCTAATGCATTTTCTAGCTAGATTAATTACTAACTTAACAGGAGTTGGAAGGCTTGCATTTCTGATCTGTTCCCGGCAAAAGCATCACACAGACAGACAGAACCCTTTGTTTCTCCCCCCCCTCCAGCTTTGAAAGTACCTTGTCTCCTCATTAGTCACTGTGGTCAGGTACCAGCGAGGTTATCCTAGCTTCTTAACCCTTTACAGGTGAAAGGGCTTTTCCTCTGGCCAGGAGGGATTTTAAAGGTGTTTACCCTTCCCTTTATATTTACGACACAGCTACTGTTGGCTTTGAATGAGTGAGAGGCAGGCGGGGGGCTCCGTTGGAGTGCCGACAGCTAATGTTTGCTTGAAGAGAGAGGCGGTGCGGGGAGGAGCAGGGTTGGGGTCCATTTCGGCGAGCGGCTGCTTATCTCGTCTATGAGGAAAAAAAGAAACACCTGCCATTTGCTTTCAGTGAGTGAGAGAGAGACGGGAAGGGGGGGGGGTCCTGTATTTACAAGACAGCGGGCTGACACACTCTCAGCCCCCCAAAACCCACCTCTCTCCCCCCACGCTCCCTGTCACACTCCACCCCACCCCCCATATGAAAAGCACGCTGCAGCCACTTGAATGCTGGGATAGCTGCCCACAATGCACCGCTCCCAATGCTGCTGCCAATGTGGCCACCACAGTGCGCTGGCAGCTGGCAGCGTGGACAGACTGCAGCGCTTTCCCTACTCAGCTGTACGAAGGCGGGTTTAACTCACAGCGCTGTACATCTGTCAGGATAGTCAAGGCCTGACTCTCAGAGGTGCAGACTTAGGCCTGGTTGCCACTTAAAATGCAGGTTGACATAACTACGGTGGGAAGGGGTCTGAAGAATCCACGCCCTGAATGCCATACCTATGTCGACCTCGCCCCTGGTGTGGGCGTAGCTGCGTCAATGGAATAATGCTTCTGTCAACCTAGCTATGACCGCTCCGGAGGGTGGTGTTCCTACAGCAAAGGAAAAGCCCCTCCCATCGCTGTGGGCCGTGCTTACGCTCTGGGGCTATGCCAGCGTAGTTATGACGCCATAGCTTAGCTGCAGTGGTCCCTGGAGTACAGACATGGCCTTAGGCTCACTCGCTTAGTTGAAGCTAGACAAATTCAGAGGGGAAATAAGGTGTATGGTTTTACAGTGCGGGTAGTGAACTATCAGGACAGCTTACCAAAGGTTGTGGTGGATTCTCCATAACTGATACGTTTCAAATCAAGATGAGATGTTTTTCTAAAAAAAAAATTGCTCCTGATCACAGAGGAATGATTTTGGGGAAGTTCTCTGGCCTGTGTTATTTAGAAGGCCACACTCAGGGGTTCTCAGACTAGGGGCTGCGACCTCCAGGTTATTACGGAGGGGGTCACAAGCTGTCAGCCCCCATGCATACCAGGGCTCTGGCTATCAGCCAGGCCTGGGGCTGACAGCCCGAGCCAGAGCTGGGCGGCTGGAGAGCAGCGACTGATGGCCAGGTGCCCAGCTCTGAAGGCAGCGCGGCCCCTAGCAGCAGCACAGAAGTAAGGGTGGCATGATATGGGGGGATCATCACTTTTTTGGTGGGGGGGGAGCAATGCATGCTGGGGATTATATTATGTACCACTCTATTCCACTTGCCTTTCCTGCACCTCAGCTCTGGAAGCACAGATCAGGGTTCTGTCTTTTTGGAAAGCATTTAACAGAGTTAAGCCTCAGAGCTCTTGTATGCAAGGCCCTGAATGTGGGAGTTAATTACAGCCCCCAGTTCAAACAGAATACCCCACAATTCTTAGTACACAAACATTTAACACATGGAAAAATATTGCAAAGAGCATTTGGAATGCTTATGAAAAGCTCTTAAACAAAAGCTATTAGATAGTAAATCTGCTGGCGTGCCTTATGTGAAATCTTACCACTCTGCTGCCGGGTATATTTCAGTGTCAGATTTTAACATGCCATTTACTTTCAGTACTTTAGCACCCACGTATGAACACATTCCCCTCTCATCTTTCAGTGATGACTTCTCCGTCTCTATACTGTGGCCACAATATGTAGTGTATGCCCCCGGGGTTCTTCTGAGTTTGAGAAGATGCAGTATCGCTGTTCCTGTCCAGACACTCCCAAATCTTGTCAGCAGTCTGAGGCATTTTGCAGCTAGCAGCATTCCAGGCACTGGGTTAATAGGTCATTGGTCTCCTCCGCTCCTGGTGAGCTAGGAAACCTGTAGCCTCTATCCAAAGTGGTACAGGATTGGGATTCAGCTCTCACAGCAGAAATAGCTCTTGGTCCTGTATTGATCAGCCACTGAATCCACAGGACTGTCTTTATTGCCTGTACTTATAACTTTTCCCCCACTGAGCGGCTCAGCTGTCAGATTGTTAATATGTGTATGGCCTGCAAGCCTGCTTGCCCTTAATGGAAACTTCCTATACAGCTTCAGAAACAGCTACCAAGGATACCTACTAACTCCCAGACCCTTCTTGTGGGTGATTCTAGGCCTTTCTAGCTCAGCTGCTGAGCAGAGGATTCAAACAAAAGTCCATGTCTCCTCCCCACCTGTTTCTCTGCCTTTCTTTAGACTTTAATGTCAAATATTGCAGCACAAGGCACAGGGGTTACAGCTGCACTCTTGGAAAGTGGCCTGGATTCTATTGCATCATGGGAAAATTTAATCCAAGGTAGGCTGAGCATCCCACTTCCACTGCCTGTTGCATTTACAGCTCCCACAATCCACCTGCCTTTCACTCTGCCAGTCAGTGCTGATACAGGCTTACCCGGAATGCACCCACTCACTTCCCGCTGACAGCAAGAGGAGTGCAGAAAGTGGGCTGTGCTTGGCATGGATTGTCTGTCTGGGCAATCCAGCCATGGACGGGAGGATTCTGCGCCCTCACTCAGTGCCCCCTCCTCTCCAGAAGAAGCACGTAAAAACAGCGAGGGGAGGGATTAGGGACACCTGGAAATCCTGTTAGCCTCACAGGGTCAGCAGTAAATGGATCAGCCTGCAGTTGGCATCCTCAGCAAAGGCAGGATTAGCTCAATGACATCCTCTGCTGACCATCAGACTTGCTCCCCCCGCCCCCCATGTGACAGTGGGGATGGAGCCTTGGGAGGAGGGGCAGCCCCCTGTGCTCTTAAATCTTGAGCTAGGGCAGAGCCTAGCATCATCCTACCCTTCGGCTTTTAGACAGATCTTCTTTCCTGTGCCCCATATATTTACAGTCCTCACACCTTCAGACTCCTGGTTGAAGAGACAGCCTTATAGTCCAGCACCTCCGTGCTGGGATGCAGTCTTGCATCAGTTTCAGGACATACCCCTGTACTACAGTATTATGATAAACCTGCAGTCGCTATCATTTGGGACAGCTCCGTAGTTTTCTGTACCTGAGTTTTGGGGCAGCCCTAGATCCCTGAATTTTGGAGTCTATTCGGTGCTTTATCGTGTTAATGTCTCCAGCTGCGGCAAGTACTAAGAGGAATCTGCAGATTCCCAAGTGCCCAGAGACTGCCATGCCAAGAAGCAGAGATCCATGTCTTGCGGAAAGTGGTGTGAACAGAGATCACACTGTACTCTTGGTCAGCTATGTGGGGCATCATTACACACCCTCTGTGGTCCGGAATAGTCACGCACTTTGGTGTGTCTGAGTTATGGGACAGTCTTGTGCCTCTGGATTGTAATACAACTCTACCCCATTAATCCCCGTTTTCATACGGTGTGCTTTGCTAATCCCCTGCCAGGATTACAGTGACTCAGAGTAACAGTAACAGGCTCTCTCACTAGCTGCTACAATAGATTACAAGGTAAACAGAGAAGGAAACAAACTCCTTTCCTTAGATTCATTTCCTCTCAAGCATTTTTGGGGAGAGAATTCCTATGACCCAGGGGAAATCAGGACCTCTGCATTCCTCCAGACTACACCTTGTGGTAAGTCCTGTTACCAGGAGGCTGGAGTGAGCATGGAAGAAGATGAAATGGACAGAGAGGCTGATGTGTAGTAGAAGTGACAGGACAACAGCTCTGGGGGTTTGTAGCCTGTGGAGCTGGCTGTAAGGCCAAAGTCACAGGCTGAATCCAACCCTCTGGCTTTGGTTTTGATGTTGAAATTCTGTCTTTGAGGTTGTGGGTGAAGGGAAAGCAGGAGGGGGATTGCTGGGGATTTATTTGCGTGGAGAGGGACCAGGCAGTAGGGGTGACGGCCTGTCTGTTTAAATTTCAAAATGTGACCAGCTGAGTGTTTTGGACAGTAGCCCAGGTGAGCAGCCCCATATTGGGAATGATTTAGAGATCCTTTGCGCCTAAATCCTCAGCTGCTGGGATCCTGGTTGGCACTTCGCCGTTGGGTATCAGGAAGAACCAGAGGGGTGAAAGGCAGAAGCTACCTACTGGGCCACTAGGAGAACCCACAAAGGGTGTCAGGGAACAGGGATATGGAGATGGGGTCCGAGAAGGATGGGGTAGCTGAAACTTCTGTGGCCTCCCAAACTCTCAGAGATTGCATGCCAGCCCGCTCCCTGTTCAATTTAGCTAATGGAGGGGAGGAAGTAGATGGACCCAAACCAACATCTTGAATCCAAACACCCCCAAACTTTGGGAAAGTGTGGATTCTAATTTGAATTTTGCAGCCCTGGCCCTGTCTCTGCTAAGAAAGGAATTGGGTTCTTTCACTAGACACCGTGAGGAGTATCATAAAAAGGTGTGTAAGGGTGGAGAGTTCAGATCACTAATGAGAGAGAGGAGCGAGCAGTGACTGAAGGCAGAATAACGGCAGGGATGTAGAGGAGGAAGGAGAGCTCTGATCTGCAGCTAAAGATGTGAGGAAGATGATAGACTGTGCATCATGGCAGTTTTGTACAGGTCCTGGAGGTGTTTGATCTGTAATGAGGCCAAGGTGCAAGGGACAATGGAAGGATACAGGGAGTGGGTGTGGGATAGTGGGGCAGACGTGTAATTAGGTGACTATGAGAACATCCGATGAAGTGAGCTGTAGCCCACGAAAGCTCATGCTCAAATAAATTGGTTAGTCTCTAAGGTGCCACAAGTCCTCCTTTTCTTTCTGCGAATACAGACTAACACGGCTGCTACTCTGGAACCTAACAGCAGGTAGGAGATGCACGTAGCAGAGAGTGAAGCTTGGTCACTTGTGCTTAACCAGTAACTAACTGAGTGACACAAATTCAGTTCCACTCTAGGGAACTTTAAAATTGCTCTCGGATTATTTCAAGTTGCTAATAATTTCTGTGCTTCCTGCCTGTTCCAGGGCCCTGTTGTATTCAAAGGAAGGAAGGCAATAGGTTAGAAACCAGAGAGAGGGCTAGCAGGTGGCTGGAGTCTGAGCAGGTACGGTGAAAGAGAGGTGCTCATTTGTTGCTGCGATTCTTGTGGAACTCTCCCAATATCCCTCCACTGGCATTCTCAGCTCAATCAATAGGACCATGTGCGGGAGAGGCTAGCAGACACCATGTGTCTTATGTTTAACAATGCATGTGTATGCAACTGAGTGTGCAAAAATGCGTGCATGATTGTGCACCTCATTTGCCCATGCAATTCGCACAATTGCCATGCCAATGGTTACTTGCACGGGCAAATCATCGGCCTTTTGTGATTCCTATTTCTCCTGAAAATCAACTTCTTATGAGACGCCCGAATGTTTAACCCACCGCTGCATTGTACCTTTGCCTTCTCAACGCTGCATCCCCATGTTCTAGATAGCAGGGAGTGCTTCTGTATATCCAGACAGCACGTAGCACGCTCTGGGGCTTGGCATCAGTGATAATAATTAATAATAAAAATATATATATGATAAATTGCAAAACAATGATAATTTATCTGCAGTTTATCCTGCACATTTGACCATCTAACCAGCACTCTGCCCACCAATCTGTCTCTGACGGGTCTAACTCTGACATTCCAAAGAGCAGCTTCAAGGAGCTGCCATATTTTGTTAAAGCGACTTGACAGGGAAATGTTTCCATCTTTCTTCCTGTTGTGCAAATCCTGCCCTACACACAGATCTTCCACCCCCTGAAAAATCAACTGCTCGGCGCAATATTCATTCCTGCACCAGGGATGAAGCAGTTACGTTCTACCATCTCATGACCTTGATGGGAAGAGAGATTTCAAGCTTCCTGTGGGAACCAGCGTTCACTTCTAGCCCTGGAATATTTTATCCACACTCATTTTGGAGGGAGTTGCATAACTTTCTCTTGACTTTGCCACTTGTGAGGGATGTGATGACCCTAAACTCCTGGTGCTAAAACCACTAGGTCACACAACCCTGTTGTGTGTTCTCTCTACTATCCTGCTCACCCAACGGTTTCTCCAGAAGAAACCATCCCATGAAGTGATTGCTGTTCTCTGGGTCTGTCTTTGTCTAAACTCTTTTAGATTCAAAGCTCTTTGGGCAGAGACATGTTCTGTATTTTGTGCAGCACTGAACACATGGCTACCACGTAACCAATAATAGCAAAGTATCATTTATAATGAAAAAATGCCCAATCTGTGCATGCACTTTTGGTGGGAGGCAAGAGTCGCACGCACAAATTCGGTGTGCAATTGAATGTGCTTTTTTGCACCCCACATGCGTTTATACCTGTGGCAATCAGGTCAGTGCTCATCAGGTGCCTCAATATGGCTTTCTGTTGAGTAGGGATCCAAAGATTTCTGAGCACACAAAAGCTGTTGTTCTAAGTGAAGGGGTAGGGTGAGCTTCCAACCCCTGAGTTGTTTCCAGGGAGCAGGATGAGTTTACAACATGTTGCAGACAGAGGGCTTTGGCTGTGCATGGGATAAACTGTCTCTTGCTTCCTGCTGGGTATGTGTGGATTAAGGAGCTCCAAATAGCCCAGGAAGTACTTGCTATCTCTTACCTTCATGGATGCCACCTGCGGCCTAACAAGAAGTAGATGCTTTGAAGAGTGAGTGTCATGGTTTCCTGAGATGCCCGTAAATCAACGCAGACGACCTGAACTAATTCTTTTGCAAACAGGTAAAATGCGACAGAGAGAGCTGCCATTTGGAGCAGGAATTTGCTCCCAGATTCCGCCTTTTTGTGATGTTCCAGAACTGCAGGACACAGGAATTGACTTGCAGGCATTTGGGAATATGGAATAGCTGCATGGGCACAGGGATTGGGGAGGAGGGGATGTATGAGCGAGCAAAAGGTACAGCTGCACGGTAGTTGGGTATACATGAATCAGTGCAGGGTACATGTGTGTGGAAGTAGGACTCAGCTGTCTGAGCACAGGTATCTGGGTGCCGAGCATGTGTGTATGGGCAAAGAACACAGCTGCAAAGGGACCCATTTATTTGAGACGATCACATCTGTCTGCAGTCAGGCCACAGCTGTAGCAAAGCAGCAAAGCAGTTCCTCGGGTTCTGACTGTTTGCATCAATTCAAATTTACGGCTCCAGGAGCATATTCATGCCACAAGGATCTAGTCACTTTTCCATTAGCGTTTCCATTAGAAGACATGCTATTGTATTTTTAAACCGACATTTCATGTCTTACGTCCTGGTTTACTTTGTGCGCTGCTGAAACTTGGCTTACACTTTATCAGCCCAAACCTAAAATATTTCTTTGAAAGCTATACAATAGTTACATTGTTTTTTAAGTTTTGGAGCAGCCAGAGAAACTCAAATCCATGCATTGCTTAAGTTTTAGAACCAGTTTGTCCTGTAGACGGATTTAGGTCCACAGTGCTGTCTAGTGGTTAGAGCAGGGGCTGGGCATTAAGACTTCCAGTTTCTGTTTCCAGTGGGTGACCGTGGGCCAGTTCTCCCCTCTGTAAAATAGAAACAATGCTACTAACCTACTGCACCAGGTGAGGAGAGTTGTAATTGATTTTTGTAAAGTGCTTTGACAACCTCGCATAACAGTGGCGTTAGTGCAGAATATTCCTATTTCTCTTTCAACTCTGTAGTTGATCGGGCAGTGTCTTGGAGTTGCAGTTCATTTGCTTCCTCTTTTAGGCTCTGATTCAGCCTTAGTGGCTGATCTTACTGTGATGGGTTGGACCCCCTCTCCTGGGGTCCCACTGAGCCTGCCTGTCCCACCAGCCTGGGTTCCCCTTACGCTGTGCTGCTGTGGCAGGCTCTCAAGGCCCCTTCCAGCACACACACAGGTAGGGACACCCCCATCTGTAGAATCACACTGAGTGTGCAATCAGCTCTGTTGGGGAGGACTTAGCTCAGGGAATTGCCCAGCACTTTGGTGCACACACCCTCCGGAGCGTAAACCCAAAATTATATTGTCTTGGGCTGTATAGAGATTTATATACTGTAAGCTCATGAAATTCGCTCCCTCCTCAGTGTGGAGGAAGATATGCCCAACCCCCCCCCCCCCAGTTATGAATTGCACAAACTGGGTTTTGGAATAAACAAAAAACAGGTTTGTTAACTACAAACGGTACATTTTACGTGATTATAAGGAATAGCAAATAGAACAAAGCAGATTACTGAGCAAATAAAACAAAACACACAAACTAAGCTTCATACACTAAGGAATATTGGCTACAAATAATGATTTCTCGCCGTAAATGTTGTTTCAAGCAGATTGCAGTTTCTTGAAGGTAAACTGCACTTTTTGCAGCTTAAATCTCCAGGGATTCCTTCTACAGGCTGACCTTTCTCGCCTGGGCTCAGCCTCTGCTTCCCCCCAGCTTAGTTCCTTTGTTTCTTCAGATGTTTTCAGCAGTCTTCCTTCTTGGGCGGGGAGTCAGTGGAGAAGAGCCCAGATTAACTCACTCCCCAGCCTTAAATAGGATTTACAGATGGCGGGAATCTTTTGTTTCCTTCCAGTGGAAAAAATACCAGATCAAGATGGAATCCCATACCAGGTGACATGATCACATGGCCTTGCAGTGTCAAAGTAGCATCCCAGGAAGCTTGTCAGGAAGGAGGGAGATTAGTATCCTCAAAGTCCTATTGGTCTTCCTAATGGCCCGTCCCGGCTGTTTGCATACTGTCTGGTGGGCGTTCCTCAGGTGAAAACACAGTTGTAATTATTTCCTACTCAAGGAATGTAGTCAATAGTCAATAGAAATAGTCAATATTTCTAACTTCAGATACATAAATGATACATGCATACAAATAGGATAATCATATCCAGTAAATCATAACCTTTCCAATGATACCTCACATGACCCATCTTGCATAAAGCCTATTTTAGTTATGCCATATTCATGTCATACCAATATTCCTATGAAGAATGTAATGTCACACTTACATATATGAGATGCACGCTCTAACACAGTGCAGATTTGAGTGGCAGTTTTAAGGTGCAGTTATACTTCATCTCTCTGCCTCACTTTCCCCATCCATAAAATGGAGATTGTAGCAGTTACCTTCATCACAGGAGTTCTGTGAGGACTCATTGGTCAGGCCTTGTTTACACTAGAAAGTTTTTTGGTATAACTTTAGTTTTTCCTCCATAAATTGCCTTGCATCCATACACACAATTTCTTTTTTCAATGTACCTGGCGTATTATCCTGCTTTAATTAATCCTCATTAGAAGCAACCTAATTCTATTCTAGAATGAGTTATACCTGCATAACTCTTTTGTGTTAACTCTACCGCTTCAGACAGTCTATTAACTGAATCACAGCTGTGGTTCATCCAATCGGACTTCTATCCCTTCCTGTTCACTCCACGGGTCTTGCATGAGCGTGTGGTTATGCTCAGTACCAGTGTTGACACAAGAACAAATGGATATAAACTGGCCATCAGGAAGTTTAGACTTGAAATTAGAAAAAGGTTTCTAACCATCAGAGGAGTGAAGTTCTGAAACAGCCTTCCAAGGGAAGCAGTGGGGGCAAAAGACCTATCTGGCTTCAAGATTAAGCTCGGTAAGTTTATGGAGGAGATGGTATAATGGGATAACATGATTTTGGCAATTAATTGATCTTTAACTATTAAGGGTAAATAGGCCCAATGGCCTGTGTTGGGATGTTAGATGGGGTGGGCTCAGAGTTACTACAGAGAATTATTTCCTGGGTGTCTGGCTCGTGAATCTTGCCCACATACTCAGGGTTTAGCTGATTGCCATATTTGGGGTTGGGAAGGAATTTTTCTCCAGGGCAGATTGGAAGAGGCCCTGGGGGTTTTTCCCCTTCCTCTGCAGCATGGGGCACGGGTCATTTGCTGGAGGATTCTCTGCTCCTTGAAGTCTTTAAACCACGATTTGAGGACTTCAATAGCTCAGACATAGGTGAGAGGTTTTTCGCAGGAGTGGGTGGGTGAGATTCTGTGGCCTGCATTGTGCAGGAGGTCAGACTAGATGATCATAATGGTCCCTTCTGACCTTAGTATCTATGAATCTATGAGCTTCATCTATGTTAAAATGCCTGAAAGTCACAGGAATGGTTTGACAAACACAATAGGTAAGGGGGGCAGAGTTACAGAGGAGGCTGTGGTCAGAAGACTGGCTGTGTAAAAATGGCCCTTTTTTCCTTATCAGATCCGGATGGGGAGGGGATGATGCACAGAGGACATGTTTATACTGTGCAGTTTGGACACATATGGCGCTAGGAGATACAAATCTTGAAAGTCTTCTGCTTAAGATAAAGGAAGCAAAGTACAGACAACGATTCATGGGGACTCTGCGCAGCCATATAGACCCCCAAATCCTGAAGAGAAGGTGGGCGAGGGTCTTAGAACAAGGCAAGAATTGTGGGAAAACATGCTTAATAGCTATTGGGCTTCAGTCCATAAAAAAGCGAATAGTAACCAGGTATTTGGTGTAATAGTTAATGTGGAAGTAAGACAAGGCCGGATCTGGGACGAGAACTGGTTAATCATCACTGGACTGTTTTCAGATAAGCAGGACGCAGCTGTAGAGTGCTAAAGGGAGTAGCTAAAGGGAAGCATTGGACATGGTCATTTATATTACGTTCATACCAGAGCACTCAAACACCTCTTTTAAATTAAAAGATGACCTGCTCCTTCTCTTCCTTCCCTGCCAGCCAGAAGCAGGCTTAGAGGGGTTGGGTGTTTTTTATTAACGAATCTGTGAGACTGAGGGTATTACTGTGGGAAAGCCTGGATGAAGTTTTTGCATTTAGCTCTGAATGTGGTGAGGATAATTCTTGTCTTATATCCTCCGGCAGCATACGCCCCATTCTTGCTCTAGTTCCTGGGAAGGTTCTGTCTCTTTTGTTCATGAGATTACACCCCTTGCTAGACAGTTTCATTGTTCCAGTGAAATGCAGCTATCAGGGGAGGTCACAGTTGCAGAAGGATTGTGGATCTCACAGGTGACCAGGACCAATACCATGCAGGGCTCTGGAAATCAGGACAGCTGCCTTGAATTGGTTTCTGTGTTCAATGGGGAGCCGGTACAGAGGGTGGCATAAGAGGGTGTTGTATTTCCAGTGACCTGTGTTGCTACGCGGGTGGGTTGCTGTGTTCTGAACCAAGCTGGGGCTTCCTCGGGGCATGGGCTTCCTTCCTGGATAGAAGGAATTGCAATAGACTAGCTTAGATGAGGCCGGGGCTGCATTTGATAGGATGAGGTGCATTCACTTGGACACCACAGCTGGTAGTGAGCATTTCTTGCTGCTGTAGCTACTTGCGTGTCCAAGGACAGTGCAGGGCCTAGTGGGACCCCAAGGCTGTGAGCTGATTTCACAATCGGAGGGCAAATGCCTTTTCTGGAAGGGATTATTATGGAGGACGAGAGCTCATCAAGTCACTTCTCCCTTCCCACTAGCATCGCTTCAGTCTTCAGCTTCATTCAGCTGGTCTTCTCCAGGTGCAGGTTTTAGAGAGGCAGTCAGGCATCTTGGGGATGGAGCTGACATTAAGGAGATGCAGAGCTGGCTGTTATCTGCCTCCTGCTGACATTTCAACCCGTGCTGTGTCTCCCACTAGCTCTCCTGGCAGTTTCATGTCTTCACCAATGGGCCTTTCTAGAAAGAAGTAAAGATACAAATCTCTTCTCTGCAGGCGACAGGATGCTTGGCTGGATCGAGAGAGTGGTGCCTCACCCTCCTGGGGCCCCTCACCAGCCACCCCTAGTGGAGAACGGAGACAAAAATGCAGAACCCAGGGTGGTAACTGTCGCACCCAGGCCTGGAGGGGCAGAGCAGGTGAGCGGGGAGCAGCCAGGGGAGATGGGGGAGCTCAGGGGCTGGCCACTGCTAGGCTGGGTGTACAAGGGGCACGAAGAGTGCGATGTGCGTGCATCCCGCTACACATCCGCTCACTTGTTAGATAGAGGGCGGGTTACTTGTCAAACTACAACAATCCCAATCCGCAACCAAACTGACGCTGCCGATGAGATTCTTCCTGGAGACTGGCCGAGGCAGGGGAATGCGGGTGAGAAAAGAAGTCTCTTGGCCAACAGGGTGAGTGAGGCTTGCACAGCGCATGCCAGCTGCACAATACACAGTTCTAGCTCGAGCTTTCATTCTCTTGTTTTCATGAGCAGTTTCCCAGGCACTGTTTGAAACTGCTGCACCTTTGCGTTAGTTCATGAGAACCAGGCAGTGAAACTGACTAGAAACAAAGGTCCTGATTCTCCAGCTGGAACGGCATGGGCAGACGCTCGCGCCCACTAACTTACATGCCGAAGTGGTTCCAAATGCAGTATATGGATTCATCTGTAAACAAAGGTGAAATGGGGCCAGTCTATATTCATTGTCCAGACTGTGGGAACTGTAGAAAAGGAGCACAGAGGATGAAGTCGTTTAGATGTTAATTGAGGTTTGATAAGCTCAGGTCGATTTAGGAGTACAGGGATGGATGTTGTGACGTAACTTTTCACCTGAAATCTTTCCTTTAATGTTTTAATCCCTAAAAGCTGCCAAAAGGAAACTCCACATGTCCAGGAAAATCTTCCAACTGCGGTCAGATAGAGGGTGAGTTCCTGAAAACAACGTTCCTGCAAAATCTAAACTTCATAAATGAAAATAGCAAGAGCTTATGGTAGGTATCCAGAGCATGGCCACTCAGCCAGCTTGGGAAGGGCTCCAGGGTCAGCTACTGGCTACTCATCTTTCTCCCCTGCTGGAAGCCAGACATTCGGAGAGGGTTTTACCACGTAGCAGAGTCTACTAAGCAGCCATCATGGTCCCACGGCAGGACTCAGTGTTTGCTCCCTTTACGGCAGCTCACCTGAGACTTGCCCGGGAGGCACCAGCTCTAAAACAGAGCTTCCTCCATGTCATGCCACTATAGCTCTGCTGGGATTTCTCAGCCAGAAGTCACTCTTACACGTACATTGTTCACCACTGCCCAGATACACTCAGCCTTTCAGCCCACGCCTCTAGTCCACACCACACCCTCCGGGCGGCGTCTCTGGTAGCCGGTCACCGCCTTGACCCGCAACTTTCACTCACGTATATGAATTCCGTAAAGGTTGAAGGGATTCTCCTGGCCCAGGGTGCCTCAGGTGCAGAGGTGTACGACAGCATGCTCGCTCCCCCTAAGCACTCACAGTGCTGTCGCAACATCGCCAGGCAGGGGCCTGGTCCTGTGGGAGCCTGGGCCGACGTCATCACAGATCTGCATGCGCAGAGCTTTGCCGGGGTGCATGAGACCGGGCTGCACGTCGCCACTGATGTTACCTGACAGAATCTGGCATCTCCGCACACCGCGAAAACCCAAAGAGATGGTGATTTGAAAGGGTATTTAAAAATGCATTTCTTGAAAGCAAACAGTCTGGCTTGTGCTGACAAGATATAGCTGTTTAGGCCACCAGTGGTCCTTCTACCAAGTGTTTTTTATTTATTTATTTTTTGCTTTCATTTAGGGGCAGGGAAGAAAGTGACATTCATCACAGCCCAGGAGCCAGGCCCATCATCAGTGTCTTCAGCTGAAAGGTGTCTTCCTCTTTTTCTCTCACTTTCTCTTTCTCTCTCATACTCGTGGCAGTGAGGAGTTAGGGTTGGAAATACCAGCTGAGAGAGGACTTTTAACAAACATGAATTCTGACTTCAGATAAGAGGCAGGGCTTTAGATAGCTGCTAGACATCTGGCTCTGGGGGGCGGGGATCTGTGTGGAGAAGGAACCCTCTGCACCCTGATCTCCCCAATTACATACCAAAAGGAGCTTGGTTGCCTCCATGGCATCTCCCTGGTCTCACACAGTCCCCTCCATGGAGGTCCTCTTGTGGGCAAGGAGTGGAGAAAGGGCACGCTCAGGAGGAATGGGCAGGCCAGGGGGAGGGCCAATGGAGTATTATTATCTGTCCAGCTCTGTGGAACTTACTAAGGAAAGGTGACACAGCCTGAGGTGGCATTATCATTTGCCCAGAGTCCCCTCTGCACTGGGGACCTCTCTTTTAAGGCTAGGGTCTCTGGGCCTTGGGGGAGTCTCTGGTGGCATGGCTCCTTTGGGCTGGCTGGGAGTTGGAGAGGGACCGATGGGGACACATTGCAAGAGAAGAACTCTCAGTGACTGGCCCTGATCGCCTACAGCTTCCACAGGGTCCACAAGGTTTCTAGAGGATCCTGTGATCTGCTCCATGGAGGAGGGAGTGACTTCTTTGTTGGGTCACTGTGGGGGAATCTCCACAAGGGAAAGCGTATGAGATAAACTGTCTCCTGCGGTTTGATTAGCTTGGCAGACCCTAGCCTGTCCATTCTCTTGCAGTGCTGGAAGGGGTGTACTTTCATGGCTGTCTCAGGAGCTGGGAAAGGTAGTCCCTCAGCCAGCCCACAATCCAGGGATGCTGCAGACCGTTGGAAAGAGCTTCGAGAACAGTTTGGACTACCCTGATCAGGTACGTACCAGAACCAGATCAATGGGAACACTGAGTAACGGCATTTGAGTTTCATGCCATCGTTCCCCTATTGTGAGCAGTGTGTTAGCCAGCGGCTTTAATCATGTTTTTTTGTGTTCCCTTCAGACTGAAGTCCAGAGCATAAAGGAAGATGACGACCTACTAGGTAAAATTTTTAATAATGATATAATATCTTAGCTTTTATATAGCACTTTTCATCAGTAGAGCTCAAAGAACTGTACAAAGGAGTTCAAGAGCATTATCCGCGTTTTATACATGGGGAAACTGAGACACAGAGCGGGGAGGTGACTGGCCCAAGGTCACCCTTTGACCTAGTGGCAGAGCCAGGATAGAACTAACATATCCTGAGTCTTAGTCCACGGCTTTATACACTTGGCCACTCTGTTTAAAGGTGGATGCAGCTGCAAAAACAGTGAAATATCCTCTTCTGTCATCATAGGCTCCCAATGAACTGCCGCAACTCACCCATCCTGCAGGTTGGCCATGCTCAGGAGGGAGCATGTCACCTGCTGCTCTTTAGGGGTTTGGATGGATTATACTGTATCCTCAGCGTGCTCCAGTATATCTATGATCTTTGTCTTGCTCACCCCATGTGTGACTCCTCTGGAACTGGGAACTCCAAGCAGCACCGAGAGATGATCCCAAGCTGTCAGGGTGCCTGTGTGTGTGTGTGAGAGAGAGAGACTGTAACGGACAGTGCTCAGCTCCCTGGAAATATGCCTGATCCTGAGCTCTACAGTAATGAGAGCTGCAGGGATGGTCATAAGCACCAGTAACTCACAGCCTGATCTCCTTCAGCAGCAAGCCTGGCTGGGAAAGTAAAACCGCTGCCCAGTCTCTCCCGATAAGCTATGGGACTGGGAGAGGATTCCCCATTCTTCTGGAGGCCTCTCGGTGCTTGATGCCCCGTCTTGGTTCCTGTTCACACAGATTGTAAAACCAGTCTTGCGGCAACTGGGGGAGCAGACCTGAAGTGACAATTTGGGGGCAGGGACTGTCTTTCTGTTCTGTTTGTACAGTGCCTCGCACCATGCGGTCCTGATCTCTGACAAGGACTCCTAGATGCTACAGTAATACAAATAATAAATACTAGGGGCTGGGAAGATTCAGGCTGTACAGTCCTTTAAAGTCTCCATTCTTCCCAGTCAGCTTGTATTGTTCATTAAATCAGCCCATTGGGAGTGATGCCAGGTCTGAGCTCTGAGCAATGCTGGGTTCATAGAATCATAGAATATCAGGGTTGGAAGGGACCTCAGGAGGTCATCTAGTCCAATCCCCTGCTCAAAGCAGGACCGATCCCCAATTAAATCATCCCAGCCAGGGCTTTGTCAAGCCTGACCTTAAAAACTTCTAAGGAAGGAGATTCCACCACCTCCCTAGGTAACGCATTCCAGTGTTTCACCACCCTCCTAGTGAAAAAGTTTTTCCTAATATCCAACCTAAATCTCCCCCACTGCAACTTGAGACCATTACTCCTTGTTCTGTCATCTGCTACCACTGAGAACAGTCTAGATCCATCCTCTTTGGAACCCCCTTTCAGGTAGTTGAAAGCAGCTATCAAATCCCCCCTCATTCTTATCTTCCGTAGACTAAACATCCCCAGTTCCCTCAGCCTCTCCTCATAAGCCATGTGTTCCAGTCCCCTAATCATTTTTGTTTGCCCTCCACTGGACTCTTTCCAATTTTTCCACATCCTTCTTGTAGTGTGGGGCCCAAAACTGGACACAGTACTCCAGATGAGGCCTCACCAGTGTCGAATAGAGGGGAACGATCACGTCCCTCGATCTGCTGGCAATGCCCCTCCTTATACATCCCAAAATGCCTTTGGCCTTCTTGGCAACAAGGGCACACTGTTGACTCATATCCAGCTTCTCGTCCACTGTAACCCCTAGGTCCTTTTCTGCAGAGTTTTGGGTCAGAAGGGTCTGATCTCTTGTACATCACAGGTCCCCAACACCACCTGCAGAGAAAACCCAATGATTGATGGGGTGGTTGTGGGTTAATCAGCTGTGACTAAAACCTACCAGGGTCCTTTGCAATCTTGTCTTTTGCATCGTCCGCATTGTTTGTTTCAGCAGAGCTGGTTAACTGTCCTGATGCTGTCTTTTTATTACTTTCCCCCTCAAGAGATAACAACCCTCGCTCCAGATGAGGATGAGCTTCAGGATCATAGCGAGTTGCATTCCAGCTCAGATAATAATGCCTCAGAAAAAGGGTAAGTTCCCTTAAGCCTCCCGAAAGCTGTGTAGCATGGTAGCACCTGTCCATTTAGTCACTTTCCTCTTTTATTTCAAGCACACGAGGTTATCCATTGGAACTCTAATCTGATAGCCACCCCAAGCGGGTTTGCCACCTTCCCTCTTGACTCGCAGCCAGATTGGGTTTCAAATGCTCATGACTGCCATGCTGCTGGGGAGATTGGGATAGCGCGTTGCTCTGAAGGTTAATGGAGACGGTGTGTGGAAAAAAATCTACCCTTTTTATTCATTGAACTGAAAACTGCCCGTGTCTTTACCTCTTGCTCTAAGGGAAGGTGGGCCTTCCATATTGGCTTGAGTGCCCAGGATTGAACGAATGCGGAGACTGGATTTCTCTTCATATTCCATAACAGGGGAATCTCTGTAGGGCAATGCTGGGATCATGGTTGCCACAGGGAGTCTGTCTCCAGAGTAGTGATGCAGATTTGTTTAAAAATCCATTTGTCCTTAAAATCTTGTCGTGGTGTCTTGCCTCTGGCACCTGTGACTCGCCGTGGCCTTCTGGTCTGATATACTTCATCGCGGACAGTGTAATTCTTTTCTTACACTGCTGGTCCTGGGCTGCAGGATCGATGTAGCTCTGCATTTTGCTCGGTGAATGCAATGAGGTACAAGTAAAGTACAGAGCCCTGGGACAGGCAGGGTGCCATTGGAGAACCAATAACAGCCTCATCCTGGAGGAGGCAAAAGCAATGCTCAGTATTTCTCTTTAGTTTGATTAGCAGAGAGGGAGAGACGGGTGCCCTACACGGCCCATATATTTTCATTAAAAAGTATGGCTCAGATGTCCTCAGAGACACCTAAGGCAGCGAGGCACTTAAGCCCCATTCAACAGGAGGGCACCCAAGTCCCTCAGGCTACTTAGCAGATGGCAGCCCATCGCACTTCTGATCCTTCCAGCTCCCGGTGAGTTTAATTTGGCAGCGCAGAGAAGTTTAGTGATTTGCTCAAGATCATACAACCTTTGTTCAAGATCTGTCAGTAGCAGGGCTGTCTGATTCCCTGGTGTGGACCCTTGATCTAATTTTGGAGGGTTTATAAGGTTGGGTAAAATATAATCTGTCTACTATGTCTGCTCATAGAAATAATAATGGAAGCAGTATTGAAGTGGTAACTGCAAGCAGGAGAGCACACGTAACTGGGTTCCTAGGCTTTGTTAGAATAAAAAGGCCCGGTGTAAAAAGCTTGATTTTAGTCAACCACAGGCTGAATTTTAAGTGAAGTTAATGCAGGTCTGAGGACTGAACCCTAGGTCATGAATGATACCTTCTTATTAGATGTAGCAAACAAGTGACCACAGAAGCACAGGTACACCATAAGTTGCCCAAGTAAGAGGATGTTTGGGGGATTTTCTGCAATGTCTTGTACCATAGTAACTAGGCAGTTAAACCACAGTGATGCAGATGGTCTATTAAGAAATGGATTGACTCATATTGCTTAGGTCAGTGATTGGAAGTATAATTATGGACACCCAGATTATCACATATGGATAATAGGCAGGTGTTAACTTTATTATAGTCACAGAAGAGCATCGAAAAGGGTTCTGTTTCTCAATGGTTACATAAAGAATGGGTATAAAAGACGTGACTTAGTTCCCTAAATTCTGGGTGCATTGGATTCTTGAGATGGTGTAAACTAAATCAGTACCAACGCTCTGATGTGCTCCACTGACTGGTCCTCCTAGCTTTGTTTCTAATGTCTCCAAAGGTTGTAAGTATGCACAATGCAAGCCTGTATGTATGAACAATGTAGGAAACACTTCACTGTAGTTATCTGATTCATATACTTATGTATATAAATTTTTCTGTGATTTCAATAATTGTCTATATTAGCTAAATCTCATCGCGTTGCTGGGTGCTTCACCAGTTTCATCTTTTTAATTAACGCTAAGTAGCCACCTGAATAAAGAACCTGCTGTTTGTGACAAGTGCATGTTGCACCCCAATAAGCAATTTTATAATTGCAATAATCAGTCAGGCTACACTGGACAACACTCTCTCCAAGCTTAAAGACGCTTTTCTAAATCGCAACCAAACTCCAGCACACTTGGCTCTGCAGAACTGGATTGGAAATTTTATGAGAACAGGTTTTTGCATAGTGTTTTGGTACTTCCCCTTCTAGTATAACTCAAATTTGGGAAGCACAGAGATGCAGACGATGATGAAGCTGAGTGCATGTGTGCGAATTGCAGGGACAGGCTTGGACGTTTTGATTTTGCATGAGGTCTTTTGATGGGGCTTATTTTACAAAGTCGGCTTGCCTGTCACTAGTATTTCTGATGGCTCTGGTTGGGATTTATTGGTAGACTCGTGTGAGAATTCTGCTTTCTTCCCACTCTGAGCTCTACCCTGTCTCAGGTAATTCATCTGAGCCTCATTCACCCTTCTGTCTGTCATGTCAATTTCACTCTTACTCTATGTATAAACCTGCACTTAAGGCTCTGTTGTTATATTGATCCCCAGCTAGTCTCTATACGTGTATAACACTGATAGGGATTTAGGGCCTCTTGCTTGGGGATACGTGGCCTGGAAAGCAATGGAACAGCTGAGTTCTGGTGTGGGGAGGTCTGACCAGATGATCTAATCTTGCCAAGGGTGGCTCTGGGGTTCTCTCTGCCTGCTGCAAAGAATTGCTGCATTGTGACTGCCTCTGTTAATGGGGTGAAATTCTCTCGCCTCTGATGTGCAGAATGATCTAATGGCCCCTTCTTGCCTTAAACTCTATGAATCCATGTAGCCGTGCAGGAAAAGGGGTGATTTGGGGGTGAACCATGGCTGACCATTGGTATGACCATTGGTCCTGTGAACTATGGAGATCTGCTGGCCAAAACACCCACAGAGAAGGGATATAGAGGTTGGCAGATGGCAGTACCACCGGGAGGAGAGTGCCTTGTGGAGATGCTTTGGGTCTCTCTTCTGTGCCCCAACTCTGGATTTGAGAGGGGAGGGGAGAGATTCTGTCCTTTCCCCAGCCTCTGCAAAAATCCTGATTGTTTAGGCTTTCCACAGCAGCTGAGGCTGCTTGGCCCTTCGCGGTCGAGAGCAATCTTCTAGGGCCCAGAGGAGAGAGCAGGAGAGGAGAGGGGAATGGATCTGCTCCAGCTCTAGTGAGGGTAGAAGGAGAACTGTCCTAACGGTGGGTGATCTCTCTCTGCAGGACTGGCAGCAGGGTGATTAGCTGGCTGGTGCAGGGATTTGGGAAAATGATCCCGCAGCCGGAAAACATGAACAAGCTTGAGGTGAGTGCAGCAAAGACAAAGAAGAGACATTGTCACGGCAGCACAAGAGAAACACCAATACATCTCATGAGCGCACACATCCCAATGTGTAATGACGAGCCCTACTTTTCCATAGGCTTACAGGTGTACACACACACATACACACACGCAATGGCTCCCCTCACCCCTTCTTCCCCACAGGTCCCTGCAGGATGGTCAATAGCCCCCTCCTTGTCTGAGATTACTGAAACACAGAGGAGGAAGATGGAAGGACTAGGGACTACCATTGTCTGAGGCCCCTTGTAATTACAGGAGTTTGCCCACCTGATCTTAATGAACATTCTATGCTCAGTGACAAGCAAGGAAGGCCCTGGCCATATGGCCATGGGGAAAATTGCTTCCCAGTGCCAGATTTGATGCAGGCAAAACTCCCCAGGGGAGCAGAAATCCGTGTTAAGCATCTGCTCCATGCACTCATCTGGCTGCTGTTGTTATTTTTTCTGGAATCCCCACAAGGTGGAATCTACCAGCACCTATGCAGAATTCCAAACACTGATCAACCTCAGAAGAAAAGAATGCCAGCATTGTCGATTTCTCCTGTAACTACTTAGTTCAAATAGATCTTTATTCCAGCCTGTGTGATCCTTTTTGGGTACTTATGCACTATAATAAGACAATATGATCTGTATAGCCTCCTGTTCTCCAGACCGTATAGCATTGGTCCCCAAACTTTTGAGGGTTGCGCCCCCCTTACCCCTGTTCATGCCCCCCTGCCTCCCTCGGAGCTGGGCCAGGAGAAGGGCTGCGGCTTGGGTGGGGGAACATGCCCCACAGTTTGGGGTCCTCTGCTGTATAGGCTCAAGCATCAGCCTATGTTGTGATAGAAAGACCCCGATAATGATGACAATAATACCTAGCACGTCACATCAGAAGATCTCAAAGCACTTTACAAAGAAGGGCAGCATCATTACCCCGTTTTGCATATGGGGAAACTGAGGCACCGATAGATGACGTGAGTAGACCAAGGTCACCCAGCAGGCCAGTGGCAGAGCCAGAAATAGCATGCAGGCTCCTGCTTCCCAGTCTTGTGCTCTATCTGCTAGGCCATTAATGTTGATATTTTGATCAGTTTAGTGACTTCTTTGTATGGTCTCCAGAATTTGTAAAGTTACTTCAAATAATTTTCTTGAGACCCCCACCCCTTCTTTGTTGTTTTAAGACATTGGGATAACAGGAACTGCTCAACTTGTAGCATGGGACAGCTCCCTGTATCGCTCTGCCAGACCACTGTGTCATCAAGAGACGATGTATTCCGTGCATAGTAGCCCGTGCACACACAGACACGTACACAAGTCCTCTGACCCTCAGGAGTGATGGTATCCTCTCGACCTCAAGCACACTCCACCCTCAGCTTTCCCACGGCGACTCTTTCTTAATACCATGATTTTGCAATTTGGGGAAAGCGGCTTTCTAGAGGGGTTGTTACTGATTGACCCATCTTTTTCTAAATCGTTACCTTAATTTCATGCTACTGAAAAGTGAGGTCTGGGAAACATGCCTTGCAAGCGGACACTTATGGAGTTCAAGCTAGTTAGTTTTCAAAGAGAAGGTTAAGAAGCGTCTCGATTTCAGTTTGTACATGGGGAAAAGGCATCTGATATTAGGGGGACCTTTGAATTAGTAGGCAAAAGAATAGCCAGATCCACTGGCTGGAAATGAAGTTAGAAAAATTCAAACTGGAAATCATAGCATCATAGAATCATAGAATCTCAGGGTTGGAAGGGAGCTCAGGAGGTCATCTAGTCCAACCCCCTGCTCAAAGCAGGACCAATCCCAACTAAATCATCCCAGCCAGGGCTTTGTCAAGCCTGATCTTAAAAACCTAAAAGGAAGGAGATTCCACCACCTCCATAGGTGACCCATTCCAGTGCTTCACCACCCTCCTAGTGAAATGGTGTTTCCTAATATCCAACCTAAATCTCCCCCACTGCAACTTGAGACCATTACTCTTCGTTCTGTCATCTGCTACCACTGAGAACAGTCTAGATCCATCCTCTTGGGAACCCCCCTTCAGGTAGTTGAAAGCAGCTATCAAATCCCCCCTCATTCTTCTCTTCTGCAGACTAAACAATCCCAGTTCCCTCAGCCTCTCCTCATAAGTCATGTGTTCCAATCCCCTAATCATTTTTGTTGCCCTCTGCTGGATGCTTTCCAATTTTTTCACATCCTTCTTGTCGTGTGGGGCCCAAAACTGGACACAGTACTCCAGATGAGGCCTCACCAGTGTCGAATAGAGGGGAACGATCACGTCCCTCAATCTGCTGGCAATGCCCCTACTTATACATCCCAAAATGCCTTTGGCCTTCTTGGCAACAAGGGCACACTGTTGACTCATATCCAGCTTCTCATCCACTGTAACCCCTAGGTCCTTTTCTGCAGAACTGCTGCCTAGCCATTTGGTCCCTAGTCTGTAGCGGTACATGGGATTCTTCCGTCCTAAGTGCAGGACTCTGCACTTGTCCTTGTTGAACCTCATCAGATTTCTTTTGGCCCAATCCTCTAATTTGTCTAGGGCCCTTGGTATTCTATCCCTACCCTCCAGCGTATCTACCTCTCCTCCCAGTTTAGTGTCATCTGCAAACTTGCTGAGGGTGCAATCCACACCATCCTCCAGATCATTTATGAAGATATTGCAGAAAACCGGCTCCAGGACTGACCCTTGGGGCACTCCGCTAGATACTGGCTGCCAACGAGACATGGAGCCATTGATCGCTACCCGTTGAGTCTGACAATCTAGCCAGCTTTCTTTCCACCTTATAGTCCATTCATCCAGCCCACACTTCTTTAACTTGCTGGCAAGAATACTGTGGGAGACCATGTCAAAAGCTTTGCTAATCTATCTATTATTCTATGATTCTATGAGTGATACAACTTTTTAACAGAGGGGATAATTAACCATTGGGACTGCTAGACATGGTATGTGTCACAATGCACCATTGCTTGGAGCCCTTAAATCCAGACTGGATCTTATTCTGAAAGATGCTGCAGCTTGGCTACAAGTTATTGGGCTCAACAGTGTTCACTTAGCAATAGGGCAGTGCAATTCCCTGTACTGCCGGAATGGCTGGATGGAATTTTCTGGTCTGTATTCTGCAGGAACTCAGACAAGAGGATCTTAGTGGCCCCTTCTGGCCTTCTGTGCAAAATCTCCATTTAACAGCACTGGAGACTGGAGTCCTCTGCTTGTCTCCAGAACAGTGCAACATAAGTAGCAGATATGCATGTCTCCAATCCTGAAGCCAAGGGACTGCTTCTAGGGGAGAGAGGGCAATTCAGTCTTTGGAGCTCATTCAGTCTGTGATCTTTCTGTTGAAACTGTCAAGAAAGGGGGCATTGGAGAGACAAGGTGGGTGAGGGAATATCTTTTATTGGACCAACTTCTGCTTTCAAGCTTACACAGAGATCTTCTTCAGATCTGGGAAATGTACTCAGAGCTTCACAGCTAAATACAAGGTGGAACAGATTGTTTAGCACAAGGAGTTAACACTACAAGAAGGATGTGGAAAAATTGGAAAGAGTCCAGAGGAGGGCAACAAAAATGATTAGGGGGCTGGAGCACATGACTTATGAGGAGAGGCTGAGGGAACTGGGATTGTTTAGTCTGCAGAAGAGAAGAATGAGGGGGGATTTGATAGCTGCTTTCAACTATCTGAAAGGGGGTTCCAAAGAGGATGGATCTAGACTGTTCTCAGTGGTAGCAGATGACAGAACAAGGAGTAATGGTCTCAAGTTGCAGTGGGGAAGATTTAGGTTGGATATTAGGAAAAACTTTTTCACTAGGAGGGTGGTGAAACACTGGAATGCGTTACCTAGGGAGGTGGTGGAATCTCCTTCCTTTGAGGTTTTTAAGATCAGGTTTGACAAAGCCCTGGCTGGGATGATTTAGTTGGGATTGGTCCTGCTTTGAGCAGGGGGTTGGACTAGATGACCTCCTGAGGTCCCTTCCAACCCTGAGATTCTTTGATTCTATGAACACATTTCAAGGGACCACTCACAGTGAAGTGGCCCATTAACACCCCTCCAGTCATAGTCACCATCAAGGCTATAACAATGCTGCGGACAAGAAAGGGGCCAGTTAGTACCACCTGTGATATGGACGCTTTTCCCCTAGCACTAGACGGAGCCCCCCAGCCCATTTCGTATGAGCCTCCAGACAGCTGTCAGGTGATCCTGGCTTCCAGTTCCTATTGATTTGGTCCATATGTGAACTCGTGAACTAGGGGTGAAAATCTCCATTAGCAACTCCCCGTGTCACTCCAGCCTCCATTTTGCTAATTTTCAGAATTGCTGGAGCAAGCATATTATTCGCCTTGCCTGGAGTGCCCTATACGTCGGGTGAAGGATGAGCTCTTAAAATAAAGATTCCATTCCACCTGTCTCTAGAAATGAAAAATGAGAAGGTAAATACAGTAAACACAAGACGCAACAGCAGGATTGTCTCATACGTACTGGTTTCCATGAGGAATCTATGGGGCTTAATACACATACTTTGACTTTTTAACGGCTCAGACACTGTAAACGTTGTTACGGCTGTTTATGGGCTGGTCCTCACTAGAAAATTAGGTCATATAAGAACATGAGCTTGAGGAAGCATGTTAACTAACACAATAGTAAAACAATTTTCAGTCCGTGCAGACAGAGACAAGTTGTGTTTAACATTGTGTCAGCTGGTTGTGGTTAGCCCTCGGTTCTAGCAAGTGTTACTCACAATGTTAGGTTCCAAAGAAAGGTTCCAAAGAAAGGACCTAGGGGTGACAGTGGACGAGAAGCTGGATATGAGTCAGCAGTGTGCCCTTGTTGCCAAGAAGGCCAATGGCATTTTGGGATGTATAAGTAGGGGCATAGCGAGCAGATCGAGGGACGTGATCGTTCCCCTCTATTCGACATTGGTGAGGCCTCATCTGGAGTACTGTGTCCAGTTTTGGGCCCCACACTTCAAGAAGGATGTGGATAAATTGGAGAGAGTCCAGTGAAGGGCAACAAAAATGATTAGGGGTCTAGAACACATGAGTTATGAGGAGAGGCTGAGGGAGCTGGGATTGTTTAGCCTGCAGAAGAGAAGAATGAGGGGGGATTTGATAGCTGCTTTCAACTACCTGAAAGGGGGTTCCAAAGAGGATGGCTCTAGACTGTTCTCAATGGTAGCAGATGACAGAACGAGGAGTAATGGTCTCAAGCTGCAGTGGGGGAGGTTTAGATTGGATATTAGGAAAAACTTTTTCACTAAGAGGGTGGTGAAACACTGGAATGCGTTACCTAGGGAGGTGGTAGAATCTCCTTCCTTAGAGGTTTTTAAGGTCAGGCTTGACAAAGCCCTGGCTGGGATGATTTAACTGGGAATTGGTCCTGCTTCGAGCAGGGGGTTGGACTAGATGACCTTCTGGGGTCCCTTCCAACCCTTATATTCTATGATTCTATGTTAAGTATCGTGATTCCTGTAACCTGGACTACTTAACGGTGTTTAACATTCTGTTTGTTAGCACAACTCCTCAAGGGCATGGTTTGACATGACTTAATTTTCTAGTGAAGACTATTCCATATGGAAATTTTCCTCCACAACCTACTTGTTTTCCAGTTTTACAAATTAAACAGTAAAGCTCTGCATTAAAAGAGCACCTAGCATCTGACCCATACTGATGAAGGCTGGGACATTCGGAGTTAAACAATCCCCAGCAAGCTAAAGGCAGCAGAAGACTTAAGTGTGGTGATACAGTGTGGTTTGTACAGGGACACACTGTCCTGCAAACCACTTTGTTCTTGGGTAATGTGCGGTCAGTTAAGGTCAGTGACTGTTGCAGTTCTGACTTTCCAGTAATAATGTCTGTAATGATATTCTTAAATACCCAAGCAGTGGAAATCATCTGGGCTAATTCTGAATGGAGCTGTACCTCAAGAAGAGATCTCTTGCGAAGAAAACGAACCCATTTTTCTTTGATACTTTATCTGATCCACCTGGGGGTATTTTCCTGCTTGTTTTTATGCCTGCCCAGCCGATCCAGGACCAAACATTGACCTGACAGGAGAGGAGAAAAAATTATTTTCAACATACACACAAGCTTGAGGATCAAAAATAAACAGATTTCTATTGACAGGCAGGATTCTCTTGCGGAAGCATCTTTAGCCCAAGCAGGGTATGTTAACTTAAGAGTGAGCAAGAAGCACTGCCCTTTAGGTCAGGTCAGTGAAAGATCAAAGGGAAAAGCGTGCTCCTGATTTCCCTGTGCTCGCTCTATCTAGACACAAACCCCTCGGGAGGGAAACCTGATGATCTTCTATTGAGAGCATCTAGAAAAGAAAACAAACAACGTTTTATTTTATACCCGAGTAGGTGACAGCCTGATTCTGCTTTCAGTTACATGAGTGTATGTAGGAATCACTCCCCTGAAATCATTACCTGGGTGTAAAACCTGAATCGCTCCACTGAAATCATTACATGAAATGAATTACATGGGTATAAACCCTGTGTGAGATCAGAATCGGCCCTGTGAATCTTGACTGAAATATTCCTACTGGTGCCACCACCAATTCCCCTAGTGTAGACAGGACCATGAAGTCTAAGCTTAGCTCTCAAGTATGCACAAAGTTTCGTTTTGATTGCTCCTTGGGATCTGCAGGGTGTTACAGTCTTCAGGGGCTGTTTTTTAAAATTTAAAATCAATTAACAAAAAAAGATAGTGAAGATACGTTTTGCCAACATTTATTTCCCCCAGAGGGGTATTGATACTGGGAGGGGTAACATGGCAAAGTAGAACTGAGCTGTCAGATAAGCCAGAGTTGTACATTTGCCTGGGAAGCAGCAGGAGCCAAGGAAATCACTCCTTCATTTCTGTTCATTTTATAAATGCTGGTTACTGTTTTTCTGCCGGGCATCTCTGCTGTCAGGCCAAGGCATGCAAAAACGAACGCAGATGGGAGGCAGAGGTGTTGCGATTAGCTGCATTGTCACTTTAATTCAGATGTCGGCATGTCAGTGTATTCCATATGTGTTTGTATGACAGGATGTAAAGGAGAGGAAATCTGAAGAGGCAGCTGTAAAAGAAGGTGAGTGATTTTTGCTGGGGTGAATGGGGTGCCCGACTGTAGAAGTTTCAGGAATGGAAACTTCATAGTCTGCTATAGCCAAGTCTCTTTCCAAGATCTTACTGCACTGGTTTCCCTCGGTATCCTGCTTTCATAGCCTTGGAGTTGCAGGCAGTGAAAGGAAGTAGATTACTTGTACTTGTGCTGTCTAGGGACTAGTGCTGTCAAAACCGGGTGCATATGGCAATCCTAGGGCAGTACACATCCGAGAACTCATGGGAAATTTGTACTGACACACTGAGTTAGTAATCTTCCTAGTTCTCGAAGAAATCCTGTACTGATACTTTGACAGCAGAGCGAAGGCATCTGGGGCATTCTTTGCTATAAATGTTTATAAAACTAGATTAAAGGGCCGGTTTCAGAGGAACAGCCGTGTTAGTCTGTATTCGCAAAAAGAAAAGGAGTACTTGTGGCACCTTAGAGACTAACCAATTTATTTGAGCATGAGCTTTCGTGAGCTACAGCTCACTTCATCAGATGCATACCGTGGAAACTGCAGCAGACTTTATATACACACAGAGAATATGAAACAATACCTCCTCCCACCCCACTGTCCTGCTGGTAATAGCTTATCTAAAGTGATCAACAGGTGGGCCATTTCCAGCACAAATCCAGGTTTTCTCACCCTCCACCCCCCCACACAAATTCACTCTCCTGCTGGTGCTAGCCCATCCAAAGTGACAACTCTTTACATAATCAAGTCGGGCTATTTCCTGCATAGATCCAGGTTTTCTCACATCCCCCCCACCCCCATACACACAGTGCCCCACAGCACCTCAGTTTTCATTTCACCTTCTGAAACATCCCCTTGTGTGCTTTAAAATGTTGATGCCATTTAGACTCTGAGCTGTATTCATTTTTGAGCACAAACCACACCATGTGGTGCTGGTTAGTTTCAGAGACCAATGACTGAAAATACAGAATGAAGCTTCCCCTCCGTCCGTTCTTCTCCTGCTGCTGATGGCTTTAACAGGGTTTAGAGTTCAAAATGCTGGTGATCATTTGGGATGAGGCAGCTACGTGACGGAGAGCGGTGCTGATACTGATGTTTTGGTTATCAGATTGTAAGCGCCTCAGCACAGCGACTGCCTTTAAGTCCTGGGTTTGTCCAGTGGCTAGCACAGCAGGGCCCTAATCCGTGATTTGGGCCCCAGGTGCCACTACAATACAAATCAACGAGCAGGTGGCAGCTCTGACAAGTCCTACAGCATGAAGCTCTCCCCTGTGCAGCGGGCTGGCACACGCTGTGGGTGCAATATCTAAATCCCACTTACGCCCTCAAAATGGACCTTGTTCTGACCTTGGGCTGGGTGCTGAGCTGCGGTAGACGGATGTGGCTCCAGTGATGTTCATTGGTTCTGGCCTTCTGCACAAGGGTAGATTTCACCTACATGGCTTAAGCCTCAAAGGCCTTCACTGTTTACAATGAAACTCACGATGTCGCTTCTCTCTCGCTGTGAACAATCCCAAGCAGAAAGGAAAGTAAGTAAGACCAGGACAGCACTAAAGGGAAGCTCTCAAGCAAGTCACAGCGTATCGGGAACCTCACAGCGGGCATCTACAGACAGCCTGGTGGGACTCGGGACATCTCTCTTTCCTCAGACGCTGGGGGGCGACGGTGGCAGGTAGTGCAGCGTGAATCCTTCTGAAATGTTCCACTGTCGCCTTGGGATGGTCCTTGGTGTCTTACGTATTTGGGTTCCCGAACACTTTGATCCGCTGGCCCTTTCCATTGCTGCCCCGTGTGCATCCCCCCCGTGTTTGCCTGGTGGAACTTTCATTCTAATGGCGGGAACCCAAGAACATGCCGAGTGCGTCTAGCCACCTCTGGCACCTTGTCACTGGTTGATTGATTGAATTAATTGGTGCAGAGCAATACGCAGAGGGTGGACACAGATATAGGGTAAATTCGCTTCTTGCATTATGGGCCCTTTGTGGTGCTAAATCTGCCCTGGCTCAAGCTGCATGCAAACCCCCCCGATGAAGAAAGCAAGGGCTGTAACAGGAGTTTAACAGGAGTTTCTGACTGGCAGGGTGTTCAAGTGGTTTGTTCAGGGAATGGAGAAGGTGATTCCACAGCCTCTGGCCAGAGTGAAGCAAGATGCTCAGGTACGTGGTTACGGTGGGGATGATAAAGAGACTAAACTAATGATAGGGGGTCAGTGGGGCTCTCCCATGATGATGCGTTAACATTGGGCTGGCCAGGTGGGGTCTCTTCTGCACAAAGTCGCATCAATACCCATGAAGGTAAAATACTGTGGTAGGATGTCGTAGAAGTTAGGCTAATTCTATCACCACTAGCAACATTCAGATGTGCAGTGTGACATTTCACACCATGGTCACCTGCAGGGATCAGGAGGAAATATTCCCACACCCCCATGCACAGTGTTTCCAAACTGTGTATGATAGCTCGGTTTTCCCTTCCTTTCTCTAGAACCTCAGGTGTTGGTCTCTGCGGAAGGAAAATTGCTGAACTAGCTAGACCGATGCTCTGAGTTGGTCTGACAGCTCCTCTCATGTTCCCATATCACCAGCACTTGAAAGGTCTGATCCTGCTCCCACTGAAATCAATGAAGCTCAAATATAAAGTAAGGAAGAACTTACAGGGACTGAAAATGAAGTTCCTCCTTTCATTGCTTCAGATCCAAAGAACCAACCAGGCCAGCCCTGGAAGTTCTTCCTCCAAGCAAGCCAAGTAGCCCATGGATGTTCCAGTGGCAGTGACTGGGTTAAAAAAAACAAACCCAACCCATTTTTACTACTCCGATTGATTGGATTCCGTTAGATATAAGCCATGGGCTGGTCAGCACAGCAACGTTCATCCGTACTTTGCGACATCTAGTAATCCCCACCCCACGTCCTCTTTCCAAGCTCCGACATCTTCAGCAGGGCTCTCCTCTATTCTGCTGACTTGCTGTGAAAGGGCCACATGTTCAGTCTGTTCTGGGAGGTTCCCCACAGGTATTTCCCAGGTTTCCTGTAGCACCCCGTGCTCTCCAGCTCAGATGTGCCTTGCAGGGCTTCATGCTATTTTTGTTAATATTTAAATACATTGTACAACAAAGTTGCACAAAACCCAAATCCTCCAGGATACCCTTCGAGCTGCGTTATGCTCACCATTGTGTGAGTTTAGAGGGACAATATCTCCCAGAGCTCCAGGGAACACAGCTCCTGCTGGTTCAGCCTGTACTCTCCTGGAGATCCCAGCAGCTCTGACGCCAGTGCAGAGGGCACGTGGAACCATAGTACACGCTGGTGTAACCGTGAGCAGCATTTGGCCTAATATTTGTTTTCCATTTTGGTCCAAGAAAGCTAGAGGCTGCCACCTGATGTTCTGTGCCTGGATCTGAGCAGAGTGGACGAAAGATTTCATGCTTCTGTCATTGCTCTGACCCCCTTACCCTCCCCAGCCAGACCTCTCAGTCAGCCGGGGAAGAGCCATCCCACGTTTTTTGCTTAGCCCTTAGTGCCTTAAAAGAGATCCCCATGCAGCGTTGTTTGCCTTGATAAATTGGGCTGATTTTTAAGAATGGTGCTGTAGTCGTTGATCTAAATCTGGCAATGCTGGCTGTCCTCTGCCTTAGAGGAGGAAGACCTGTTAAGGGACTAGTCCTGGAGACTGCAGCAAAACCTGCGTGGTTAAGCTATCTGTGCCAATACTTAGCAATCTTGCCCAGACCAAGCAGTGAGCAAGCCGTAATAACAAAATGTACAAATTGTGGGCCGAGGACTTTCAGTTGCTCCACAGCAACCTCACCGAGAGAAGAATTTGGCCCTCTCTTGTCAAGTATCGGAATAACTCACTTTGCCCGACATTGAAATGGAGTCACCTTTGGGGTGAGACGACAGCTGTTTAACAGCACACAGCTGTAGTATAGAGAAGTTTAACGAGGAGAGAGAAAAATACTGTATCTAATGGAAATTGCCTGGGGAATTTAGATAGGTAGAATGGACACATTTGGCCAGGACGCTGGGGTTGACCCTGACAGTCTTACAAAAAGTGCAATGGTATTTTTAACAGCCACAGATAGGACCTTGGTTTTATATTTCATGCAAAAGGCTTTTAACAGCACAGCATCACTTGCTGGGGTACTGGTTCGGGTTTGACTCAAAAGAGAAGGGTGCCATCTACTGAATTGCCAGAGAGGAAGAGTGTTAACACCGAGAGAGAAAGCAAGAGAGAGGCTATAGTCAAAAATAGTTAACAATAATTAATATTTTACTGTTTCCTTTTTTCTTCGTAGGCTGCAGAAGTTGGAACCTTGTGCCCAGTGGAAGAGAGTAAGTAACCAATTCCTCTCGTTACACAGTTTCAGTTGACAAGTATTATTGGCCTTTATTGATAAAACCTGATTCAGAAAGAAGGGCTGCAGCTTCGGTATAGAGACATCCCCGGGTAGGTCTGGGGTGGGTTCCACGCTGCAGAGGTTCTGAAAGTATTTAGAGAAGCTGTGGGAACAATATTGTTAAAATGTCAATGTTGCATTTTTGAGATGGTTTTGACCTGCAGTACATTCGCGGTAAATTTCAATCTGTGCAGAGTAGATTTGGGATGCTTGTTTGATTCTCAGAGCCTTTTCTTTGGTCTGGATCTCGGTGTGAAAGACAGTCCTATTCTGGGGGTAAATTCTCCAAATATGAAGAACATCCCAAACTGGGGAGTGAGTCTGTCACTGTCAGATGATCTTTAAACAGAATTTATATGAGACACTTTGAGGTGCACCCTTGGGCAATGCCAGAGGACATTTTGCCGACCTTTGGAGGTGGTTGGAATTTGGAACAAATATACATTCTAAACCCCTCCAAAGCTTCCTTTTTACGTTAACATGTGAGCTTAGACCTGATGCTCTACGGCATGTCCTTGGGGCTTGAGGGGTCTAGAAGGAAAATCCCTCTGCATGGGTATGGCGAAAGTAACTCTTGCAACAGGTGACACATTTGGGCCCCTGGTGAGACAGACAGGCAAGGCACTTTGCCCCAGCTACTACCCTCTCCCACCGTTGAATAGCACAGCACGACTTTGTAGTTAAAAAATGAGATGATATCTACCTTGGCTAAGTACAGCTCATCCTGCATCATGAAACCGTGCTATGATGTTGTGTGATAATGTCAGCTATATGTTACATGGCAAAACTGAAGGCCGGCATACAGGAAAATGCGACACTGTTGTCATAGTTGATTCGTTGTCATCATTGACAGTTTGGTTGTTGTTTTTTTTTTTAAACTCGCTTCCATGCAATGTGTTAGGATGTTTCCCCAAACTGGGAATTTGGAGTAATAAGGCAGGAGTTGGGTCCCCTCCCCTCCCCTCCATGAAATCTGGATTTTTCTGCCCAATTTAGTGTTGGAATGTATGACTTTTGTAGCTCTTATATTCAGCAAGTGAAACAGGGTATGCAAGTAGTAGCAGGATGTATTTGTTAGGTGGAATATATAGCTATCATTATCTCGACTTCACTTAAACGTCAGAGGATTTTGCGGGACTCCTGAGAGTGTTTTTCTTTGTGGGCTTTTATAGAAATCTCTATTCTAGGCTTTCCTGAAACAGGACATAAAATCATTAAAATAAAAGCATTCAAGGTTGAATGATGTCATCTGCTTGTATTACTTGAGAATTCTTCTCCGGCTCTTTGGGGAGTTGGATGGGCAGGTTTCAAAGATGCACTGCACAACAGACCAGGAGGTGAAAGGGCTTGAGGATACCCCACAGGGAGGAATAGCCAAGTGTTCCTTCCTGGGTTCCAAGAGGTTTTTTTGCATTTGGGTGGTGGCAGTGTTTACCAAGCCAAGGTCAGAAAGAAGCTGTAACGCTGGGAGTTTAATAGAAGCCTAGAGTGGCCAGTATTAATTTTTAAAATCCTTGCAGGCCCCCACTTCCTGCACTTGAGGTGCCAGAGTGGGGATTCAGCCTTGACAATCACAAAGCTTATAATCTACTGAGTGTGTTCATCCTATTTGTATGAATGTATCATTCTTGTATCTGAAACTAGGAATATGAAGCATAACTCTGAGGTCCTATTGTAATTATGCAAAGTGTGGGCCATTAATGGTGGTTTAGTATCTTGTATCCCATCGACTCGAACAATTGGCTGTAGATGGCTCTGTTTACTTGTAAGCCTTTCGGTATACATGTGTGTCAGCGAGTGGGTAATGAAGTCTCACAGGACATGTGAACATGTCACATGATACTGGAATCCATCTTAAACCTGGTGCTTTTCCATTTAGAAGGGAACCCAGAGAGAGACAAAGGATTCCCGCCTTGTGCCAAAGCTATAAAAGGGGGTGGAACAGAACAAAGGGGGCTGCCAGTCATGAGAAATCCCCTAGTTACCACCTGATCTGGGAACTAACAAGGATTGTACCAGGGGAAAGGATTGGGCCCAGACTAGGAAGGAGTCTAGTCTGTGAAAGAAGCTTATTGGAACATCTCTGAGGGTGAGATTTACCTGTATGCAGTTTCTTAATGTATTAGGCTTAGACTTGTGTGTTTTGTTTTATTTTGCTTGGTAACTTACTTTGTTCTATCTGTTATTACTTGGAACCACTTAAATCCTACTTTTTATACTTAATAAAATCACTTTTGTTTATTATTTGACCCAGAGTAAGTGATTAATACTTGGGGGAGCAAACAGCTGTGCATATCTCTCCATCAGTGTTATAGAGGGCGGACAATTTATGAGTTTACCCTGTATAAGCTTTATACAGAGTAAAATAGATTTGTTTGGGGTTTGGATCCCATTGGGAGCTGGGTGACTTGGTTGCTGGAGACAGGAGTACTTGCTGAGCTGTTTTCAGTTAAGTCTGCAGCTTTGGGGGCTTGGTTCAGACCCTGGGTCTGTGTTGCAGCTGGCTAGCATGTCAGGCTCAACAAGACAGGGATCTGAAGTCCCAAACTGGCAGAGAAAACAGGCTCAGAGGTAATCTCAGCACATCAGGTGACAGTCCCAAGGGGGTCTCTGTGACCGAACCTGTCACACTTACTTTCAGGGCGAATTTCACAAGGCTGATACTCCACTTAAGTCCCTCTGAAGCCCTATTTTAAGTGGGATTTAAGTGGAGTAGCAGCCCTATGCTAGCTGTGTGCATAGGGTAGAATTTCACCCTCCATGCATGACTGGTGTTATCAGATGTTTGGCTGCGTGCGTGTTCTCCTGGGTGTTCTCCTGTGTGCTGTCCCAGCTCTGCGCAGACAGCTGCCACAGCAGACCTTAAGGGAACCACCCAATACATTCACAGACTTGGTTCGTAGCGAAGACACTTGGTCAGGTTCATTGCTGATGAAGCATGGTGCTAATGCCCTGGCTCAGTGGTTACAGGTACACTAACACATGTATGCCCGTGACAATGGACCGGGTCAGTTAGTGGCGGGACTTTCCACTATCCCCTAGGCCAGACAAAGACACTTCCTCTGAGGTACATCTTTTTACAGCAATACAAAAGTTACATATCATCCTTGACATATTAGGGTGCCAACCTCTAACGTATTAGGGCGCCACCCATTGCCTTGTACCTGTAGGTGCAATCAAAACACCTCTATTCATGATGCTGTCATCCTGACCTTATCCTTAAGATGGGTCAGCATGTTCCTGTTATCTTTGGGAAATGTGTTTATCGGGGTGTTCTGGTACCACCTTTCTGGAATGTGCTTGCATGAGTGTTTTGTGCCTAGCACCTCTTAGGAACATATGTTTTTGCAATATCAACCCTATGCTTGCCGAATTCTGTGAGCAGGGCCTGCCTCTTGCTCACAACTTAACTTTGCTTCATATCAGCAAGGTTTTAAATACCTTAGCCCAGGCCTCAGGCCTCATACCAGGCATCTAATATAAGGCCTTATGTTTCAGGCCCTCTTCTTACTACAACTGGTTTAAGTGAAATCTCTGATTTGGTGTGTTGTGGCATTTTAAATCGTTTTATGCGACAAATGCAGGCAGTGACTGGATAGAATGACTGATCTGCTCCCAATCCAAACAGCCAGCACCTTTATTAATGTAATCCTTCTTCTCCTTTTGTTTCAGGGGGGGAAGGGGCTTAGGGCCTCTGAAACAAATGGAAAATGAAGACCTTGGAGAACCGCCCCCGTCACAGGACTTAGACATGTGACTGACTGCCTCTTTGATGAAGGGGAGAGGAGGTTCTTCCTTTCCTTTTCTGCTCCTAGAGACAATCTGACTCTGATCACCTCCAATACTCATTCTTTTACTGCTTTCACTTGGTATCTGTGAAACTCAGAGGTGGAGCTGTGGGCGCTTCAGAACGTGGCTGGGAGTAATGGCCGTGAGGCTGTACAAATACTGCATGTGAGCATTGAAATATATCCCTCATTCACCCTTCCAAAAAGAGAGCTTCTTATTTTTCCCTCTTCCCGTCACTTCTGAAACCACAAAATGTTTTTAAAAGCCACGACATACCAAATATTTCACCCTGAGAACGCCAGCTGCAACCTGCTCACTTCTTTGAATTGAGTTCTCTTTTACAAAGACTTAGCTTGATTCAATAATTGCTTTTAACTTCTCACTGGAGACTTGTATTCTCTCTCTTCCACTACAGGGCTGTTCTGCTTTTAGCATGTGGGGGTGGTGGGGTCTGACCCAGAATAGCAAATGTTGTCAGGTGAAATTCATGGCACATAGAATCATAGAAGATTGGGGTTGGAAGAAACCTCAGGAGGTCATCTAGTCCAACCCCCTGTTCAAAGCAGGACCAACCCCAACTAAATCATCCCAGCCAGGGCTTTGTCAAGCCAGGCCTTAAAAACCTCGAAGGATGGAGATTCCACCACCTTCCTAGGTAATGCATTCCAGGGCTTCACCACTCAGTGAAATAGTGTTTCCTAATATCCAACCTAGACCTCCCCCACTGTAACTGGAGACCCTTGCTCCTTGTTCTGTCATTTGCCACCACTGAGAACAGCCAAGCTCCATCCTCTTTGGAGTCCCCTTCAGGTGGTTGAAGGCTGCTATCAAATCCCCCCTCACTCTTCTCTTCTGCAGACTAAACAAACCCAGTTCCCTCAGCCTCTCCTCGTAAGTCATGTGCCCCACCCCCTAATAATTTTTGTTGCCCTCCGCGGGTCTCTCTCCAATTTGTCCACATCCTTTCTGTAGTGGGAGGCCCAAAACTAGATGCAATACTCCAGATGTGGCCTCCCCAGTGCTGAATAGAGGGGAATAATCACTTCCCTCGATCTACTGGCAACGCTCCTACTAATGCAGCCCAATATGCCGTTAGCCTTCTTGGCAACGAGGGCACACTGCTGACTCATATCCAGCTTCTCATCCACTGTAATCCCCAGGTCCTTTTCTAGAGAACTGCTGCTTAGCCAGTTGGTCCCTAGCCTGTAGCCGTGCATGGGATTCTTTTGTCTTAGGCCTGGTGCTGGCCCTCTTCACAAGGGTGAACTTAATTCAGCCTGAGTAATTGCTGACTTTTCCCTAGACAATGTCACTTTTCAGATCTAGTGTGTTGAAAAATGTCAGGGTGACTCCCTAGCAATGAAATTATTCCAAGAGGGGCCATTGTATGAAAATCTCCAGTATGCCCCCACAACGCATTCTGGGCTGGCCTGTCAAAAACCATCGGATGCCTCCTTTTCATGCCAACCTGTTGTTCCCCACTAGTTTCCTTTACAAGATAGGCAGCCTTAACGAGGAGTTACTGTCCACACAACCAAAATAACATATCCTAGCTGTGTTTTTATAATGTGCCCATCTGGTAGCTGAGTGCTCTGTGTTGCCCTATTTTCATATACTCTAAAAACAAGAGCCGAGATTAGTAGAAAAGTGTCTTTCTTCTTCTTTGTGTTTTTGTAATTGTATTTCTGTAAAAAAATTAGATAAAGAGAAAGTGAAATGTGTGGTGTTAGCATGATGTCCTGTAGTGTATTCCTGAGTGCACATGTGATGGAATAAAAATGGATCATAACTGTCCTTTTTCTATCTTTCTGTATTTTTTAATTTGATGCATACTTTCTTATTAAACTCATCATAGGCTCCATGTGTTTTGTGGCCAAGAGTTGTTGAATCGAGTTGTTAGTGAGACCCCATAATTACTGTGTACTAAATGGTCTGGGTAGCGTTATCTCCTCTTCTTCATTTTCTCGCATGCATCTAAGATATGAATGGACAGCGGGGCCTGACCCAATGCTTGCTGAAGATAATGGAAAGAATCTCATTGACTGCACTGGGCTTTGGATCAGATCTGTACTCTGAGCTTTTCTCAGGAAGTTGGCCTGCTGGCCTTTCTGGATGCATGGCATGACATGACATATAGATTGATAGAACGTATGGCCAGAAGGGACCATTAGATTGTCTAGTATTATTTCCCTGCAGTGTTGGCAAATGACTAGGATGTGGAGGGTAGTTCCTGTGTGCAGTGTATAATGCCATAGGGCAGGGTTAATTCAAACTTGGGGATAACTCTGACTTCAGCAGGTACTGCAGCAGAAGGGTTACATGTGGAGGTGCACTGGCCCAGAAACACTTCCTGGAGGCATTCTGCTTGCTGAGAACACAGGCAGGCAGAAGGAGTCTGGAGGTACTGGACTAGGACTTGAACCAGGCAGGTGTCCTAGGAGCACAGGGTGTGATCCCACAAGCCCCAGCCCCAGCTTGTAAACCAGAGTGGAAGGGAAGGGGGCCATGTCCCCCCACTGGGGTGAATTTCACCCAGCATGTATAAGGAGGGGATTCTGGCTGCTGTTTGTAGTAGAGTGCAAGTGACCAAGAGCTCTCTGGGTTTTTCGCAGGAGTGGGTGGGTGAAATTCTGTGGCCTGCGTTGTGCAGGAGGTCAGACTAGATGATCATAATGGTCCCTTCTGACCTAAATATCTATGAATCTATGGGTCTTTCCCCACCATTGCATATTTTTGCAAGAACGATCAGATCATGGCCCAGAGATAGATGGGCCAGATCCTCAACTGGTGCAAATCAGTCTCGCTCCAACAAAGTCAACAGATCTGTACCAATTTACACCCGTTGAAGACCTGACCCAATAGCTGGCATATGAGTACAGAGAAAGCCATTTTTTATAGGCAGGACTGATTCTTATTTTGGCCTATCCACACGCATTACGGAACCCCTGAACTTCTTCCTTAGGGAAAACTGCACAAAAGTAATGTCTATCACAGCTCCAGTAGGACTGAAAATGATTCAAATCCTGAGCTACATTTCCGGAGTTCTGGCATATTTGAATACTTCTCTGTTTACTGATATTTATACAGTTCTACATTCCACATGTAAAAATATGGTGTGGATAGATGCTTATAAAACCGGCTACCTTCACTTCACCACTTCCTCCACCATTCCCATTTCAGTCTGTATCCTCCCCGAGGGGCAGGTGGATCTTGTGATGGAAGAGGTAGATACTAACTGGGATAACGAAGACAGAGAAGAAGTGATGCACTGGGACAACGAGGCCGAATTTACAGTGTATGCTCCTCCCAGCCACTCCCGGAGAGAGGAAATTCAGGAAGAAGAAAAGAGGTAGGAAGAGAAGGTTGATATTGGAAGGGGCTGTTGTATCATAAAGAACGAAGTACTCCACTGTTGAGTGTTATGAAGGTTGAATATCATCCATATGTGTCTGTTCTTTCATTGTAGCCATACAATATGTTGGGTGAGTTAGTTGGCAGATGGTAATTTACACAAGACTACAGAAGTGATAAGCACTGCAAACCTCCAAAAGTTACTAAAACAAGCAATTGACTTTCCTTTGGATTTCACTGGGATTTGTATCATAGGAAATGCCAGATGGGATCAGACCAGTTGTTCAGCTAGTCTGGCATCCTGCCTCTGACAGGGTCCAATAGTAGCTGCTTCAGAAGAAGGTGCAACAAACCCTGTAGTAGGCAGTTATGAGATAACCTACCCCGGGGAAAGTTTCTTCCTAACCTCTAATAGTTAGAGGTTGGCTTATGCCCTGAAGCTTGAGGGTTTAGATCCCTTCCAAAAGGCTTGTTTAAAACAATAATTACTGTTAAAACTGGGAATTCTTGGCCCCTTCTCCATATAATTCATCTAATCTCTTCCAAAAAAACCTGTTGTGTGGGGTCTGATCTTGTATCATTGAAGTCATTGGCAGTTTTGTCATTGATTTCAGTGGGAGCAGCATCAGACCCTTATGCTATAGTGTAACTAAAGATTTATGTACCTGATCTTTTCCTGAGTCTTGTGGGAGACGCCAGCTTACAGATTTGAAACCTCTGCTGGAAAGACTGGATTGTTAGAATTCAATCACCTACCGTCTTCAGTGTGGTGGGCATCTGAAAGATAGTCAATAGTATAGGCCAGCCTAAAACGCTTCCATAGAGGCTGCAGTGCACTGTGAAAGCATCTCTGAGTTCAATAACAGCATTTGCAGGTGGTGAGAAAATTGTAAGTATTTGCAAGTGCTGAATTTCAGGTTTTCAGGAAAACATCATTGCAAGAGTAGAAAATCCCAGTGGGAAGTAGCCCCATGTGGCTAGAGATTCAGTACATGGAAAAGGAATTTCCAAGAATAAATACATTTGTAATTATTTCAAATTATAGCCCGTATTGCACAAGAATCAAAGGAAATCCATCCTTGTACGTAGTGTGATTTAATGCTGCAGCTTCATGGAATCAGGCAGGCTCTGCATCCTCTAATGGAGGAAGAGGGAGAAAGGGTAGTTTTTTTCTTATCCTATGGGGCAAGGGAGGTTTCACGAAGGAAAAGCAAAATCAGAGGCTGTTGGTGGAATCCTGCTGGTTTAATTTCATTCTGTACATCAAACTAACATAGTAATGTCGGGGGCCTGGAGAAGGAAATCTGGATGAAGCTAGGAAAAGAAGGAGCAGCACATGTGATACATGGCCCTGCATAGCCATAGAAAATTGGTCACTTTGAATAAAAAACTGGGCCTGGAATATATTTCTTGGGATATCAACAAGTACTACACTAGGCTATCCACAGGGAAGAGAAGTTGGGATTTATAGAATATCAGAGCTGGAAGGGACCTAAGGAGGTCATCTAGTCCAACCCCCTGTTCAAAGCAGGACCAATCCCCAATTTTGGCCCAGAACCCTAAATGGCCCCCTCAAGGATTGAACTCACAACCCTGGACTTAGCAGGCCAATGCTCAAAGCACTGAGCTATGAGCCTGGCTGGCCAACAGATGTCAGCATAGCCACACACACAAACAGAAGAGGGGTTAACTTTTCTACATTGCCTTCAAACAAGTGGCTAAAACATGATTCAGCGAGGTGGTTCAGCAGCTTGCTTTTTGGGGGATGGGAGTCTCTGTATCTCTTCAGAGGCCTGCTGGCTAACTCAGTCCGCACTCCTCTGGGAGAGCGTATGCCAGAATGGAAGCTGGGATCCCCTTTAACAGTGCGCTGAATGCATCCCCGCCCTGAACGAACTCTGACCGATGAGCCACCGAGTCCACTGTCTTGCTGACAGTAGCCAGTAACAGGTGCTTGAGAGGAAGGTGTAAAACCCCCATAATGAGTCCTGGTTAACACAGTCTGCACTGTAGTGTAAATAAGACCATAGAGGGGAGAGAGACAGTGGTGGAGAAACTGATCTGGTATAACAATTCCTATGGTCCTAGAACCATGTTTAAACATTGTCTTTACTGCTAGCTCAGAGATGAGACCCTGAATTCTATGTGTGAATTTAACCGGCTGGGCACAGTCCTTGATCGATTTTGCTGCTCTGCAGTTCTGGAGCTGGGGATCCCATTGCTTCTCACTGATTAGCTTGCCTTGCAATAAATGACGGTGCTAACGTAAAGTGAGCTCCAGAGTTCCATTCATTCACTTTTTGCTGCTTAGTGATGCGTCCTTCCACCAGGCTGAAAATGTATTTATGGATTTGTTATGAAAATATGTTACACGTTTTTTTCTAATGTACAGTCCTGGAAACCTAACATTCCACATGGCCAGCAGCGGATTTCCTGCCCTGGAGGGTGAATTCTACTAACAATGGGGTCTTATAAAAAGAAAAGGAGTACTTGAAACCTGTCTTATAAAAAGACACTCTTCCTGCAGAGCAAGTAGAATTTTTAGTGTCCAAGACTGAATTTCTCTGTTTTATAACATTTTTACTCCATTACTCTGTAGATATTCTGTATTCACTCCACCACCCCACTAAGAACCCTCAAATGATGAAGGCCTGTGAAACAAGGCATGGCCAATCTCCCCAAATCCCTCTCCTCCAGATATTTCTTTTGTGGTATTGAGCAGGTACATTCCCTTGCCCCTGCCCCAAGGGGACCTGAAGATTATTGAAGAGTTTTGTAGGTAGAAGTGGCTATATATTTATAGTCTAAAGATTTCAAATTCCCACCTAAGGCTCAAAATATGTGCAAGACAATGAATATTTAATACAAGAACCCTTTCCTTTTCCAAGGTTGCACTTATCATGTTCCCAGAAAGGTAATGAGGAGGAAGAAACAAAGATTGCAGGGTAAGTCCTATTCAGAGTTTGTGAATTCTTTCCAGTTTGGCTCAACATGGATTTATGATTTTATATCAGAATCCATTCGTGTGCCTTTGCAGGCCATGGAGTTTAAAAGGTTTGGGTTCAAACTTGGTTTTGTCCTAAGATGAATCTCACTGCAAACCCACAGGCAAGATTCAGTTTGGGGGGGTTCATGCTCTTTGCATGGGTTAACTGGTTTGCTAGAGCCAGAGGAGGTGAGAGGCCATGTAGGAAAATATCGACATGATGTGCTGCAGGTGACTTCTCCCGTGGAGCCCACTTTGAACTTGAAAAGCACCAACAAGCAGCTGCCTACAAATATTTGCAGAGAGAGAGAAACATTTTGTATATCTGGATGTGTCACAAAGTTTAGAGCCACAAACAGAATTCACACGAACCACTGCAGGTTTGCAAAAGCAGATCACACCTTAGGCTGAATTTGAATGTGATGGGAGTTCTGGTCAAATGTTCCACATCTTCTAGTGCCCTTTCTGATGGCAATTGATATGCTGTTTGCAAGATATGCACATATCTTCCCAACTGTCAGGGTGGTTAAGCACTGGAACAAATTGTCTAACCTGTTCTTAAAAACCTACAGTGATGGAGATTCCACAGCCTTCCTGGACAAACACCTGTCAGGGATGGACTAGATAATGCTTAGTCCTGCGATGAGTGCCGGGGACTGGACTGGCTGACCTCTCGAGGTCTCTTCCGGTCTTATATTTCTATGTCTCTGTGTAGGAGACAGAACTGTTTTCAGAGATCATTGCTAAAGTGCAGCCTGGAAAGGATGCTTTAGCTAACTTGGCTTATTCAAGGGCTTGCTGATGACGTGTGGTACCTAGTAACCAGCAAGTGTCTCCTAGCGACATGTTCTCCTCCTTAGCAACTGCTCAGCTTCTCCTAGCAATTGCAGCCCTTTGGTCCTTAAACTGTTGCCCCCTCCCACAGGGGTTCTGCGGCACTCTCTGCACAGCAACTCGAGCCGATTTACAGGAAATAGGATTTGCCGCTAATCTGCAGACATCAAAAGCGAGAGACAGGATCAAAAATCTTGGTCTCGAAGTCGTTCCAGATCATTTAAAAACATATATGTTAATAAAATGCATTCAGGATTATTATGAATATTATGGAGCTGGATTTAAAGATGGGATTATGTGTTAGATCCACAAATGCAATTTAATACAAGTAGGTGAATTTTTAAATCATTTTTCTGTTGTAGGAAATGGTTGACGTGTCCGCAACCTTTATAGATGGTTACATTGGGCTAAGGATCCATTAGAAAGCTTCTTTGCTTAGCTGAGTGGTTTGTTCTGGTTTCACATGGTGCAAACATTTGGAGTTTTATTATCTAGAATACTACTACTCCTGCGATACTATACTCTGCCTCTTAGTTAAAAAACTGGAACGCCTCCATTTTCACCTGGAAACTGAAAATGCACCGTTGTTCAACGTTTAAACATTACAGTGTTTGCTTATTATTTTATCAAAACCTGGTTTTCAGAAACGGCTGCTCTGTAATGTATTGACCAACGCTTTGAGACAGGTGAAATCCTTTATTACTGGCTATTAGTAAAATGTATATTTCAGTTTTGATTGCAATTGTTCTACTTTCAGTGAATTTGGGTTTTTACTGGAAAAGAGAAAGGCTGAGGGTGCTGCTGGGATAAGATCCAAAGATTTGAGATGGGGTTTTGGACAGTTTTTATTAAATTAAAATGAAGCCAAAAATTCTGTGAAGCAACAACTGGATGCAGATGAAAGAGTCACTCTTTTTATTGGTTTCAGAGGAACAGCCGTGTTAGTCTGTATTCGCAAAAAGAAAAGGAGGACTTGTGGCACCTTAGAGACTAACCAATTTATTTGAGCATGAGCTTTCGTCATAGTGAAGGGCCTACCTAATATGGGATAACGTGGGCATTGCAATTGTCACGTAGGTAGCTATTTTCCTATTTAATTTCTTAATTATCCACATTTTCCATCACGAACCCCCCCCCCCAAAACAAAAAGCAAACAAACGAAACAAAAAGCCACGACCACCGCAACCAACACATTGACCTGGGGGTGATTTTTGATTAGAGCTATTGGAGCATTAAGAGAAGTTGATCACCAAGCTGATGATTTTTTTTTCAATTAAACTGAATTAGTCACATTAAACTGAAAGCACTGATCTCGTGGGCCCCATTTGTTAAATACGGATGGCGGAGTAGGATGGACAGAATCAGTATTTGGACACTAAAGTTGGCAATCTGGGAGCCGTAAATGAGCATTATGTGTTACATTGATAATGTAGGTGTGGAAATGGGGGGTTTCGATGGAGTATGCAGGGGCTCCTGTTGGAAAGTCAGGCTCTCTGCTGTTTTTTGATGGCTCTCATTTAAATTAGAAATGTATTGAGCACAGCGAGATGAGTTTATTTTCCTACAAATGAGTTGTATGTTTTATGTTATTTTCACTTGGTCTCCCGCTTAATATTGTTTCCAACATTATAAGAAAGTCTCTTCTCACACACTCGTTAAAACTTTTATCACCTACATCACGTTTCGTTGATATTTGTCTATTTCTAGTTAGTGCCATGAAAAAGGTGCTTTTGTCAAAAATTTGGAGTAATCAATATCTATTTTCTTTAGAGCAGGCTTTGCAAATGGCTAAATGGACCATGGTCTCTTCAGTAACAACAGTTATTAAGACTCTCTCCCTTCAGCCCCCTGCCTACGTCTCTGGTATAGTTGTGTGTTCTCATTAATCTGCAAATGGGCTTTAGTAGATAGCCTATGAAGCAATGGTCTTGCAACCTGACACTCAAGAGACCTTTTCATTGGAGACATTTCCACTCCCCTGATGTCTCTTGTCCGTCATGTGCCCAGGCTCGGAAATGGCTGGAAGAAATCCTGTTCTGATTTCGCTGCTTTTCATCTGCATTCTGTAGACCCCTGCCTCACTCTCCTTGTGTTGCTTACAGTGGTGAGCTGGATGAGTGTGCCTTGGCAGCCGCTGGCCCAGGTTTTGAGCAGCTAGAAGAAGACCAGGAGGCTGCTCCCAAAGGCCCTTTGCTACAGGTACAAGAATGCTTCTAATGCTTGCAGTTCAGGTGTTCAGGTTGCGAACCACCCTCTCCAGAAACACGGCAAGTGCTTGCAGGTTTAAGGATGATGCCTGTGGAGACATAATGCTTTGGTTTCTGCTCAGGGGCAGACTCTGGCAGTTCTTTTCTGCAGGCTGCGGGATAAGTAGCTGAAGCAGTTGAGCCACTATTGCCGAAATTGTCTGTTAGAGCCACTGGCTCTGCTCCTCCTCCATCCTTGCTCCAATCCCTGCCACAACCACTCCCTCTTTGTCCAGGGAAAGGTAGCTTTCCCTATGTAGTTGTGCCCTGAGATGCGCAAAGGGTGTAAAGCTCTTGCAAGGTCTTCCTGCCCCTTTTCTGTGGAGCGGAGCCCATACCAGTTCCACCATGTTCAGGACCTTCGTCGGCAGAATTTGCCTCCGGGTACATATTTCGGGTTTGCTTTTGGAACGATGGAAGAAATATAAATACACGTTCACAGAGCAAGGAACCGTAATAGCGCTGACCCACTCCCCTGAAATCTTGAACTTGCTTTGGGAAAGAAAATCTAGAAAGCCCTAGAAGTTGAGTGAGTTTCAGTTGCTTTAGATAGAGCAGCTCCGCAGTAAAGTTAGAAAGTTGGACGCAGAAGACCCAGAGGACAGTGAGTACACGAAATACCAACGTAAAGCTGGGGATTCAGGATTGTGACATATTTAGTTACTTTATTAATAGATGCTAACAGTATGGCAGCTAGACACAGTGAAAATAAAAAGCTTGAAAACTACAGATCTGGGAGAGAGACACTGTCTGGGTGCTGAATTCAGATAAATAATCAGAATGTTTCTCCTTATGAAACACTGGAGGCTCTCCACCTTGCCCCACTCAAAAAAAAAGTTCATCATTCAGGGGTGCTGGAACAATTTGTATAGTGGGGGTGCTGAGAGCCACTGACCTAAACTCTAAACCCTGCATGCGATTGAAACTACTTCAAGCCAGGGGTGTGGCCACACCCCAAGCACCTCTAGGTCCAGCCCCTGTAGCATCATTAAAGGATAGCGTTTTATGCACAGTGCTGTGTTCTGGGTGCTGTAGAACTGCCAGTGTATACTTTATGCTCATCATATTGTATTAGTCTTTCCCTACAGTATTTATAGTATACAATAGTATATAGTATAGCATACAGTATTTTAAAAAAAAATTGAAAAGGAAAATATAATAGCCACAACCTCCAAGAAGAGTCTTTGCTCTAAAATGAGTGAACCGGATAAAAGGAGCTTACAGCTGATATGTTGATCTACAGACCACCTCTGTCTCCCCCCCCCAGATACAGAGGAACTTGTTAACATAGTCTAGAAATATGAACTTTCAGTTTGCTACTAAAACTGCATTGAAATCCAACCCTTGCGTAGAAAGGATTGTTTTTCTGTTTCGCTTTTTGTAATGGAATGGGATGTTTGTCTTTAGCGCTGTCTGTTTGTTTTGTGAAGGTGGAAGAGGAGAAAGCTGGAGCTGCCAGAACGGAAGCTGAAGGTACAGTGTATAATGCAGAATGGCATGGAATTATTATAACCAGAAAGTGGCAATGAAATGTCTGATGAGAAAAAACCCCACATATATACTCACCCTTTTGAATTCTTATTCGATAGAAACAAACAAGTGATTCTTCTGTGCGAGAGGCCTGCTTTCTGCGGTCTTTTACTAGCTGAAAGTATCCTATAAGAGCAATACCGCAGCGATGTTGTTGTCAGTTATGCCCAGATATGAGAGGCCGGTAGTTACACAGCACTTAATCTTGCTGATTAAGTAAGCCTTGCTGTGAAATAAGAATTTCTCCTTCAGCTGAAGGAGACAAGGAGAAGTAAAAAGGCTTTTTCTCAGCTACCTTGTTTTTTATCTGGAAAATAACTGGCTACATAAAATGTATTTTAATTTAACATCTTAGGAGGTAAAGTTTTGGTAACAAAAATTAGAGTGGGACTTGGTTTTTAAGACTCAGTGGGCCAAGGTAATTCCTGGCACCACCCTGCTGAGTTCAGTGGCGTTACCTGAGGGAGGATTTGATCCATTGCCCTATTACTTTTTTGAGAGTTTTTTTTTTAAACTGCCGAGTGTGTGTTCTTGCAACTGCATTGGATAGAACATTACAATTCAGCAGCAACAGTGCCGTTCAGCAGGGCCGTGTCTTTTCGCTGACTGAAGTTCATAAGCCCCGATGTACTGCGTAAGTTCACAGAAGCCTTGCATTAAGAGCTTCATAGGCACCTGCATTTAAGTGCAATTTCCCCCAAGGATAGTCTCAAAATAATTCTCCTAAACCCTCCTTCAGCACAAAAGCAACAGCAATCTGAATTCAAACCGGTAGCAATTAGCTGGGACATGAATTATGGGCTAGATTCTCTGCTCCACTTAGTCCCCTTTGCATTGCTCAGGCAGCGCATATGGGAGGGAATTTGGCCTTGTCTCCCCTGCTTGGGATTCCAACAGCACGGGGGCATCTCCACTGGGCGCGGAGCTGGAATAGCGCCTGAAGAGACCCTGGCACAGGGGCTGTATCAGGGACAGGCTGAGACAGGAAACAGGCATGACTAACGTGTACTGTGCTCTTACGCTCCTGGCAGACAGTCCTTGGAGCACTGTTGCCGGAGGATGCAGATTAGAGCAGCCCCCACGCTGCTCTATTCTGCCCTGAGGCTGGTCAGGGAATCAGTGATCTGTAACCAGTTCTGTGATGCCTCCAGTCCTGTGGAAACTCAGTGCAGTGGAGAATATGGCTCTATATTTGTAGTGATTTACAGTTCCTTTTAAAAATGAAATACCATGTGGATAATTCTTAGAGCCTGGTGCCTGGTTTCATCATTGCCCAGTATTCCCCGACACTCTTTTGCCTGGTGGGAGAGCAGAAGAGCATTGTGTTGGCAGATGATTGTAGATGGCCACTGCACATTGTATGAAAAGACCACAGAACAGAAAAGTGAGATCAGCGTTCTGGTCTGGGCTGTGATGGTACTCCGGTTCACAACACTGGATTCCAGCAGAAGACAAACAGAATGATGCGAGTCACAGCCCAACCTCACAGCAAACGCTTTGTGTCCAAGACCAGGGTTGGAGCCCTCTCTCTCCAGCATTTTACTGCCAGCGCAACAAGAGCACGGAGAGAGAAAAGAGTGTATGTTCCAAACAAAGTTTTCAAAAGTGTCCGTTAATTCCAGGTGCCTCAGTTTTTGGGTGTCCGCTTTGAAGCACCTAGGGCATGATTTTCAAGGTGCTGAGTACCCCCTTCTGCTGCTGTAGCCAATGGTAGCAGCAGGCCCCTGGGAGTCTTGAGGTGAGCTTCCAAAAATAGAGACACTTAGAATGTATAGACATTTTGGAACATTTGACCCTTAATGCTTCTTTTAATCTTTGGGTCCCTACTTATCTGTAATACAGATTCATTTCAGCTGCATGGGAATAGGGATCATGAATGTCTGCCCTTCAGACTGACCCAATTCATATTCCACTAGGACTTGTGCTTTGGAGACTGCTTGTTTTGTAATCTGGGCAATTGATGAATGAGAGACGTTAGATCTGGAAAGGCCTTAAAGTGAAAACAGTGGGCTTTGAGCAGGGAGAGGAGGTGAAGCAGTGGAAAGGGTTAATTGCCCTTTCCCGTCTCGAGACCATTGCTTGGCTCAGACAGGAGATGTATTTGATGGTGACAGTCTAGTTCCTCAGCGGACATTTGCCTTTGCAATTTTGTCATGACTGTCAGTCTCTGTTTAGATGAGACTCAGTAGCGAAATAACACGGGGTGCTGAAAATCAGGACGGAGGCCCGTTAGTAAAGTTGTGTGTAACCCACACACCTCCTGGGTGTGGTGTTCTGTCACCTCTAGCAGCATTGAGACCACTTAGAGAGAGAGAGATGAGTGAGTCTGCTGTATAGCCTTAGCTAAGAGGCAAATGGCTTTTAGCTCATGCAGTAGAGGCTCATGCATTTAGCTCCAGAGGTCCCAGGTTCGACCCCGCCCGCCAGTGTTACATGTATACGGGAAGCCTGTATGGCACTTGCCAGCTCTGTTCCTGACTCTAACCAGTGCTGTTAGTTTTCGCCCTTGTGAGCACTAAAACAAAAATCATCACCAACGCTGTATTTCTCTTGTAAAGAAACCGCTCATCTGGAAATAACACAACACTGTCTCACCTGATTCTGTGTTTCTTGTTGCAGCTTCAGATGCCCTGTCCTTTGCTTGAAGCGCCTAGGCTCCTAGCATCATGTCCAAGCAAACCAGAGACGTTGAGTTAGATCACCTGGTGCATGACCAGCCGCTTGACCGCAGGAGCTCCTCCCCTTCCTTCCAAGGCACAGTAGAGCAGCTACCCAATGTTCCCAGCTACCGATTCTCCACCGCCTCCCACATCCCAGTCCTCATCTCCAAAAAGCAAAAGTCTGGTGTGGTGAACCCCAGTTTTTTGAATGAGGAATGGTCCCCTTCTCATCCTTTAGGTAGTATAGAGGATGGCTTTTCTGATGTGCTTGCACGGCTTTGGGCATGGGCTTTTATCTGTGTGTGTCCTTTCGGGTGCTCTTGTTTTTAAAAAACCCATGTTCCATATTGCAACATAGTGACACATGTTATTTTTATAATGGAATAATTTTGTGTTAATATCACTGAATTATAATTACTGTATTGTCAAGTTCGCCCAACAAGGAACGTTAAAAAATGTTTGGGTTGCAAAAAAAACCCCACCAAAACAACAACAAAAACCCCACCACTCCCCTTCTCGCTCCTCAAAAGCAAATCCACAGTTAAAGGATTAAATCTCCAATACGCATACACTTTCTGTTGCTAACACACCCACATACAGGCTCAGTGAGAACAAAGGAATGGGAAGGGGAAGTCTTGCTATAAGCAGTTTAGTCCATAAGCGTTAACCTTGCTTTTGTGGGTCTGTTTCACAACGAAAGCGCCAGGTTCTGCCATTCTTATGTCAAACATTAGCATCCTTCACAAATAGCCCCACAGAAACGAATGGAACTACTTTTGGCAGATGTGATAGAACGACATTGACATTCACCTCTCTGCATGAGTACGGGTGGCAGAACCTGCCTCTTAATGGCCCTTTAAGGCTCAGTAGTGTGTGTTGTGTGACATTTCTTGTGTTTTGCTTGCCTTGTCACTTCTAGCTGAATATCTTCTCTGGTAAACAATGTAAAGGTTTGAGTGGGTTTGTTTGTGTATGTGACTCTCTCTCCAGTGCTTTTTGGGTGACAATCATCCTTGGGCAGAAAGCCACACACTGAGCATAAGTGGTGCATGGCCCTCTACACACGAGGCTGAATTTTCACCTTTTGTAAATAAAATTGGCAAGGACTTGCTGGCTGTGATTTTAGATATCCGGATGAGGAGAGGGTTTCCCCCGCTGAGACACATACAAATGGCCACTGGCCACTCCCCGAACAAGAAAAAGTGTCTTAGCATGACTGATGAGCCTTGGGTCTGTCCCACTTCCAGGAGCTCTCGAGGGAGCCGCTAGGTCCCCCATCCTGCTGATGAGACTCAGGTCCCATCCTGCTTCTGAGTCCCCGGTGCTGAGAAGAGCCACTGTGGTTTCGGCAGGTGAAGGCCTGGCATGCAGAGTGGGACCGGGTGCTGGATGTGCTCCTAACTGTAACATGTGTGGCTGGTTGTTTTGAGATTCCTGCTGGATTGATGCGAGAACCTTCAAGTTATTATTTAAATAACTTCTTATTTTGTGTAAAAGCAAGCAGTCACACAATTTGAAATCAACAGTATGGATCGGAACTCTAACAACGTAATTCTGATGTAATACCCCTTAGGAAACTTTATGGATGTGTGTATGTAGGAGTTGAGGGATTTTACTTAGGGATAGCTAGCTGGCAGCTTTTGATGTTGATAATCTGAGTCACTTCACCATATTTTCCCCCATACAACTGCAATCTGTTCAGGATATTTAAAAGACAACAGCAGTCTCAAGCTATGAGAGCACAAGAGAAGCATCTCGATCAACTCATGTTGTGGTGCTTAATGAGCCAGATCTTCAGCTGATGTAGGTGACTGAAGTCAATTAAGATATGCTGATTTATACCAACTGAGCATCTGGCCTGGTTTCCCCCCCTTTCCGGATGGACTTTAACTTTGAATTTTGTGATTTTGTCAGTTTCTTTCCAAGGTGAATGGTACGACATGTGCTTTCGATATACAGAAATATATAAGGCCTGGAGACAGCTTAGATTGACGTCAGTGGCAACGGGTTGACTAATTTTGACTTTGAGCAAAAACACTGGTCCTAAGTGATTCCAGAGAGATTTTTGCCCCTTAATGTAGCCCTTTTCCTTTTCTGATTCCTTTTGTGTTTTTTCTCTCCAAGAGCCATCATCCAGTAAATATCCCACTGTAAACATCAAGGATGTCGACGCCAAAAGCAGCTCTGCAGGGGTGCAAAAACACGACCTCCATCTGCCCCCGCCCTCCCGGAATAATTCCCACACTCTCACGGTACCAGGCATGCCTGTGGCTCCGAAGAGGTATGGTTCTGGAAAATGCCTTAAATGCTTTGGGTTCTGCCCGACTTTAGCTCTAGGGAACATCATACCCTGACAAGCAGACCTTTAACAGTTACCTAGGGTTGTCTTGAAGCCATTCTCTTCAAGTCTGCCCACAAATGTGGCACCTGTTGTTCCATGCTTGGGAGATTGCAGGCGGCTACAGATACCCAGACAAAAATCTTTGTTAAGGAGGTTTCAGTGTAGTGTTCTATTTTCCAGCTACCGTTTGACACAGAGCTGGAGGGGGGTCTCCATATACAAACGTCATATGATCTAAACTGTGAAATTAGAGCGCTTCCCTGAGGAGAGCAAAGGTCAGTCAGTGACAAAGTAGGTCACTTAGCATCAGAGAGGAAGGTGGTAGGAAACAGATTAGAAAACCAATGTTCAGTGGTGCACCACTGTGAAACTATGTGCCAAAAAAGAGATGATGGGCGACTGGAAAAGTTAGGGTAGTTTTGGTGCCTAGTTTGAAAAGTGCAAACTTAATTCTGCATTTTGAGTACTCAAATCTGTGCTGTGTGCCTGAAGCTTTAACTTCACCAGAACAAGGATTTTCGGAAATGAATTTCCTTAGTTTTTTTTTAAAAATGGTTGCAATGTTTTCTGTTCCTGCAAACTGTAGCAGGTCCACAAGTTGGGACAACCAAACCAGTAGACCTTAGGAGGTCTGGGGGAAATGCCCCCTTAGTCTGCTGGTCACCGAGCCTTCTGCTAACCACTGTCATCACCCACCATCTTGTGTCCTGATGCTTCTGGTCTCATATGGTCTGCAAAATGGGAGCTCCAGTCCTGAGAATCTCTGTCAGTCCTCAGGATCAGGGCCTCCTGTAGTGACGAGGAGATGTAGAGGAGGGGGTCCCTCCTGTCAACTTGCTAGTGTGGGAAGGACTGGGGCTGTCCTCCAAAGGGCCACAGGGAAGGGGGGGAATGTGGATGGAAGAAGGATTCGAGGTCAGCAGTACTGCCGGTGGTCCTGGGGCATGAGGAACCCTTCCCTGTTCTCCTGACTGCTCTTCAAGCCCCTGCGTAAGCTTGTTTTTTGTATTCGAGACTGGAGCTGGGCAAAGAGTGGAAAAAATGATTTGCGAACTTGTCAGTGTCTGACGTGATTCAGTCTGACCCATTTCAAATCTTTTTGTCTGCTTTTCTATGAACATCGTGTCTGGGTTCCCTCTGCACAAATGCGCGTGGGGCATACAAATAGGGATATTTGCCTGCGCACTGGGAAACAAATGCATTGTTGAGTGTTTGAGCATGTTTGGACGGCGAGGACTCACCCAGCCTCTCCCTGGATCCATGTGTTTGAAATGAGAGTGTTCAGAGGTAGGGAGAGACAACGGGTGTGTTTTAGAATCACTGAAACTAACTAAGGGCTTGTCTATATGGGGAAATTTATGTCACTTTGGAAGTGGTTTAGGCCAAACCAGAAAAAGGCACTCTCATTCCAGAGGAAGTGTGTCCACCTGCGGAGTTATACCCGTATAATGGTACCAGTATAGCTATGCCAGTAAAAGTTCCCCTTGTAGACAAGCCCTAAATAACTACAACATCAACATGAGTAATAGCGAGAAGCAGAACAGAGAGAAATCCTTTGCCTGGACTTCTTTTGAACATGTTCCAGCCTCAGGACCTACAGCAACATGCTGATACCATGGACAGATCTTGAGGAGGGTGGAATAGCACCAGGTGCAACTCCCTTGTGGAACCTCCTCTACACATGACACAGGGGCATGTGTATGGTCATGAAGGCTCCTGCTGGCATGATGTCAGAAGATTGCCGGCAGGGAGTGGGGCTGTGAGCCTCACCACCACTGTCAGGAAGAACTAGGATGCTATTGCTTGCTGGCCTCTCATCAAGGAACAGAAATTGAGTTGACCAGTCACACAGCTTGAACCCCAGATGTCCGTAAAGACTATTTGTTCCAAAATTACTAATGATGCTTGCATTTATAAAATGCCAGATCTGTTGTTGGATGATCCGTGGACAAAAAGAAGTATGAAATCTGAGTCCAGGTCTACACTTCAGACCCATTTCGGTATATCTACGTCACTCGGGGTGTGAAAGATCTACACCCCTGAGCGGTGTAGTTATACTGACCTACCCGCCATGCAGACAGCGCTATGTCAACAGGAGAGCGTCTCCCCTTCGACAGAGCTGCCACCTCTCAGGGAGGTGGAGTAACTACACCAGCGGGAGAAGCTCTCCCATCGGTGGAGCAGTGTCTTCACTAAAGCACTACAGAGGCTTAGCCGCCCCGCTGGAGCACTGTACGTGAAGACAAGCCCTAATAAATTGTTCACAATGAATAGATCCGAGGGCTCCAGATACATCAGGGCCAGATCCTCAGTAGGTGAAAACTGGCGTAGCTCCACTGGGGCCTACAAATAGGGATATTTGCCTGCACATTGGGAAACAAATGGATTGTTGCAGCAGTCTTCACTTCCTTGTTTGCTGGAGGATCGGAATGGGACAGAACATCACAAGAGGCTGAGAGTTAAGATGCAACTTTCTCAGCCCTTCGTTGAGACAGTCTATGACTCAACACCCCCTGCCTCCTTTCCTGACGGCTGGGAGAACTGCAGCCCAGATTTCAGTCTGCTGGAAGGTAACTACCCCAACCCCAGATTTCCAGTCTCCCAAAGGATGCTCCACCAAAACCAGCCCTCATATTTCTAACCT